TGGTTCTGATTTGCTGGTTCTGCACCACTTGGTGGTAAATTGATGCATGACAGGCGAGGTGTGGTCAAGACCTCCTTTGAGCGAGTGAACAGTGCGTAGGCACAAATAGATCATCACAGTCTGGGGAGAATAGTGCAACGAGGATTTACCAGGGGATCTGGACGACATTCAACGCTTAAGAGAAAGTCTAAAAGGGCCGACATTCAGACTACTGCAGGTACCTTCGGAACTGAAATTGCATTTGCTGCTTAAGATTGGGACGGAAAGTTTATATGAGTGTCCTGAGTGCTATACTTCTTCTTCTTCTTCTTCTTCTTCTTCTTCTTCTTCTTCTTCTTCTTCTTCTTCTTCTTCTTCTTCTTCTTCTTCTTCTTCTTCTTCTTCTTCTTCTTCTTCTTCTTCTTCTTCTTCTTCTTCTTCTTCTTCTTCTCTTTCACCTTGTGAAGTGTCGGGGGGGGGGAGAGGGGGGAGGGGGTGTGTAATGTCCATTGATGAGCTCTGTCAAGAGCACTATTAAGACTGATGTTCATTTCTGTAAGACTGTTCTTAATGCCATCACTCCATATTTTCCGAGGTCTTCCACTCGCTCTATACCCGTTGTAACGTTTTAGTGTGGCTCGCTGTGCAGATAGTACCAGGGCATTCTTGTTAGGTGTCCAAACCACTTCATCTGTTGTTCTTTGGTGACCTGTAAGACTGGCTTTATTCCTAGCATTCGTCTGATTTCGTGATTTCGTATTCCGTCTTTCTTGAAAACTCCCGCAGCTCTTCTAAGGCATTTAATCTCTGTTGTCACAATTTTACGTTCATTGGAAGATGTAAGTGTCCTCGTTTGGCATTGATAGTGCTATACTGCCTGTTTAAAACTCCAACTCAACTCAGATGTGACGTTTCTTTTTTTTTTCTTACAGTCCATGCCGCGGGGCGTTGGTAGTCATCTACAACCTTCTGTCTCGTGTAATTTCAATCAGTTTTGACACAGATGATCCATGTCACACTATGCCATGATGTCAAACTGTCCAGCATCTTCTCTCTAGGTTTTCCTCTGCCTTTTTCCTCTTTTACTGTCCCACTAGCACAATGTACTCCGATGTTCCCCTTCTCATGACATGACCAAAGAAGATGTGATATTATCATTGTTAAATAATAATAAGCCGAATCAGTTTAAACCCGGACACAACAAACAATCACTCTTCTACCACGAAAGGAAACAATGTATTATCAAGGTTATGTAAACTTATGTAAGCGCTTAGCAGACTGTGGTAGTGGAATTCTTCTAGAGATTGTTTCATTTTATTTACTGTATTCCTAAAAATAATACTCATGGCTAAAGTGTTGTCAGCGTTTAGGGCTTTACGAAATTGCACACATCTACAGGTAAAAACTAGAGTAGTTATGTGTATATAATCGAGTTGCCACCGACTCATTGTTTGAACGGCATTTGACATTTCAGCAGAATCTGAATGACAAGTCGTAGAAGAAAAGCAGAAAAAAATGTGTTAAAATAAAATTAATAATAATTTAACAATTTTTTAACTAACCTTAGTTTATTAATATATTTGTGCAGTATTGCATGCTACAGAAAATAGGATTAGATAGACGGAATATCAGAATTATGAGTAACCTTCTTGGAAACAATCATTTAGTTTAGTTAGACACAACAACATCGTCTCACCACCACAGACAGAAATAAATAAAATATAAAAAAGTGAAGTATCTCAAGGAGGTGTGTTACCCCCAAGCCTTTTCAGCTTATGCAGAAAACATTTTTAAACGAGCTTGAAAATTGTCTACGGAATATTAATGGATGAATAATAAACAGTGAGATATGCTGATGACACAGTGCTACTAGCAGAAAATGAGCATGGGTTACAGGACCTGGTAGATCAAGTCAGCAGGCTGAGTGGACAGTATGGCTTAGACATTAACATTAAAAAAAAATGAAAACTATCATGATTAACAATGGAAAAAAGGGCTCTCCTCCGAATAACGGTCCCAAATTATCAAGGCTGAAAATATACCCTAACAGGGCCTCAGTCACGTGTCAGTTGCGCACTTCTGGTGACTTAAATTGCTCACTTCCGCCACCGCCAAGAGTATCCACCACGCAGCCCATGCGGCACGGATCGGAACTAAACTAGATGGCTGGGACTCACGAGCAGCAGCTACCGCATCTCCTCCAGCTTCCTTCATTTGCTCGTGAGTACCAACCATCTAGTTTAGCCGCAATCCATGCCAGGGGATACTCTTGGCGGTGGCAGTATAGTCCCACGGAAGTTCGCAATTCGGGGGTGGTGGTATAGTCGCTGGAAGTCCGAAATTGACACGTGTCTGAGGCCCTTTTAGGGTATATTTTGGGCCTCGATAATTTGGGACCGTTATTCAGAGGATAGCCGAGAAAGGTCATCAGAGATAAACATCACAGTAAACAGAGAGATAATAATTATTATAACAAGTAACAAGTTTCTCCTATCCTACTTAGTCGCTTCTCTTCTAACTGGGGTGTGGAGGTGTGCCCGAGAGATCGCCAGACTTCTCTATCAGCAGTTTTCTTTCTGGCTTTGTTCCATACGAGTCCTCTGTCAGTCAGATGTTGTCTTCTCAGCGGACCCTGGGTTGCCCCAGAGGTCTGGTTCCCTGGTACTTAGCCTCCTATGCCTGCCGTGGTGGCAGATTTTCTTCCATTCTGCATACATGTCCAAACCATGTTACTGACACTGATCCACTCAAATTTGTAAGTCCCAGGTTTCAGTATCTTGACTTATTGTCTGATTGCACTCTTTGTCCCTTGGTGTCACTTGGAGCTGGTTGGCATCTTTCCATCTTTTCAGGTGATAGTGTTGTATTGTTGTGTGAGAAGTGGAGATGGTGAGTGTGACTAGCAGAACCTGCCAGCATTAACCCTTTCGCTGCTACGTTCCCGGAAATAGCTGTCTGCCCTGTGCTAAGCAATGTAAAAAAAAAAGTCTCTGCTGTGCGCAATACTTTTCTATCCTCCAAACGCAAGAGATGCGTCGGCGGTGAGGGCTTTATTTTGTACACCCAAAAGATTTTACCCTGGGGAGTTGTGTGGTTGGTCCGAGTGGTGACAAGTCAGAGGCACGATGGTAGCCCACAAACTTGACTAACTGGGGGGGGGGGGGGGGGGGGGGGGATTAATGGGAAGAACTGTTCCCTGTCCGTATTCCAAAATTTGATTGACGAATCTACCACGGCTGCCACTTTAATCATAGTTATTTGAGGTCACCATGTTATTAAATACCAAAATAATAAAAAATTTAATAATAATACTTGAGTCGTCCGTTGATGAAAAGTAGCAGGAACTGAAAGGAAAATTTACAATAATTAAAAAAAAAAAAATAAAAATAAAAACACGACTTCGGGGGTTGAACACACGACCCTCTGATTCTAAGGCGAACGTGATACCAACTACACTATACTACCGATTGACGTATTTTGCTGTGTGAATGATAATAATGACTGATGTACGCAGACTATCAATAACGTGCATAAGCTTGTAGTCTATCGCCGCCTGCATGAGCACTGTTGTCTGAGAAATGTTTGAGATTCTCAACAATAGTAAAAATATGTCCGCCGACATTATTTCACGGGAGTTTTTAGCAAACAGTCTTTGCTCAAGTACTCTATTTTGAGTTTCTTTGTTCTAAGCATTAGCAGACAGACAGCAAAAAAAAAAAAAATTCGTCCGAATCTGTTTCTGTCCATCGGGAAAGACGAGAATTTTTAGTGACTGAACTGTTTGAATTTACAGTAGCTGAAATACAGCCAGAGCTGGAGTCATCACAATTATACACTACTGGTTTCAAATCATCGGTTCATAAAGACAACTGATCAATTTATTGCCGTTTTGATGGCGCTTCATTGTCGCTGCTCTCTGATTCCGACAATGAGGACGTCGGACAGGCAAACAGCTTTTTTTTTTTTTTGGACACGACGGTTTCAGCAGTCGATATTGATGGCCTAGTCAAATCTTTTTATTCACTGTCAGAAGTAAACATTTCAAAGTCATCTTCGCTATCACTTCTTGACAGAAACTCCATAAATTCTTCATCAACTTTAACAAGTTTTCTTGCCATTTTGTACTAAGTGTAGAATAATACAAAAGCACAAATATATATCAGGGCACAAAATCCACAGATCACCGACCACGCTGTCACGGTAAACAAAGCAACGGGATAACGCAGAATGCAGTAAACACACCTTAAACACACCTAAAAGTACGTGCCAGTGCTTTTAATCATATGTAAATGGGTCAGTTTAATCTAAATATAGTTAATGTATATTGCCCTTCAGCCAATAAAATACGAGGTAACAGAAATCTGTAAGAAAAGTCCAAAAACGGCTTAGGACGTCCATAGCACTGGGGGTCAAGAAAAAAAATTACGTCCAAAGACGGGCGTAGCAGCGTACGGGAAATCGGGAAAAGACGTCCATAGCAGCGAAAGGGTTAAGAAAAGTCTTGCAAAATTATAGCATGGGATGTAAGGATCATTGTTACCATCACATTTATTTAGAGTGCTTCTTTTGAGATACTGAGCTCTCATCCTTCCTGCAGTTATTTGTTTCTACATTCTAATTCCTTTCCTGATTTGCCCCTCCACGCAACATGGTCTGTGGCATTCCCCCCTCCCTCCCGCCACAAATCTACCTCAATAGCTGTATCATTCATGTCCCACTTGCACACATCTTTATATTGTAGTAGAGCTCGGCCTTGACATCTTCAGCCCATCAGTAATTCACCATAGAGGTTGTTAGGGATTTAGCCATCCTGCATTCTCCCAGTGTGACCCAACCACTTGAGGCTTCGGAGACTGAGCATTAAATTACCTGCTTTAGCCAAAACCTCACTGTTTGTTTGTGATCTTATCTTGCCAGTTAATGCCAAGTACTCTTCTGAGACATCCCATGTCAATATCTTCGATAAAATTGTGTTTTTATGTGTGATTCTTTTATCTACAGATATGCTACACAACAGGAAGGTGCTTATCATCTACTGGGTCTGAGTCTGGAGGTATTTACACTCCACCAGATGCAGTTTTGCCAGTTCCTCCTTTCGTAGACAAGCAAGGAGAGACATCAGAGCTGAAACGTGCCAGGCTGTTGTATCAGAGTAGAAAGAGAGGGATGCTGGAGAATGGATTATTGCTCAGGTTTGATTTTCATAACAGTTTTTTTGGGGTGAGCCACTGTGGCTTAACTGGTGGATGCCTGATCAACTGAGTGCTTAGTATGTTTGTTCATTCTTGTTTTATTGTAAAAATTGAAATTGTGACCAACTGTTTTTATTTCCTTTATTTATCACTTGGCGGTGTAGGATTCGGGGGGGGGGGGGGGGGGGAACCTGAGAATTTAAGGCTGTGTAGCTGGTGCAATTACCAGGAACTTAGCGGCTTTGGCTTTTTTATTTTACATTGGCAGAAAAAAAAATCTTCATCACTTTACTGAGTCTCAAACCCAGGTCGTCCAAGTGACAGCCAAGCATTCAGACCACTTGAACAGCCACAAGACTAGAAAAATGTGGATGGACAAAATTCCTGGAAAGCTTAGAATCAAGTTATTTATTCTAAGTCTCTTTTACCTTATGTGGATAGATATGTATTGAGAAAATCATACACACATATTTTTATGACATTCAAACTATGCCTCAGTTATTGAGCCAATGCTGAAATAACATATTTTTCAGCGCATAAGATGATATCTTTTCCCAGATTTGTAAAGTATAAAAAAAAATGGGTAGTCTTATGTAATCAGAATGTGTTTAAAACATTTATTTCTTAATTTAGGCTTAAAAAATAGGGCTAGTCTTATACATGGGGGCATCTTATATGTGGGAAAATACAGTATGTATGCTTGTCTCTCTCATCTCTACACTTAATGAATAATTTTATTTCTGATATTATTTTTCTCCACAGTACCTTTGCCGGCAAGCACTTGGACACACTCACAGACACTCAGTTAATAACCTACGATAGACTCATTAACAAGCCAAGCAATGACTGGGATATTTACTATTGGGTAACAGGTAAATCTGTTATGGATTAGTTATGTAATGGATTCGTTCAAAGCTGGGGTGCAACTGCCTGCAAGGCAGAAAACGAACAGTCTGCATACAAGTAAGCCAGATCTGTAAAATGGCTGCACACTCAAAACGCATGTTCTAGAACAAGCTGAAGGTTCAGAAGTGGATGAAAAACCAGAACTTTTCTTTGGAGTTTATTGCAGGTAAATGCTAAGAAGCGCAGGTCGACCCAGCCTAAAATGGTTACCAGGATGGGCTGTCCTGGGAAAATAAAGACAGTCGGCGTAATGCTGACCACGTTACCCACAGAGTGCTGATGGTCTGTAAAATATGGGACGCTCTGCCCATATGCCCGATGCGCCGAAAGGCGTGAAAAGGGGTCTTTACTTTACTTTACTTAAATGCTAAGAAGAACTGCTCGAATGAGAGATTTTAGATTGAAGATGGGACACTGTTGGCTATTCTACACTAATGTTTGTTGTGCTGGGAATCTGAGCCCCTCTGGACATCAGAATATCGTGACAGTAACCATTTGAGAAGGTGGTTGTTTGTTTTCTTTAGATCAAAACAATATTAGGGTTAATACGATTTCAATGATTTTGGCTAAAGTCAGATCAGTAATAAATGGATGTCTACAATTAGTGAGCTGTCACTAACTCTCTCCATACCAAACAACTCACCATAGGTTTCTTGATCATTCCAAAGATAATGTGATGTTTTTGCTGTCTCACAGACAAATGTTATATTAACTCTTTGTGTCTGAAATATTAGTTCAGCTACTTCTGTATCACATGAGCATGCTTCGAAAGATTGGGAATGGTGTCCTGCACGCAGAGTGGCTTGCATCACTTGATAGGACCTAGATCTGGAGCATGACATGGATTTTCTGTCTGTGTGTGTGTGAGGCAACGGGGGCTGATGGATTGGCTGCTGCCGCTTCTCTATATGATAGGGTGCATGTGGTGAGGACTCTGTGGGATCGAATGGATGGTGCAAGGGGGCAGATGGGGTATCTATGCACTGAAGGACTAGTTCAACAGGGGTGTGTGTAGAGGTTCTGGAGGATTTTGGATGTTAAAGAGGTAGAGGTTCTGGAGGATGTTGGATGTTAAAGAGGTAGAGGTTCTGGAGGATGTTGGATGTTAAAGAGGTAGAGGTTCTGGAGGATGTTGGATGTTAAAGAGGTAGAGGTTCTGGAGGATGTTGGATGTTAAAGAGGTGGACTTTTAATCAGGTTGCAGAGAGTACTACTAACATGTCAGCTCCTCATTGGTTACTGAAGAAGGGGACAGGGCACATTTGAAAATGTCCATAGTGCAGTGATTTGAATGTTTGATTCATTCATTCACTCATGCATTCTGTCCCGCAAACTCTCTGTTCATCACCTTCAGACCTAAGTATTTATTAATTCGAAGCTTGATCTGCAGGATAGCAGAGTTAAAATAACACACTCTTGGGACTGAAAGATTTAAACAAAAAATAATTAAACATTCATAAATAATATAGGTTTCATTGTTCTGCTATTTTCATTTGTAGCATTCCTTAGAATTTAGTTCCTAGGCCATGTCATTCTACTGTCATCTAAAAAGTTTTAATTTGTAGATAACTGATTTGTCTGTCCTTTTGCTTGCCACAGAGCTCTCCAAAAACCTTATGCCAAACACTACTAAACATTTGTGTCTTCTGTAGCCCTTTCCACATCTTTATAATGTAATGTGCCCTTGGCCAAATTGGTATAGCGGCTAAATGCCAACCTGCAGGCCTAAAGGTCTAGGGTTCAAATCGACATCGAGACAGATTTGTTTCTCTCAGGTTGACCCAGCCTAAATTGGGTAGAAGGTAATGTCTTGGTAAGTAAAGTTGACCAGGGGATGTTGACAACATTATCCATCATAGCCTTTATATCTATAATAAATGTACGTCTCTCTCTATTTATGTAATGCGTCAGGCGTGAATAAGGTCCTTGACTTACATACTTTTAATGTGTATGGAAGTGATAATTTTTACAATCTGAGTAATATGTATGCCTAAAACTACATATGGTATAGTTAAAAATGTCACTAAAAAATAAAAATAAAAATCTCTCTCATGTATCAGGGGCCAAAGAAACACCTGAAGAGTTTCAGTCTGATGTCATGGATTTGCTGAAAAAACATGTTCTTAACAAGGATAGAGAGTCAAGAATTCGACAGCCAGACCTTTATTAATGTAGAATGGTTTCCCACTGTCAAAGCTGAAACTATTGCACTAACTCTGCTGGTCCCAAGGAATGCATTATGTATGTTTTGTTCTTTCTCATATGTCCAGAATATTTCGTAACTTCTTACTTTAGTCAGCACATACTAAAGAAATCTGGCTGTACGATTTACAATATTGATATGTGTCTGCAACACTCAGAATGGGAATGAAATAGTTAAATAATAAAATTGAGGATTTCTAGCAAAACCTGAGATCAAAAGAGTTAGTTCCTTTTTGTTCTCATATTTATGATTCTACATTGCATGTGGTATGCTAATGAAATGATTCAGTAAACAAAATTCAGGATTTGTTTAGCAAAACTGGGGAGCAGAAGAAATAATTAATTGTTGTTCCTTCATTGAGAAAATTTAAAGCTTTCTATACTTTCCCCAGATAATAATAAGAACTCTACAGGAGAGCATGTACAGCAGGGTATATTACCATGTTTAATATTAAATGGAGTAACATGTTTATTAAAAATAATTTTGTTTCGTTTATTTGTTTGTATGGTGTTTTCCCTGTGTGGGGTCAAAGGCACAATTTTTATTTGGAAGGGTTTCGGGGTAATTAGATCCACTGCCTCCCCTAACAAGCATCTTGTAAAAGGTGATTAATTGATGGTCTATCCTTTGAAGTCAAATGCATTTGCCTGAGAGGTGAGAAACCAACAGTCCGCATATAAATAAGCAAGATCTGTTAGTTGGATGTGAAATGCATGCAAAATGCATATCCAGAAGCAAGACAAAAGTTTGTGAAGTGGACTAACAACCAGAACATTCTGCCGGAGATTACAGCCAGTGAGTGGTAAGAGTAAGAAGCAATGTGCTTGATGGATGCTGAATTTTCTGATCCCTGAAAGGTTATTGTATCATTTGATGTGTGTCACTGGCACACAGACCTGTTTCCCCAGATTCAGTACCAACATTAATGGGACTGTAATGTCTGTATGCAGTGAAAGTGATGATTTATAAACAAACAAAAAAATGTTGAATTCTTCTTCTTCTTTTTCACATTCACCGACTGTAAAATCTGGCAGAAAATTATGGTTGTTTTTCCACTTCTGAACTCTAGTTCTGTTTCAGAACCTGTGTGTTACATGTACACCCGTTTTACAGGTCTGACTCATGTACATGCAGACTGTTGGTTCCTTGCCTCTCAGGCAGATGTACTCTTGACTTCCAAGAAAGCTACCAATTAGTCGACTCTTATGGCATCGTTTTGGGCAGGCAGTGGTCTATTCTCGTTTTCTCCCACAATGGGGCCCCGGAACCCACACAGGGAAATGTTGAATTGAGAATTGACATCACAGCACTTGGGATACTCCCATAAGCTCTCTGTCCCCATCTCGATTTGCAGTTGAAGAGTTCCAATTCCAATGGCACCAGTAATTGTCTGATTGTATTTCCGTCTTGCCCTTCCTCCTGAATGTTGGGCGTCAACGAGATCCCCTGGTAACTGCTCGCAGCGCCATTCTCCTCAGACCGTAATGATCTATTTGTGCCTCTTCACTCGCTTCCAAAGGGCCCTCACAATATTTAGCTTTTGTACCACCAAGTGGTGCATAGCCGGCCAGTCTATCTGCCTTCTAATTTCCCATCACTCCGGCTTGACCTGGAGAAAATAGCCAAATGATGCTTACTTACTATCCACCAGGACCTCTGAAGTGATTGTTGCCACTCTGCATGGTGTATACCTGTCTGACCCCTTTGTCAACACGCTATTGAGTCAGTTATAATCACAGCATGTGTGTACAGCTGATTCTCCAGCCAACAGAAGGCAGCAGAGACTGCCTCCACCTCCATTCTTAAACTGGACGTTGTGATATCATATGAAAGCCTTAGCTGTACTAAGGGATGTCAATTCGCTTTTGCTGTTTACCCCATGCATTTCGTCTGCCCCTCAACATAGAGCCATCTGTATTGATAATCATATCACTTTGATGTGAATTGTCATTAATTATTTGTTGATCCAAAAAGTTTGTGGAAGAAGAAACTTCCAAGTTGATGATTGTAAAGTAAAATAAAGGTACACGCCAGTTGCACATTGACCATATGAGGTTAGACTCATATAAACTCAAATTTGCATAGTGGATGATGTGGTCAGTATCATGTCAGTACCTTTTCTTCCCAGGACTTTACCTGGTACCCACTTATGGCTACTAGCCACGGTCATGTTTGAACAAATCTGGATTCATGTGGATTTAAACCCATTGCCTTCAGATCCTTAGGTGAGCGTCTAACCGCTACATCATGGCGGCTGCCTCTAGAGTACAGGTGTTTTTGGTAATCTTCTGAATATGCTTGTATAACTAATAGGATAGAGTCAGTTGTGCTGTTTGTAAATAACACTTGGTGGGGGGGGGAGGGGGAGGGGGTAGATAAGATTATATCTTTTCCTTGTGTAGGTTCTGTGACGCCAGGGGGGAGGGGGGGGGGGTAATTGGGTTGGATTGCAAAGGTCTGCTTCTCTTTCATGTCAAATGATTTGTCACACAATCTGAAGGTGGTCATTCAATTCACTGACACATTTTCACAGTTTACAAGTGCAATTTTTACGGAGTTTCCATGGTGTCATTGCTGGGGCTACAGAGTTCGTGCTCTGTTTGATGCTGTCAGCAGGAAGAAGGAAACCAGGCTAAATAGGATAACCTGATGCAATGAAGTGTATCCTCTTTAACATCTGCAGACAATACAGTGACAGTGAATAACATTTGTTTCCCCAATTATATTGCTTTTATTTTATAAGGCGTCACCAAGAGGAAAGGAAATTGAGCAGGAGGTAGTCCAAGAGCAAGATCAGAGAAATTACAACAGTAATATGTCTTTACAATCGACCTAACCCAAACACAAGCATAACCTTCTTCTTCTTTCATTCTACTGAACTAAGTTGTCTATATCAGCAATTCTGTCCCTCGTTTAAATTTCACTGTCAATTTTAGTTTGTTCAGTGGCCCATAGAGTTTACGTTCCACTGTTGTTCTTTCTGGCCTAAAGGTTTGCCTTAACTCTATTTGGGTGCCAGAAGGTTTTGCATATATTTCCAAGGGGTGTCATAACCACTATGGATAATCACAGATGTATAACTTGTATAAGGCACACAAAAAAACATAGTGACTAGCAGTAACTTCACAGGAAGTCAGATTTCAGTAGCATTCTCTAACCAAATGGGAACAAGGAAAGAACACAGTTTGGAGTCAGCGAAAAAAAAACCATTGACACATCATGTGTTGCTTGGGACTCATTGAGTTCATGTGTCAAATTCGGTGCAGTCCTGGAGTACATGTTTTGAAGTCTGAGACAGTTTTCCACAAGCGCACATGGCTGGTTGCCTATCTTTAATTTGTGTGTACATGTAAAGCAGAACCTAATATCTCATTTGACATCATTTTCCCTACTTGCAAATGACAGCTGTAAAACCAGAATCGGTATGGCCATAATTATAACTTCCTGCCACCAGCACTGAGATTCTTTAGTCTCATCATGTCTTAACTTTAGATCTTTTCATGTAGCAGCCAGGGGGAGACAAAGAGCGCATGCCCTCGACACTCTTATGTGGTGAAAGAGAAAGCGAAGTCGCAGAGAGACACAATGAAATCGGGTCTCTATTCAGCCCATTCGTGTTCTCTAGGATAAGGCCTTGGTTTCTAATGTTTCCTGCGATGGTTTAACGTACTCATACACAGTCTTTCCATACGCTCTTGATGTCGTTAATACATAAGGCATCCATAAGTGATATCCATTGCTGCCGTCAGTTGCTTTTCTGCCTTTCTTCTCGTTTCATTCGCTTGAAATTATTTATATCTACATTGCTATCTCTAGTATGAAAATCACTGTCTTCTGTAATTCACTTAGCGGCCCCTAAAGTGTGGCTTCCACCGGTGTCTCTGTTGGCTAGAAGTTTTGCCTGGAAATGTTGTATTTGGGACAGTCTTGGAGGATGTGATCTGTTGTCTCAGGTGACAGTCTACATGTTGTGTGTGCGTGTGTGTGAGAGAGAGGGAGGGAGAGAGAGTGAGAGTATATCTGTCGCTTACGGAAAAGGTTGGTTAATTGGATAGCAGCTGTTTAGTACACTCGCCGGGTAGCTCTCCGCCTGAATTCATGGACTTCTAAACCACGTATTAAAGCTCCTGGACTACCACGGGGACCTGCAATTTCACCTGTACCAATGTTTTTTCGAGTAAGATTGCCTGCCTGGAAACACATGGAGTTGGCAGAATATTAACATTTGCAGAGTACGTTCTTGTATATAGGAAGGGGAGTGATCGGAATCAAATACCTGAAGAGTTACAGGCAACAGTAGATATGGTGACTGACTGGTATACAGAGATGAGTGCTGTAATCAACCCAGAATAGGCAACCTTCCTGTGGTGTTCTTTGGATAACAGGATTGGGCTATCTGCCGAATAACGGCCACATATTATGGCCGCCAAAAACAGGGCCTCAGTCACATGTAAATTGCGAATTTCCGGCGACTTTACCGCCACCACCAAGCTGTTACGCGCGGCGCGGAGCGGGGCTAAACTAGATTGCCGGGACTCACGAGCAAAGCCGCAGAAGCTGCAGCTCGTGAATTCCAGCCATCTAGTTTAGCCCCGCTCCGCGCTACTCTCGGCAGTGGCGGTATAGTCGCCGGTCTGCAATTTAAGTCGCCGGAAGTTCACAATTTACATGTGACTGAGGCCCTGTCAGGGTGTGGAATTGGCTGCCATAATATGTAGCCGTTATTCGGAGGATAGCCCAGGATTGTTAGAGCTGATGTTCCCAGGCTCAAAATAAGGGCGGGGACATCAAAAGAGACAGCAGACTGCGGTACCTGAGAATCATCTTTGAAAGTTTGTCTTTCAGGGATCACATAGACGGGTTTGTGACAATGGCTTAAAAAGGTCTAAACGCACTTAATCATCTCAGTTATTGATTGTGGATTGGGGTTACTCAAGAGAAACTGGAGCGCACACAGAATGAAGCTATGGGGCTGATCCTTGTTTGTACCAGAGACACGCCGATTGTGTGCATGCGATACATCCTTGCATTACCGACTATTGCAGATAGACTAAAGGTGTTGCAGGCTAAGTCATACCTAAGAGTAGCCGCAGACAGGGAACACCATCTGTATGAAGCTTTGGCTTCAGGGAAGGGTCAAAGGATGAAAAGGGAAAAATCGTGGATGTCTCAAGCAGAAGACACAATAAGACAAATATGCATGGTGGAGAACATTGGGCGAGGAGAGAAGTGGGTCAGAGTACCAGCGGGAACGTCTGACCTGTGTAGGGTTTTGATAACATTGGGCCGGGTGTGCAGAGAGTGGCCAGCGGGTGCTACGGAGGTTGAAGTCCAACAGTTGATTCACGACTATTCACGCCCAGGTGATCTGATTATCTGTATAGATGGTTCAGTGCTGAGAGGAAAGAGAAGTGCCTAGGAGTTCGTAGCGAAAGCCAATGAAAATTCTTTCGTGCAAGACAGCCCAGCATATGATACCATCTCGGCCAGCTCCAGATTTTTATTATTAGAGAAGGGCGTGGAAACCACAACATCTAGCATGAGAATGGAGGTGGAGGCGGTAACTGCAGCTCTCCAGTGTCTAGAGAACAAGATGCATACACATGTCGTAATTGTAACAGACTATAAAAGCATGCTGAAAAAAAGCAAAGACAGGGATGTTTCGAGCGGAGTGGCGAGCTTCACTGGAAAGGTCACGGGTGTTGAGCATACTTTGGATCTTTTCTCCAGGCTATGCCGGCGTGATGGGTAATGAACAGAAGAAAGGCAGACAAACCAGATTGTGACAAACATAATAATGAATATTTTACCAAAGCTGTGTAGCAGTGGGCTTGGATTTATCAGAGGACCAAGGGGTGGTGGTAATGAAATATTTTATTGCAGGGGAGTGTAACTAACAGTACTAAACTAAAACATTGATTGAAAATAACAGACGGCTATCCTCCGAATAACGGGCGGTAAAGATGGCGGACGCAAAAAATCCTTTCGAGCCACAGTCACGTGTCAATTGCCCAATTCCGGCGACTTAATTTGCGGTTTTTCGGCGACTACCGCCACCACCTAGATGGCTAGGACCCACGAGCAGCAGCTTCCGCATCTCCTGAAGCTTTGCTCGTAAGTCCTAGCCATCTAGTTTAGCCCCAATCCACGCCATGGAAAACCGCCGGAGAACCGCAAATTAAGTCACGTGACTGTGGCTCGAAAAAATATTTTGCGGCCGCCATCTTTACCGCCCGTTATTTGGAGGATAGCCTAACAGACCATACAAATACACTGTAACTGTATAGCTCTCCACCGAACTTCGTCCCCCATATTATGGCGACCAAACAAATACCCTAACAGGGCCTCAGTCTTGTGTAAAATGCAGAGTGCCTGCTGAGGAATAAATCGCGGCAATACTAGGATTGCCTTTGAATAACGGGCCAATATTATCAAAGGCAAACAAATACTCTAACAGGGTCTCATATATGGTAATTGCGGACCTGTTTCTGCGACTATGCCGCACCGTCGAAAGTATTGCCCGCGCCACTGCGCGTGCTGGGGATTGGGAACTAAACTAGATGGCTGGGACTCACGAGCAAATAAATTGGAGGAAGTTGCAGGAGATGCGGTAGCTGCTGCTCGTGAGTCCCAGCCATCTAGTTTAGTCCCCCTATTCGTGCCTCATGTAGCTAACCTGCGTCGAAGCACGTGGTTCCCCCCGCCATATCGCTATTATCGTGTGTATTGTTGCGTTTCTCAAAATTGTCAACGGACAGTAATCCCAGTTTTACCACAATGTGTTCGTTTGAGGAAGTCCGCACACGACTGAGACCCTGTTAGGGTTTTTGTTTGGCCGCCATAATATGGGGACGAAGTTCGGAGGAGAGCCCCTTTGTGTTGAGTACCTTAATTGCTTATTAACCCTACCAGACCTGAGGCTCTGAACCTAACTGTCCCCTATACTTGAGCTCCTGGGCATCAACATGAAAAAACCAACATGATGTACACAAATATTAGTTACATGCAAACAAGTGGTAATAATAAGATGAAACTTGGAGACATTTTAGAAAACAGGATCAGCCTTGTTTCACAAAGTGAGCACCAGATTTTGCGGTTTGAGGGACATGCCCCCTTCTCTTACTACCGATCTAGTTTTAGGTCTATAATTTTCAAGATTTTCCTCATCACTTGATCTCTCAAAGGTTGTCGTCACACTCAGAAGGTACTGCAGGGATCAAATTCCTGCGGCCGTAGAGACAGAAATAAGGGAACTGATAGATCAGCATTCAGACCCAGAAGATATCATCTACACAGACGGATCTGTGCAGCACGGACAAAGGTCAGCATGGGCATACACAGCACAAAGAAGGGGGAAAACAATACAGGAGGATAGCGGGGCTTACCAGACAACCATGGAAATAGCCGCTGCTTCTAGAGCTTTAGCATGGGTATCCAAGCAAACCGCCACACAGGCAGCAATTGTATCAGACTCCATGAATATGCTTCAGAAGATAGCAACAGGCGGTATGCGCTCTGAATGGGTAGAAAGTATTCGAAAATGGCACTTAACCTCCGTAACCTGGAACTACACACCGGGTCATGCGGGCGTAAAGGGAAATGAGCGAGTGGACCAACTGGTCGACACTGCACTAAGGATTGTGGGAAAAAGCATGGACAAAGCAGATATCAGCATGGACAGAGCAGATATCGTTAACGCTGTACGAACTGGGCTAGTGGATAGTGAGGAATCCCTGACACTAACATGATTGCGTGACATGGGAGTAAAGCATGGTGAAGCACGTCTATGCCGTCTTTGAGGCCAAGATTGGAGACAATATAACCAGCTTCTCATGGGAACAGTTAGTAGAAGTACTTTGGAGTGGCTGCTGCATCTGAGGACTGAGCACACATAGGAATGTCCAATGTGCAGTGACGTCGATTGTGATAACATAACATAACTGACTGTGTCACTCCAATTGGAAACATATTCCTCATAAAACTCCTCAAAGTCTGAATCAGCCAAAGTATCTATCATCTGTTGGACTGTATAAAGCCTAGACCTACTTCACCTTCCTGTCGAAGTGCTTGGTTTATGAGCCACTCGTTTCATTGTGAATTTGTATAATTTTTTCACATTAAACCACACAAAGTAAATCCAAACACACGTGAGCAGTCATTCACAATGACTAACCACAAGGTTTGATCACGATTGGTTGGTTATTTTTAGGAATTTAGAAAAATACAGCAGAAGTGGTACATCGGTCTGGTAGAGTTAAGAAGCTCCCCCCCCCCCCCCCCCCCCCCCCCCCATTAGCCTCTCCAGTACAGGCCTTTTCTGCTTGGCACAGTGGCAGTTCCAGTAACCCACCTCAATATGCTTGAATCCCAGGCGCTGTAATTTTCCTGTCCAGGCTTTTGCTGTCCTATTTTTGTGCCTTCTTCTCTCTCCATTTCCTGTTTTCTTTGCTTCCCACTCTCTCCATTGCCAGCTAAAGATGGTATCAATCACAGAGCATGACCTCATTAGCTTTGGCGATGATTCTTTTTTTATTTTTAAGAACAAATTCCGTAGAAAATATTCTTTCAATACAGAAAGTAAATGGCCACCCTAGTATTCCCTGCTTGCTAGGCAAGTGATGGGGGATGTCCCAAAGGAGTCTATATGCCTGGTGTAGCTCCTTCTGCTAACAATACATTCCACGCTTGTGACTGCATATCCTGTAGACGTCAGCCTATTTGCACATAGATACAGATGATGTAATTATTGTATGTGAATTTTATATACAAATGCTTGTGTATTATTTTGGGTAAAGTATATTTTACTCTATCATTTCTGTTTACAGATGCTGGGCAGTGCAGAGAATAAACCACCTTTTCTGAATGACAAGAACTTGCAGCCTGCTATAGAGAAAGTTCTGATGAAGAAGTTTCCACTTTATGATAGCAAAGCCAGCCAGGTATGTTGTCTGCTTCAAGTGTGACAGTTTTGAGACCAAATAGAAGCATTCATAATCAGGTTTTTTTAGTAGGGGGGAGGGGCATTTAAAAAAACAAACTGTGTGGACAATTTCTAAATGATTTTTTCAATTCATTATCATCATCACTTTTTCATTCCACTTTTTCCATCAAATCTCTTGGGTTGTGTGGTATAGGCAGGACTTCGTCTTACTCATTTCAGCACTACAAAATAAGGGAGTTCGGGGCTTCTAAGAAAACATTATTCTGCAGTGAATACCAGAGGCAAGAAGCTGCCTAGAGAAGGCAAGGGCGCGTCGGAGGATATGTTAAAAGTGTATGTGTGCTTCTGTGAAAGACACATTATGACGGGCACCGACACCCTTTTTTCCTAGAAAAAAGCTCTGAATACTATTATAGGGATTTTGCATGTGGGTTCCGGGGTCACATTTTGGGGGAAAAGAATAGACCCACCCCCCCCCCCCCCCTCCTCAGCACATCGTAAAAGTCAACAAATTATGTGTTTTCTTCTAAATCAGAATGCCTCTACTTGAGAGATAAAGGACCAACAGTCTGCAAATAAATAAGCCAGATCTGTAAAATGGATGTGCTCGGAAAACTCAAGTTTTGAAACAAAACTAAAGTCCAAAAGTGGGTGAACAACTGGAACTTTCTGCCGGAATTTACAGCCCGCGAATGCGAAGAAAAGAAAGATTATAGGGAGGACACATTAAACTACTTTTACCTGATCGCTTATGACCCTTGTATTGTGGATTCTTTTTTTAAAAGAAATTAGTAGATTCCTTGATTGATCTTAGTTAAATTGTTCTTTTTTGCAGCTGCAAGTGGTTAACCAGATGAAAAATGACATTTTGAAGGGTTTGTCCCTGTACTACCATACTTTTGTTGACATCCTAATGCTGAAGGTAGAGTAAAATTTTTCATTTGTTAAATCACATAATCTGCCTTGGAATAGCTATAGAGGACATTCGTCTTCATAAAAATGGCAAACAGGAAAGGCTAACCCTGTCTACAAATGCCCAGGGATGTTAGAGGCATCTGTAAACGGGCAGCAAATGATTCATGACAATTCCCACCCAAGTGATGTGATTGAATATACAGATGGCCCTGTGTTGAGGGGCAGATAAAGTGCATAGGGGTTCATAGCCAAAGCGAATGGAAGTCGCTTGGTGCAACAAAGCCTGGCATATGATATCACAACATCTAGTTTGAGAATGGAGTTGGAGGCAGTCACTGCTGCATTCTGCTGGCTTGAAAATCAGCTATACACACATGCAGTGATTGTAACTGACTCACAGAGCATGTCAAGAAAGGTGGAGACAGGAATGCTCCGTGCAGAGTGGCAAGAATCACTTCAGAGGTCCCGGGTAGTGAGCACCCTTTGGATATTCTCTCCTGGTTTTGCTGGTATTTTGGAAAATGAGAAGGCAGATAGACTGGCCAGTTCTGCACCACTTGGTGGTGAACTGGTGTATGACAAGCTGGATATTGTGAGGGCCCTCTGGGAGCTAGTGAACAGTGCGGAAGCGCTAATAGATCATTACGGCCTGAGGAGTTACCAGGGGATCTGGCCAATGCTCAGCACTCAAGGGAAAGGTGAGAAGGATATGCAATCAGACAGTTACTGGTGCCATCGGAATTGGAACTCTTTATTTGCTGCTGAAGATGGGGGAGTGTCCCGAGCGCTATGATGTTGATTATTAATTCAACATTTAATTGTAAAAAGGCACACATATCGCAGGCATTGCACAATTGTATCTAAAACAATTATGGCATGGGGCTATTAGTGTTGGTACATCTGACAGTTACCTTATGCATTTTTATTTGCATGTGCTAAACGGCACAAAAATCGCACCTTGCTATAGACTACAATACAAAGGAGAAGAAGAACTTAAAAAAAATTTGCTTAAAAAAACCACAACAGCCAAAAATCCTGGGATTGGTTCTGCAATGTCCTGTAAAGGATACACAACTAACTTGCATAAGAAAATACTTTAATATTTAAAAAATTGTCCATGTTAGTAATGATGCATTTTTTAAACATTAAACAACAGTGGCTTGATTTTATTAATATTATCTTTTATTTGTGCCCATCAGGATCATGTGGTTGATTTGTTGACTACAATTGATGCTTGCCAGGTTCAGTTGGACATTGTAAGTTTGAGAGATTTTTTTTTTTCAAAGTCTGTCAGCCATTCTCCAATGTGATTAAATATGCTTTGTATGTGTGTGTTTGTGTGTGTGTGTGAGAGAGAGAGAGAAAATATATGAGAGGTAGATGTAAATGTGTGTGTGTGTGTGTGTGTGTGTATATATATATATATATATATATATATATATATATATATATATATATATATATATATAATATATATATACACACACACACACACATTTACATCTACCTCTCATATATTTTCTATATGAATATATATATGTGTGTGTGTCTCTGTGTGTGAGAGAGTGAGTATGTGTCTGTGTGTATGTCTTCTTCTTCTATGCATTCACTAACTGTAAACTCTGGTGGAAAGTTTTGGTTGTTCGTCCACTTCTGGACTGCAGTCCTGTTCCAGAACCTGAGTGTTGCGTGTGCATCCATTTGACAGATCTGACACATTTGCGTGGGTGGGTGGATGTATGTATGGATGGATGCACTGGATTTTATCCCATATATGACTCGGTCTCTCTCCACAGAACAGCTCGCCATCTACGGAGAGCGCCCTGCAGAGCACGAACTCCATAGCTCCGGCAACAATCTTTAGAGATCCTCGTAAAAATTGCACTTTTGAACTGGCGGGCACAGCCGTGGAATGATCCCACGACCTTCAGAGCGCGAAGCAAACTGCTTGACCACTTGGCCATGGAGACCCCCGTGATGAGAATGCCATGGACAGATAAAAAGAGTAATGAAGGTGACTTGAAAGAAACTGACTCATGAAGAGGGAAAGAGAGGCAGAGCGAAATCAAGAGAAAAGATGCTGAACAGTTTGACATCATGATATGGAGGATTGTCTGTGTCAGAACTAATAGAAAGTACACAAGACAGAAGGTTGTGGATAGATATGGCCACTAACACCACACAACATGCACTATAAAAGAAGAAATATATACAGGGTTTTAGCACAGAGTACAGCATTTACTGTTACCCATTTTGAAAGTAGGATAGCACACTTATTATACACAACAATAAATCCAGCTAAACATGAGTAATTCAGTCTTTGTCTTGGACTCACAAAACAGGCCTCACATCTTGATTACATCTTGGAGATGTCCTCTGTGACATTCAAGACATTGCTGCCATTTCCCAGGTTCATTTACCATGATGCAACATTGAGTGTCCTGCATACCGTTTCATTCTTTCAAACTGTGACTGAAATTTTTGCTTTGTAATTCTGATTATACTTCATGTTTTAAGTAATCACATGCTTTTAATTACATTCAACTTGCAATCAGGTAATGATGCTTTTTTCTCATGTTTTAATTAATCCCCCCTTTTCCCCAAAATTGTCCAGACTTTGAACTATGACTTAACCAAGAACTACCTTGACCTGATTGCAACATATGTATCCATCATGATCTTGATGTCAAAAGTTGATGATCGAAAGATTGTGTTGGCTCTTTACAATTCAGCTCATGAATTCCTCCACGGAAAAAGGTAACATGCAGAAATATTTCGGAATTCATTCTTCAGATTGGTAATGATGTAGCAGGGTCTTTACACAATGTTGCTCTTTTCACAGTCTACATAACATAACATAATCCTTGACCCATTTGGATCCTGGAGGTGTATTGATGGAAGCACTAGCACATAAAACCTGCCATCTTTCTCTGTCTTCTGCTTGATGAATAAGTGCATGATAACTTAGTCCTGACCATTTCTTGATGTTGCCATTCCAGGTTCTTCTTTGCTCTCCTCTTCTTCAACTACCCCCAAATGTTCCTTGAAGTACAGTCTTTGCAATCGAATTATGTCCCACTACGTGATCAAACCAAGCTAACTTGCGACATTTCACCACTGCCAAGAGAGGCTCCTGATGTCCCACAAATTTGTATATTTTGTCTCTGACATATTTATTAGTTTTGTGTTCTAAATAACTAATTCGTAAAATGCATCTATAGCATTCACATATGAACGCTTGAATCCTCCTTTCTGATTCCACAGTGAGAGTCAGACTCTCACATCTGTATAAGAAAATAGACAACACCAGTGATATGTAAATATTGGCCTTGACTGCGATGCTGATTTCACTCTTCCACATCTTATTCAGCTGCGACATCGTGGCTGTTGCCATATCAATACAGTCTACATGAAAGAAACTCAGTCTCACGCCAGCTCTCCCACCTGGAGCATTTTCAAACCCAATGTGTCCCTTACATCCTGGGCCTATCTTTATGCTGATTGGCCCTTGTTCCTCTTTCCTGGCACCATGACTTCTGCTATTATTCTTTCCAGTCTGCCGTGGCGCTTAATTTGGCCAAATTGTTTTACCTTCTGAGAGAAGGTGCTATTTACTAGCCAGTGTTCCTCAATTTTAAGATCTTTTTCAATGCCAGTGTTTCTTTTTTCTTGGTTCATGGTATTCTGGGAATCTTTCTGTAGCATTTTAGCTTAAAAACCCCTTTCTTCCATAATTCATCATCATGTAGCAGGTCCTTTGCAGAACGTCGCTCTCATCACAGTCTGCCTGAAAGACACTCGGTCTCTCGCCAGTTCTCCCGTCTCATGAACTTTCACACCCAAGGAGTCACTTATGTCCTGTGCCCATCTTTGTGTTGGTCTGCCCCTGCCCCTCCTTCCTGGTACCATGCCTTCTGCTATAATTTTTTCCAATCCGTTGTGGCGCAACGGATTCTTCCATAATTACTATGAGTTAATTCATGACTGACATTTGTTTACTGTTACAGGGAAGATAAATGCTCTAAAATGTTTGACTTTTATTTCCTAGCTTGTGTCTAACTGTATAGACTTTTAATTCTTCAGATAACTTGCATTGATTTCAAAATTTATTTTACCTAAATTCACAGTTTGCTTATACTATCCCAACGTGTGTCTTCTTCTGTGATTGTCCTTAAAAGGGAGGCAGGCTGTGATATCTGTGCCTTTTGGGCAAAAACATCTGATTTCAGCAAACCCATGATTAGTTATCTTGTTTTCTATTGTAATTTTTATTTATTTTTAGTAGATTGTATATTTGCCTCTGTGATTGCTGCTGAAGATGGGGGACTGAGTTATTTTGGGAATGTCCTGAATGCTATTTCAACTCAGCTTACCTTATATTTGTCTTCTTTTTATTTTCATAGTCTGCTTTAATTTTTAAAATATCTTTAGGTCAAGGTATTTTAAAATCAAGCTGACAAACATTTACCCGCGGCAAAGATGTGGTTTCTGATAAGAATGCAAAGAATGTCATGGAAGGATAGAAAAACTATCTTAGCAGTACTCACTGAGACAGATGAAAGTCATAAACTTATTAGAACAATCAGACGTAGACAGTTAGTGTTTTTGGACATGTTATGAGAAGGAATGGACTCGAGATCTTCGTCACAACTGGCAAGATTGATGGAAAGAGAGCAAGAGAGAGGCAGAGAAATAAACACCTGGATGGCTTGGCCAGATGGATGAGGCGAGATAAAAACAAACTGATCCGCGATTCTGGTGATTGTATGAAATGGCGAAATATGACAGCCTACGCTTACTGGTTCGGCACGTGATGATAATGAATTTTACTTAATGTATTTCTTTGTTATTTGTTTAAAAAAAAATGATTAGTGATGATCTTCATTACTGCTCTGGACAGCTTCATTGGTGCTTCAGTGTTCTCAGTAGTTCCACAGGCATAAAACAAAAGATTACACTTGTATTGTGTTGATTGACCAAACATCTTGTGCCCTTAGTGAAATAGTTATGCCTAGCAGTACCAGGTTGCACACCCATATTGTTAGTTATATTCTTTGCCTTATACAATAATGAATCTTTAGACCCATCAAAGATGCAAACAGCAGGAATGTTAGAGTGAGAAGCAACAGCGAAATTTGTAATCTGTTTAAATCACATTGATCACTGGCATCATGAGGGCTAATAGACTGAATTAGCTGGGGCGTATTGAGAGAATGACAGAGAGGTAAAACTATACAAGGTAGTTGAATGGTTGTAGACCCTGAATCAGTTCATGAGAATGATTGAGAGAATGACAGAGAGGTAAAAACTACACAAGAGAGTTGAATAGTTGTAGACCCTGAATCAGTTCATGAGAATGATTGAGAGAATGACAGAGAGGTAAAAACTATACAAGGTAGTTGAATGGTTGTAGACCCTGAATCAGTTCATGAGGATGATTGAGAGAATGACAGAGAGGTAAAAACTACACAAGAGAGTTGAACAGTTGTAGACCCTGAATCAGTTCATGAGAATAATTGAGAGAATGACAGAGAGGTAAAAACTACACAAGAGAGTTGATTAGTTGTATACCCTGAGTCAGACCAAGAAGATGATTGAGAGAATAACAGACAGGTTGAAAATTACATAAGGGAGTTGAACAGTTGTAGACCCTGGAGAGAAAAAATCCAGACAAATCTACAAACACTTGGTGTCACCAAGAGAAGGCAAACCAAAGAGATTAATGGAGGCTGGTGATATCTGCAGCAGTAAACCTCAAGGGTTTGGAATGCTAAAGAAGACGAATCTGCATCTCACATCACTCATTGCCTTAAACACCCACACAAGCCGGTTACAAAGAGAAAGGTTACAGGCATTTCCTTGTTGACATTGTTTGGTTCTCATTGGATTGAGCTGTTGTATTATATATTGTGCTGTAGTTTGTATTGTGTATGTTTACATGAGAAAAACATTGTACTGTGTATGTTTGCATGAGAAAAAAAATTGTGCTATGTATGTTTGCATAAGAAAAAAAATTTTGTAACCATACACAGTTAAATATATTTTTAAAATTATATCTTTATATTTATGGTTCTGAGCTATTTTCTTTCAGCGATCAGTCCTACCATCGGCTGGGACAGATGTGTTTGGAGTATGATCCACCCATGAAGAAGTTGGCAGAGGAGTTTGTACCTCACTCAAGGGTAAGTCCCATACATTTATCGGTTTATATCACTCAAGTGAAACCCCATAACATTGTTGGTTAGTTTGTACCTCACTCAAGGGTAAGTCCCATAAATGTGTTGGTTAGTTTGTGCCTCACTCAGCGGTAAGTCCCATAAATTTGTTGGTTAGTTTGTTCCTTACTCAAGGGTAAGTCCCATAAATTTGTTATTTAGTTTGTACCTCAATCAAAGGTTAGTGCCAGAAAATGAATTTGTTAGTTTGTACAGGATTATTATGCCTTTTGCAAATTAAATTCACCCTTTTCCAAAAGAAATCAAAAATAAAAACATAAGTGCATTATTATATGCCTGATGCCTGTCATAAAAATGGTCCTTTATTTTACTTATGCTGTGTGTCCCATATAATGTAAACTGTATTATGTGTCTCATTGACATAATGCACATTGTATGTCCCATTACACATAACTTATATTGTGTGTCCAATTTGCATAACCCATATTATTAGTCCAATTTGACATAACTCATATTGTCTGTCCTGTTTGATATAGCACTATTCTGTGTCACATTTGACATAACTCATGTTGTATTTCCCATTTGACATAACCCATGTTGTATCTCCCATTTGACATAACCCATGTTGTATCTCCCATTTGACATAACCCATGTTGTATCTTCCATTTGACATAACCCATGTTGTATCTCCCATTTGACATAACCCATGTTGTATCTCCCATTTGACATAAGCCATATTGTATTTCCTATTTGACAAAACCAGTACTGTATATCCCATTTGGCATAAACCATATTGTATGACCCATTTGGCATAAACCATATTGTATGACCCATTTGACATAACCCATATTGTTTGACTCCTTTGACATAACCCATATTATATGTTCCATTTGACATAACCCTATTATGTGTCCATTTTATGTAACCCATGTTTTGTGTCCCATTTGACATAACCTATATTGTCACATTCGATATAACTTATATTATGTGTCCCATTCCACTTACTTTATTTGTCCCATTCAACATAACACACATGATGTGTCCCATTTCAGCACCTGATGCCAGCGCTGATGTCGCTACACAAAGTTTACCCTCGACGTAACCTGTCCGCAGAAGTCTTGAGAAATCTTCAAGTTCTGTCTATTCTTTCAGAACCTGCTAAAATGGCCAGTGTTCCTACCACAGACATGGTAAGAATTTTTGTCATAGTCTTTCACATATCATACATTTTTTATTTGGATCTTTATAAAATGCAAGGGTGCTGACAGTGAATAAGTTAACTAAGTTAAAAACAAATGTTATTTGTAAAGGTCTTTTTTCCACACCTTTAGGCATATAGGGCTAGACCGATATTTTTATAGACCAATCGGCACAAGGTGGGTGATGTGGTCAGCATCACGCCAGAGAAGGACTAAGGCTAGAAATGAAATAATGATTAAAAAAAAATTTTCGAGTACAGAGGCCAAATTTATTAAAGGTTATTACCCATATATGGACACACATAAATTCCTCATATGGATTCCCGGCGGAATTCTGGCCGGGATTGGAGCCTGCTCCGTAACAAGCATGTCATAAGAGATTAACAGATGACTAGTTAGAGTTTTGCAGAAATCTTGTGTGTTGGACCAAAAGGCACAGATACTACAGTCTATTTGTAAACTACAACACATCGTGTCAGTCGTCATTTTTAAGGGCGGACAGATGAAGAAGGACACAGAAACCATCATTTTTCCTGTTACTCTTCTGTTTCATATTCTTTAAAACTCTTGCTGTTTCTCCAGTGAACATAAAACTGTGGCAAAAGAGATGAAATGCCTTAGAAGAGCTGCAGGAGTTTCAAGGAAAGACGAATGCTAGGAATAAAGCCAGTCTTACAAGTCATCAAAGAACAACAAATGAAGTGGTTTGGACACCTAACATGAAACTCTTGCTGTTTCTCCAGTGAACATAAAATTGTGGCAAAAGAGATAAAATGCCTTATAAGAGCTGCAGGAGTTTCAAGGAAAAATAAATGCTAGGAATAAAACCAGTCTTACAGGTCATCAACACTTCGCTGGGGTACAAGGTGTTAGAGAAGAAGAAGAAGCTGTTTCTGCTTTTGACTAAGTAATTTGATAAGTATTGGATGAAGAAATTAACATCAGATGCAGTAAAGCAAACCAAGTATTGGGACAACTAGCTCCCTTCTCACTGTGTAAGACAGTCCCAGTCAGCACAAAGAAACTTCTCATACAAAGCATATTCATGCCATATCAGGGCTACCAGTGCCAGACGTGGTCACTCACAACAAACCTGAAAATGAGATTCTGAGAAGGGCTGCAAGATTGACCTGGAGAGTCAGATTGAATTAGGTCATAGGAGAAGAAAATCGACACAGAGGTAGTTCTAAATTGCATACTAAGACAAATGGTTTGTCTGCTTAGAGAGAATGCCTTGTGACACCATACAATACAAGGCAATACCGAAACAGATGGACATAGAGCACAAGGCAGGCCAACAACAAGATGGAAGGATAACATCAGAGATCCTCTAAAACAGCACAATGTGTCTGTGTTCAAGGCGACAACACTGTGACAACAGCGTGACTCTATCTGTGTTCAAGGCTGCTAGAAGAGCAAACAGCATAACCTTGTAGCTCCATCGACACATGAAGCTGTAAAAGAGAAGGTGAAGAATAGACAAGACAAGTTTAACAGGTTGTTGTATTAATATTCTTTAACCCATTAATTAACAACAGTTTTATTAACATTATTAACTGATGCTCATAGCAAAGATTGCTAATGCTGAAATCTTAGAAGGTATTTACTTCGCTAAAATTACAGTGCAGAGAGAATATACAGACAGACCTACAGACACTTGGAAAACAGGATTGATCAAAACAATAATAGTTCAAGAGTTATAGGAGGGACATAAATTCAGTAGTAATAAAGCACAAAGTAATAAACAATACTGGAATATTCATGATTTGTTCTAATCACAGCCCAGAAGGTGTGAACCAGAAATATTAAAAAAATAATAATACCAATTGCATAAATGACTGAAAGAAATGAATATATGATATATAAAATAGCAAGAAAGCATACATTAATAATACAATTGACACTGTATATCCCAGTTTAAGGGTTAAACAAGGTATTGTTTATGTTAAAATTATTACTATTACTTCTTAAATATATATAGAAAGCTAACATGTTCAATAGGATGTTCCTATAAGCAAAGTAAAGGACCCTTTTCCACATCTTCAGGCATATTGGGCACATAGGGCTAGACCTCTATTTTATAGACCAGCCGTCACTTGGTGGGTGATGTGATCAACATCACGAGATCCGCCTTTACTTCCTAGGACTTTATCTGGTACCAATATAAGGTAGGATTGACCTGTGAGCCAAGGTAATTGTTTGAAAAAAAAAGTCCGGCTCTGTCTGTATCTGAACCCATAACCTTCGGATCTACAGGTGAACGTCTTAACTGCTATACCATGGCGGCTTCCCTATTAGAGAAAACAATAACCTTGTTGAGGTAATTCTGTCGTTATTAGTACAAATGATAATGTAAACAAATTATTACAATTTATCTTGCAGATTCAGTGTGAGTACCTGTCGCTGGATACAATGGAGCGATGGATTATCTGTGAGTTTTTAAACATAGTCATATCTGATCATATATAAATGTGTTTCTTTCACAGTTTTGAAATATGTAAAGAGAGATCTAAAGTCAAGAAGTTCATCTTTGTTGCGCTGGATATGTTCCCATCTGCCTTTTTTTTCCCACCTCTCTGCAGAATGGCTAGCCATCTGCCAAGAGCGCTGTATACGAGATGAGCTATAATTAGTTGCGCATGTTGTGATGGATGTCTTTGCCTTGTAACTCAACATATCCTACTTTAGCATGCACTTCTATTAGGACGATTCCTTAGTTCTTGGTCAGTCAAGACCTATTCATTAGTGTATGGCAATTTTTTGTTTAGAGTTCTTTCTCATAAATGAATTGCAGTCCTCAGCTGACAGGCTGACCCTGCTCAGAGTATATCTTTCCGGGACAGAAGGAGGTTTCACAAAGATCGGGCTGTCTACTCCATGCTTCATCCCACAGCCTGTCTGACCAAGGTGTCTCGTTTCATTTGTTCTCTACCCTTTCACTTATCTGACTTGGGAACCCTGCTGGTGGCTTAGCTACCGCTGGCATTAATCTCAGCACCATTGAGAAACTCCAGCTTCCCCCACCTTGGCAAGAAGACACCTCCAGGAAGGCAAGTGTAAACTGGATGATGTTGTGACAGAAAGCTGGAAAGAACAAGAGATGAATTTGGCAGGGAGCATAAAAGAACATCTGTAATAGAAATACACAAGACAGAAAGTTGTGGATAGACGTCCATGCTACATGCTGTGGACTATAAGAAGATTAATTTGCACCATTAATCACTATGCTTTAATGACTCCTAAATCTAACAATAAACATAATTATGACATTTCCTACTTTGCAGTTGGTCTGATGCTGTGTTACCAGAATCTGGCAGACGCCCCAGCATGGGATTTGTGGAAACAGGCTCTGCAGAGTAGCTACATCATCACACTGTGTCGTAATGAGGTCCTACACATCCATAGATACATCATCAGCTTCTTTGAAATTAAGGGGTTTGTATATCCACATCTGCAAAGATTCAATATGAATTTTTTCTTTGCCTGTTTATTTTCCACACAGCAGTGTTGTCACTTGTGTTTACCCTGTTGGCCCAAAGAAAGCTGGTTTTCTTACTTTTACTGGTTTTTAAATGATGTGACGACTTTGGGCAGTGGGCGGTATGCCTTTATTAGCTGTGGTACTGTTTACATTTATATAGTGTGTACAGGGCTCATAGCGACCCTTGAAAACTTGAAAACCCCTTTAACAGCATGTTGTCTTTCAAGAGAGAGGCAAACAGAAGTAGACATATATATATATAAAAATTTAGATAGAGAGAGAGAGAGAGAGAGAAGCAGACAAAGAGAGATACAGAGAATGAGGAAATAGAGAGAGAGAGAGAGGCAAACAGAGAGAGGAAATTTTAAAAATACGTATAAGTTACATTTATCTCATATATTTAAAGTATTTTTTTGTGTGTGCATATAAATGACATGTTAGTTGTAAAGTATATCATTATTTTTATCTCTGTGTGGGTTCCGAGGCCCTGTTGTGTTGGTTCCGGGGCCCTGTTGTGTGGGTTCCGTGGCCCTGTTGTGTGGGCAAATAAGCATAGACCGACTGCCTCCGAACATCCATGTTTTTAAAGTTGACTGATTAGGGGTTTTCACATCGGAGTTGGAGTGTGTGCCTGAAAGGTGAGGAACCAACAGTCTTCATACAATTAAAGCAGATCTGAAAATGGATGTGCATGCAAAATTCAAGTTCTGGGACTTGAATACTGTCCAGAAGTGGGCAGAATTTTTCCACTAGAGTTTATAGCAGTTGAACGTGAAGAAGAAGAAGGAGAAGTTATTTTTCATATAAATAAAGTTATTATACCTGTTTTAATGTATATCAGATAAATTTGCTATTTATATTATCAAATATCTATTGTCAAAATGTTTTATTTGTTATAAGGTGTATGTTTATTTTTTTTTTTTCTTTTAATTTATCACACTTTTTTTTTAGAAAGAAGGTTCTAGTATATGTAAATTCTAAAACAGTTTGGACAATTGACATTATCTGTAATTGGATTTTCTTTACTATTATGAAAGTTATAAAATATGAATTGTTGCAATCTTCATCTAGCCAAAATATTCAACACCAACATAAAAGAGTTAATGAACTCAAAGAGCTACAAGTCCAAGCTTTGCAAAATGCGTAAGTATTTTTTTGTTTTCAGCATAAGGATTGTGTTGTGTTGTGATTTTTCATGGAATGAAAATTAAATTATTTGAAAACAACACATGATGAAACTGTTGAAAACTGAATGGGATTAATTCGACAGGTGAAGAAATAAGAGAAATGTTTGCACAGCACCTGGTATCAACAGTTACAAGAGAATGAAGATAGGTCTACTATGTCAGGCCCATTTTGTGAAGATGCGTGCGGGAATATCCAGACAGGCACTGAAATGGGCAGCAGATGGACTGACAAATGAGGAAGTCCAATAGAAACTATTAAATAAACGTTGATGAGGAAAGCAAAAGGTGTTAATTGGGATTCCATCCATAATTCGAAAGAATTGCAAAAAATAAAATGGAATGGAGGAATAGTCTACAAGCTGTGTGTGCAGTAATTTTTGTGTTGTTTCAAACATTTCTGTCATTACTTGAGTGTATTTCCATGAGTCTAAGTTATATTAGAGGGAGAGAGATGCATGCACATGCACGTACACACATACACACACACAAACATACACAGAAAGAGAGAGAGAGAGAGCTAGTGAATTAATTACTTACTGTATCATTTTTTTCCCTTTTAAGATAATAAGTTTCCCTAATTTTGTTTAGTCTTAAGCACATAATGTCATAAAAAAATATATATTTCCTGATATTAGGTTAAAACAAAATTGGGGATATCTTTCACACCGAAAATTAAACAAGTCAAAGACTTTGTCATGCACTGGCATATTGAGAATATGGTTCAAGATAATATTTTAAATATTTTAATCAGCACTCAGTAGTTGATGTGGTGAACAACATGCCAGTAGCCTTTACTTCCCACATCATTTCCTGTAAGGCAGTGTTGTGGGAGGTAAAGGCAGCCTGCCTTGGTTCATGAGACATTGATATATGCCACACTTTCTGCATCCACAGACCTGTCTTACACAGAGAGAGGCGCAAATTTTTGCGCAGCACTCTCAGGGATTTGACTATAGTTTTTACTGAAGAACCAGGTCTGCTTGGGCCAAAGGTGCGTATGAAGATTTGATAACAGTTTTAGCTGTGAACACAGAAAGATGATTGTACTCTGTATCTTTTGTGGAGATAGTGTTTTAGCATCCTCATTGTTATGATGGTTTTCCTTCTGTGCATTCTGGGGCCCCATTTTGGAAGGTAAAAAAGGAATAGACCCCCGCCCTCTCCTCCCCCCCCCCCCTTCCAGGCCATTCCCCAAGATATTAAAAAAGTCTACTAATTAGGGTTTTTCCTTCAAAATCAGAGTACATCTGCCTGAGAGACAAGGACCAATAGTCTGCTTACAAAAATCTAAGTCTGTAAACAGGATGTGCATGCAAAACTCAGGCTTTGGAACAGGACTAAAGTCCAGAATTGGATGGACAACCATAACTTCCCACCAGAGTTAACAGTCGATGAACATGAAGAGGAAGACCATCTGAGAAAATCAGTGCTGTATTAACCCTTTGGAGATGACGCGGCCGAAATATCGGCCCGACACAAAGTAGTCAAAAGGATGAATGGGCTGATCAGTCGGCCTGATATAATACAAGCCTTGAGATTGGCTGGCAGGTTTTATGTACCAGCCAGTCAGATTGCTTCTCACATTTCTTGCACATGTGGGCTGTTCAGTGGCGAATTTTCAGAAAGTTTTATGTTTTTTTTAATTTTAATTCGATTATTTTGTGGGGTTACATGTGGCCAACAATGGCGGAAAAGGACTATTGCATCATAGCAATCAAAACATAGCAGGAGGCAGGAAAAGGAGTGTCTGAAGGGCCTTTATGGGCCTTCTGTCCCCCCAAAAAAACTTCTTAGGACTTATTCAAGCTTCATACATAAAAAAATTCATCCACATTTTTCAGGTAAGTTGTGTTTGTTCCGCAGGTTTAAAAAAAATGCTTGCATAAATTATGCAAATTATAATAATTTGAACAAATATTGAGATTTTAGTTTGATTCATAAATATTCTGTTAGCCCATTCAATTTCCTATTCAAAAATATTGAGTTTTGTCTATGTTAATTAAACACTTTATTTAAAAAAAAATAATTTTATGTGTGTAAACTGAGAGAATTCCCTCCTGAAGGCTCCGTCTTTTTGGCACAGAAACTCCAAAAAAAAAAGGCTCCCTCTCCAGAGGATTAATGCCTTATGATCTCTTGTTGGGACTTTTCTGTCTATCTTGAATGATGCTGTTATGTTGTGCTGTAGGGTTCTTTGGGAATCACAGCACATGACAACGGGAAGTGTGACTAGCAAGCACTGTTCTCTTTAAAAGAAAAAGCTTTCTACAGCTAGAGCATGGTAGAATTAGTTTCTTGCAATCATTATAACTGTCAGTCTTATCTCTGATGTTTATAACTCTGTGAGGTAATGTATCTTTCAGTTTTATTTGCCAAAGTTAATGTCAGACTCATCATTCATGTTTTTAAATACTCATTATTCATGTTTTTATATATGTCAGAGACAATGTTTAATTCATCTTTCATTTTTATTACTTTCAATGGCATCTCTTCTTTAATTTTATATAACTTTATAAAGTATTTTCTAACTTATATTTTATTTTCTTCAATTGTCAGAGGCAGTGTCTAACTCATCTTTCTTTCACTTTTTTAATAACTTTCAGAGGCAGTGGGTAACTCATCTTTTAGTTTCTATGACCTGCCAGAGGCAATGTCTAACTCATCTTTCATTTTCTATAAGTGTCAGAAGTATTGTCTAACCCATCTTTCATCTTCTATACTGTCTGGTAACTTATCTTTCATTTTTGTGTTTGTTAGAGGCAATATCTGGGAGCTGCTGTGTAACGGCTGCAATTCTGAAGGTTTTGGATTCAGATCCTGACGGAAGTGGAATTTATTTTAAAAAATGACTTTGGCTCTCAGGTCAACCCAGCCTTAAATACCAGGTAAAGTCCTGGGAAGTAAAGGTGGTTGGCATTATGTTGACCACATCACCCACCGAGTGGTGATGGGTCTATAAAATATAGGCCTAGCACTATGTATTCAGTTGTCTTAAGGCCTTTACCAGTGGCAATATCTAAATCTGTTCATAACACTCACTTTAAATGGGCTTTTAACAGATTTCATAACTCAGCTATTGTTATCATCTGCAGGCAATGTATGTGTTCCAAGGCTTGTCTCTCGCCCGGGACGAAGTCTTGTGGCTACTGAGGCATGTCGTGAACCCACCTTCCAGAAGTCATAATGTGAAGATTTCACCCGAGGACTTCTATGACAGGTACAACCAACTGACAATCCCTCAAGGAGAAAGATTGTATAGTTTGAAACATTATATGTAATAGACAGACAGACATGTATTGACAGCACTCATTTAAAGTAGTAGACAAAATACACCAGACATAAAAAAAGGAATCTATAGCTGCCATGCTGGGAAAACTGTCAATTCCTGGCATGATAATTGTAGTTTTGATTTTTATGTGGTCTCATGTCTCCTTCTATCATTCTACTTCTTTCTGTGAGTGTCGATCAACATGTGTTTCTTGGCATACAGATATAGAAAACAAAGTTAAAGATCTTCTACAGCTGCTTTCACCCTTAAAAAATTGGCTGGCCTATTGTGTTATGGTTTACAGCTAAGGTGCGGTATCTGTGCCTTTCCGACCAACACTCTGATTTCAGCAAAACCCTGAATCTTTTGCCTTTTATGACCTGCTTGTTAAGAGGCAGCATGCCAAAGGGATAGATGTCAAAAACTGCAGAGAAGTACCACCTCAACAAAACCCAAACAAGCCATAACAGCAATGTCTGAAATGACCAAGCAATGTTACATTTCCAAAATGTACTGTCAGAGTCAAAACCTGGTGAGCCTCAACCAGGTTCAGGTAGGAAAAAAGACAGAAAAATTAAGGAGAAAAACACTATTTTGTATTCCTTTATGGGAAGGGGACTCTCCTTCCAAACAGTAACATCTCCTCCTCCTCCTCCTCCTGTCTCAGTACTATCTTAGTAAGCACTCGACTCTTCTTAGCAAGGTAGAGTGATTTTACATTTACCTCATCTAATTGCTTTTGTATTTATGTGTTTCAGTATTAAACAGTGTTTAAATTATTGTACTCAACCCCATTAATGTATAATATGCCAGTAACAAAAGGACCCCCCCCCCCCCCCCCCCCCCCTCCATGGGAACATAACATAAATTATTCCTGCTTTATGTTTAATGGGAAAATTTGTTTGGTATATATCCACTGCTCTGGAATGGATTAGGTCAGTGGTTCCCAAACTTTTCTTAGTCGCTGTGCCTTTTTTTTTCAAATAAAAATTTTTCCACGCCGCCCTAACCTAAGTAAAAGTATAACTATTCGTATGTAAGAGCATAAAAAAAATAAAGCTCGTGTATCTTCTAATATTTTGCGGTGCCCCTATGAAGAGGTCGCGGCTCCCTGGGGTGCCACAGTGCACAGTTTGGGAATCACTTGATTAAGGGACATATACCTTGGTACCACTGTATTACAAGTCTGACTTAGCATTTTTTATTTATACAATAAATGTGTTGTGTTATTTAGTTCCATAGATCATATGTCTTGATTTATATCAATATGATTTTCAGACAGCTGCCAGAATTGCTTTTCTACATGGAGGAATTGAGAGGTAATCATTTGCTCAATGTGTTGACATATATTCTTTCTTCTTCTTCATTTACATCATTCCTATTTTCAGAGGAGTTAGTCTTTCCTCTTGAACCTAGGGCGGCGCGTAGGGCAGAAGTCTTAGCTCTCCAGGCCTGGTGGTTTCATTGCCACCTGTTTTAGGTCTTGGATGTTCATTAGGCCCATGGTTGAGCCTTTCCTGATGATGTTTCTACACAGGGTCTCTCTTGATCTTCCCCGTTTTCTGTTCCCTATTGGTGTCCATATAAGGGCTTGATGGGGAAGACTTGTATTATTCAGAGGAGGGCAGCACACCTATTTATGCATCTTTCTAACTCAGATGTCAGCAGTTTGAGTCCCTTCATCTAGCTTCAGGGCGCATTTTTTTGGTATTTTTCTAAATCCACAAATGACAGAATGTTTTCATCATAGAGCCTAGAGAAAAAGTTGGACCACAAAGCTTTGAAATAACAAGCTATTTGTAAAATGATACCTTATAAACCCCAGTTCTAAAATGATTTCTTATTCTTCTTCACGTTCAAGGGCTTTGAACTCCAGTGAAAAGTTCTTGTTGTTTGTCCACTTCTGGACATCAGTCTTGTTTCAGAACTTGAGTTTTGCAGAGTTTTGCCTGAACATCCATTTTACAGATCAGGCTTATATATATGCAGACTGATGATTCCTTGCCGTTCAGGCAGAGACACTCCGAAGGTAACATCTCTAATTACTTGACTCTTACAACATGCATGTTAGGGGACTGTGGGTCTATTGATCCCCTAAACAATGATGCCCCTGAACAACACAGGAAACTAAAATCACAGTGGAAACTAAAATCACACAGGAAACTACAAATCACACAGGAAACTAAAATCACTCTGGAAACTAAAATCACACAGGAAACTAAAATCACGCAGGAAACTAAAATCATGCAGGAAACTAAAATTACACTGGCAACTAAAATCACGCAGAAAACTAAAATCACACAGGAAACTAAAATCACAGTGGAAATTAAAATCACACAGGAAACTATAAATCATGCAGGAAACTAAAATCACATAGGAAACTAAAATCATGCAAGAAACTAAAATCACATTGAAAACTAAAAATCACGCTGGAAACTAAAATCACAGAGGAAACAAATCACGCAGGAAACTAAAATTACACTGGCAATTAAAATCACGCAGGAAACTAAAATCATGCAGGAAACTAAAATCACACTAAAATTCTCACAACCTCAGTGATGATGACGTTTTAACAGTCCTCTACCAACCTTTTAAATTATCAAAAAATTCAGCAAGCATAATGGTTGAACAACAAGCACACTTGGGCATGCATGCAGGACACATGCATGCACTTACACAGTTATTTTAAATCATCAAAACCTCAGCAGATGTGATACCTCAACAATTAGTTAATTACATAAAATGCGTTTTTTTACAGAGTGAAACACAAAGATACTTAGAGATCATATCAATATATTAAAGGTTTCATCATATATTTTTGGGGGTTTTTGTTGTTGTTGCATTTTATATTGCCATATCCTGCTAATATCAAAATATTTCTTATTTAATCTATTCTTGTTGAATTTGTGCAAGCTGTGATGTTTTGTATTCTGATAAATGAATGTTCAAACAATGAGGACACAAAAATAAGTGCACAATTTACTACTAGGCTTATTTCACTGCATCTCAACATGTGTATAATGCATAATTTATATCAGCATATAATGGAACGCACAAACACAGAAAAATTAATCCCTTTAATAACTGACATATAACAATCACATTCCATTGTTACACTGTACATTTCACCATGGAAGTCTTAGGTTAACCAAGTGATCGCTTTGTTTACATAATTCACGATTGCCCATTCTGAAAAAAAAAATATATATATATGAGATTATCTTATGTATTTAGCTGGGAAATGTTGGTACTCATATACTTAGTGTGTGTGGGATGTCTGAGACAACTGAGTGTCTTGTCTTCCAGGTTAGTGTGGGTGGGATGTCTGTGACAACTGAATGTCTTGTCTTCCTGTTAATGTGTGTGGGATGTCTGTGACAACTGAGTGTCTTGTCTTCCAGGTTAGTGTGTGTGGGATGTCTGTTACAGCTGAATGTCTTGTTTTCCAGGTTTGGTGAAGAAGTACAATGAGGTGATTCAGAGGTACTATGTCCAGTACTTGTCAGGATATGATGCTGTCTATCTCAATCAGCTAATCCAGGTATGGGTGTCTTTTGTGTTTGAGACATTCTGTACTTTTTTGTTAACACACACATGCACACACTAGCCCACTTATGTACTGACATTAATGCACACACACCCACTCATGTGCTCACATAAATGCACAACCACCCACTCTTGTGAATAACACCTTTGCAACCACCCCCTCCAAACACACACACACTTACTATCACACATACACCCACCCACTCAGGTGATACACACCTTTTCAAACACCCCCACACACACACACACACACACACACTCTCACTCTCTCTGTCTCTCTATCTGTCTGTCTGTCTGTCTGTCTGTCTGTCTGTCTGTCTGTCTGTCTGTCTGTCTGTCTGTCTGTCTGTCTGTCTGTCTGTCTGTCTGTCTGTCTGTCTCTCTCTCTCTCTCTCTCTCTCTCTCTCTCTCTCTCTCTCTCTCTCTCTCTCTCTCTCTCTCTCTCTCTCTCTCTCTCTCTCTCTCTCTCTCTCTCTCTCTCTCTCTCTCTCTCATATATATACATATATACTGTGGATAATTGTCTTCCTTCTCTGTACATGATTGACCAGGCACCAAAGTTCACCAGCTTTATCTTGCACAGATGGGTCTGTGAAGCGCAGGTCAGTGTGGACATACATAGCACACAGGATGGAAATAATAAAAGAGGATAGTGGCAACTACATCGAGCATGACCAGGGAGATAACTGCTGCTTTCAGAGCACTCGCATGGGCAGCGGAACAGAGTGATTGTTTCAGACTCTGTGAACATGCTTCAGAAAATTGCAACAGGGCGGTTTATGCTCTGAGTGGGTAGAAAGCATTTGGAAGTCACGATTAACTTCCATCACCTGGATCTACACACCTGGGTATGAAGGAGTAAAAGGTAATGAACAAGCTGACTAGCTGGCAATTATTGTACCAGTGCATGCAGGTAGAAGCATCGAAAAGCTATCATCAACACTGTATGAACTAGGCTAGCAGAGGGTGATGAATCTATGATGCTAACACAGTTGCATGACATGGGAGCAAAGCATGGTGAAGCATGTCTTTGATGCCTTAGAGGCAGAGATAGGAGACATTATAAGCAACTCCTCGTGGGAACAGTCAGTAGAGATACCATGGCTGCTGCATCGAAGAACTGCACACATGGGAATGCCCAGTGTGTGTGGTGATGTCATTTTTTGGCTACGTTAAGAGTTGAAACATGCGACTTGAAAGATTTGTGTGGGGGGGGGGGGGGGGAAGAGAGTTAGAGGAAGACAACCAGAGACAATTTTTGACAGTTTTTTGTCGGGGCATGATAGTGTGTCAGCACATGAACTGATGCTTGTTGTTGAGGATCATAAAATGTGAAGAAGCATGATCACTCACAGTAGAAGACAACACAGTCAATGATGATAATATAATATTTATAACGGTGTATACATTCTGTAAACAGTGTTCAAATATTGTGAATCTTTGCAGAATATCTCCATGTGTCCGGAGGATGAATCGGTCATTTTGTCATCGTTCTATAACAGTATTGCTGCTCTGTCAGTCAAACAAGGTATTACTTTTGTATAGAATTTTATGATGCCCTCCATTTAAAAAATAAACAATAGAACGTACAAGAATAAGTAAAGAACCACCTAGACACCTGAGGCACAACAGGCATTTAGTTCTAAACATACAATTTTTATAGGGATTCGCCATGGCTGAGTGGCTAGACGCTCGTCACGGATTGGAAGGTCGTGGGATCGCTCCTTGGTAGAGCCAGACTTTTCTCAAAAATAACCTTGGCTCCCAGGTCGACCCAGCCTTGAGTGGGTACCCGGTGGAGTCCCATGAAGTAAAGGCGGCCGGTGTGATGCTGACCACATCACTCATCTTGTACTGATTGGTCTGTAAAAATATAGGTCTAGCCCTATATGCCCTATACGCCTAAATCGTGGAAAAGGGTCCTTCACTTTATACATTTTTATAGACCAATTGGCACTCGATGGGTGATGTCATCAACATCATGCCAGCTGCCTTTACTTCCCAGGACATTAACTGGTCCATAAGATTAACTGGTCCATAAGATTAACTGGTCCATAAGATTAACTGGTCCATAAGATTAACTGGTCCATAAGATTAACTGGTCCATAAGATTAACTGGTCCATAAGATTAACTGGTCCATAAGATTAACTGGTCCATAAGATTAACTGGTCCATAAGATTAACTGGTCCATAACATTAACTGGTCCATAAGATTAACTGGTCCATAAGATTAACTAGTCTATAAGACAAGGTACATAAAACATTTGTGTAGAGTTTCAGAGAGAGAGAGAGATCATACATTAGTTCTTAGTTTAAGATACATTGAATCATAGTCAAGTTGGTAAGACCCTGGTTTCTCAGTAATAGTAATTTCATCCGTCAGTCATGGAGATGTGCAGCTGGCTTCGGGAATAACATCTGCTGTGACTGTTATGTCTGGTGCGGAAGTGGTTGTCTCTGCCAGACAGGATACACACATAAAAGTAGATGCTCCCATGCTGTGAGTTGATTTTCTCTCTGGCGTCTCTTCTTTTTAGCTCGGTGCGTTTGGTTTCTTTCAAATTCTGACAATCCGTCTCTCACTTTCTGCCGCCATAGTAATCAGTCTGCAGCTGATTTTTCCCAAGGCTGTGCCTATGTTGGTATCTGTCAGGTCATGTTTGCATATGTCTTTATAACGTAGTTTTGGCCTTCCTGTAGGTCTGTTCCCTGTTTCCAGTTCACCATATATGAGATCTTTTTGGAAAATGACTATCCTCCATGCAGGAGACATTTCTCAAATCCTTATATTAATCAGGCAGTTGCTTATAACAACTCAATCAGTTATTAGAGTATGTAACACCATTTTTTGCTTACTTATTATTTTCAGTATTAAAGTAAATTAACACACTATTGCGTTTATTTTCAGTTGAAAAAAATGAGCTTTTTGACTTTCGTGGTTTCCGCCTTGACTGGTTTAGACTTCAGGTAAGTCAACTATTTATATGGGAAATATCTTTTGATTTTTCCGCTTCTGTCTTAGTTCATATTTTGTAATCTATTTCTTCTTTTGTTTTTCATAACCTCCTCTGTCTTTCTTATTCTACGTTTATCCTTGTCTTTTTTTTTTTTACCTTATTTTTTTTCTTGGTTGTTTTTCCATATAATTTGTAATGTCACTGTATATTTTTGTGTCTGAGTATGGGATCCAGTGTCTCATTTTTGGAGAGAAAAACACAGTAGACCCACTTGTTTTTAATCAAGCTTGTCATAAAAGGTGACTGATTAAAGATTCGCTGAAGTCGTATATATTGAGCCAAAAGGCACATTTATCACACGTCCTGGCTGTAAACCAAAACACAATGAGCCAAAGAAGAAGAATGCATTTGTGGATTATATGGGATGTTTAGACAATACATTGGTCTTGTACATTTTCTACTTATCAGCAGTTAATTTCTTCTTCTTCTGGTCCATGCTGCATCATGTCAGTTCTCATGTTTATCCGCGGCCTTCTGTCTCAAGCACTACCAGTCATTTTTCATACAGATGTTCCTTCTTATCATGATGCCAGCCTAATGTCTTCTCCTTTGTCTACCTCTGTTTTTTTTTCTCCAGTTTTTCTGTTACAACATACTCCAGTTTTCCTCTTGCTAGAATATACTCCAGTTTTCCTGTTGTTACAACATACTCCAGTTTTCCTGTTGTTACAACATACTCCAGTTTTCCTGTTGTTACAACATACTCCAGTTTTCCTGTTGTTACAACATACTCCAGTTTTCCTGGTGTGTTACAACATACTCTAGTTTTCCTGGTGTTAGAACATACTTCAGTTTTTCTGTTGTTACAACATACTCCAGTTTTCCTGGTGTATTACAACATACTCCAGTTTTCCTGGTGTTAGAACATACTTCAATTTTTCTGTTGTTACAACATACTCCAGTTTTCCTGTTGTTACAACATACTCCAGATTTCCTGTTGTTACAACATACTCCAGTTTTCCTGGTGTAAGAACATACATCAGTTTTCCTGTTGTTAAAACATACTCAAGTTTTCCTGATGTTAGAAAACTGGTAAGAAATTATTTCTTTAATGGCGTCTTTGTTATGATTTTTATCTGTCCATTTTTGTTGTCATAATACACATATAAAACCACATTATGACAGCTTTCACAAACTTTCTCAGTAATCAGCAAACTGTCCATGATTCACTGACATAAATCAGGATTGGTCTTATATAGTTCTTCAAAACTTGCTTTCTCACCTCAGGTGGTGAAGATATAGTGAAAAGATAAGCTTAGGACTCCTTTTAAGCCAGTGGCGGATCAGGCATGTGATGGGGGACACATATTTTGATAGACCAGTCAGCACCCTGTGGGTGATTCAACACCACACTGGCCTTTTTTTTACCTCCCAGGACATTACCTTGTTATCCATTTAAGGATAGGTCGATCTGGGAGCCACCAAGGTCAGTTTTGAAAGAAAGAAAAATCAAATTTCATGTCGCGGATTCACATCCCAAGACCTTCAGGCTGGCAAGAGACCATCTAGCCTCTACGCTTCAACTGCTGCCGATAAGGATATAGAGACAGAAATTCTACCTTGTGATATATTAAAAAAAAAAAAAAACATTTTGCAATGTGTTGCAACTACTATCATGTGCCTCTGCCTGCAGGCCTACACCAGTGTCAGCAAAGCTGCTCTAGAACTGAAGAACCACCAGGACCTTGCCAAACATCTGAACACTGTAGTTTTCCACACCAAAATGGTTGATTACCTCGACGAGATGGTCAACGAGACCGGAGATTTGTCCATCTACTGGTAAGAGTCTGATTTGTTATTGCTGATTTTTGTGTGTGTAGGAAACTTAACTCTTTAAGACAAGGAACCAACAGTCTGCATACTGAAAATGTAAGATCTGTAAAACAGATGTGCACACACAACTCAAGTTGTGGATCAAGAACAACCAGAACGAACAACCAGGTCTTCCCACCAGAATTTACAGCCGGTGTACACAAAAAAGAAGAAGAAAAAGAATAAATAGTTAAGAATATTTAAAGAAATGTGATCAATGTTTATGAATCCAGCTCTGCTGGAGAGAGATAAACAATCTGAAAATTAAAACTCCAGGATGCAGAGGGAGACCTAGAATAAGAGGTGGACCGAAGAAAGAGGGGGACCGAGGAAAGAGGGGGACCGAGGAAAGAGGGTGACCGAGGAAAGAGGGGGACCGAGGAAAGAGGGTGACAGAGGAAAGAGGGGGACCGAGGAAAGAGGGGGACCAAGGAAAGAGGGTGATCTAGAATAAGAGGTGGACCGAAGAAAGAGGGGGACCGAGGAAAGAGGGGGACCGAGGAAAGAGGGTGACCGAGGAAAGAGGGTGACCGAGGAAAGAGGGTGACCGAGGAAAGAGGGGGACCGAGGAAAGAGGGTGACAGAGGAAAGAGGGTAACAGAGGAAAGAGGGGGACAGAGGAAAGAGGGGGACAGAGGAAAGAGGGGGACAGAGGAAAGAGGGGGACTGAGGAAAGAGGGGTACTGAGGAAACAAGGACGTCCAAGAGAAACTCTTGGATATGATGGTGCAATGGGATAACTGTCAGTCAAGTCATGTATGCTGCATATGTGTGTATGTCCATGTGTGTGTATGTTGCATGTGTGTGTATGTTGTATATGTGTGTATGTTGCATATGTGTGTATGTTGCATATGTGTGTATGTTGCATATGTGTGTATGTTGCATATGTGTGTATGTTGCATATGTGTGTATGTTGCATATGTGTGTATGTTGCATATGTGTGTATGTTGCATGTGTGTGTATGTTGCATGTGTGTGTATGTTGCATGTGTGTGTATGTTGCATGTGTGTGTATGTTGCATGTGTGTGTATGTTGCATATGTGTGTATGTTGCATATGTGTGTATGTTGCATATGTGTGTATGTCCATGTGTGTGTATGTTGCATGTGTGTGTATGTTGTATATGTGTGTATGTTGCATATGTGTGTATGTTGCATATGTGTGTATGTTGCATATGTGTGTATGTCCATGTGTGTGTATGTTGCATGTGTGTGTATGTTGTGTATGTATGTTTGTTGCATGTGTGTGTATGTTGCATGTGTGTGTATGTTGTATATGTGTGTATGTCCATGTGTGTGTATGTTGCATGTGTGTGTATGTTGTATATGTGTGTATGTCCATGTGTGTGTATGTTGCATGTGTGTGTATGTTGTATATGTGTGTATGTCCATGTGTGTGTATGTTGCATGTGTGTGTATGTTGTATATGTGTGTATGTCCATGTATGTGTATGTTGCATGTGTGTGTATGTTGTATATGTGTGTATGTTGCATATGTGTGTATGTTGCATATGTGTGTATGTTGCATGTGTGTGTATGTTGCATGTGTGTGTATGTTGCATGTGTGTGTATGTTGCATATGTGTGTATGTTGCATATGTGTGTATGTTGCATGTGTGTGTATGTTGCATGTGTGTGTATGTTGCATATGTGTGTATGTTGCATATGTGTGTATGTTGTATATGTGTGTATGTTGCATGTGTGTGTATGTTGTATATGTGTGTATGTCCATGTGTGTGTATGTTGCATGTGTGTGTGTGTTGTTTATGTGTGTATGTCCATGTGTGTGTATGTTGCATGTGTGTGTATGTTGTATATGTGTGTATGTTGCATGTGTGTGTATGTTGCATGTGTGTGTATGTTGTATATGTGTGTATGTCCATGTGTGTGTATGTTGTATATGTGTGTATGTTGCATATGTGTGTATGTTGCATATGTGTGTATGTTGCATGTGTGTGTATGTTGCATGTGTGTGTATGTTGCATGTGTGTGTATGTTGCATGTGTGTGTATGTTGCATGTGTGTGTATGTTGCATATGTGTGTATGTTGCATATGTGTGTATGTTGCATATGTGTGTATGTCCATGTGTGTGTATGTTGCATATGTGTGTATGTCCATGTGTGTGTATGTTGCATGTGTGTGTATGCTGTATATGTGTGTATGTCCATGTGTGTGTATGTTGCATGTGTGTGTATGTTGCATATGTGTGTATGTCCATGTGTGTGTATGTTGCATATGTGTGTATGTTGCATATGTGTGTATGTCCATGTGTGTGTATGTTGCATATGTGTGTATGTCCATGTGTGTGTATGTTGCATGTGTGTGTATGTTGCATATGTGTGTATGTTGCATGTGTGTGTATGTTGCATATGTGTGTATGTTGCATATGTGTGTATGTTGCATATGTGTGTATGTCCATGTGTGTGTCTGTTGCATGTGTGTGTATGCTGTATATGTGTGTATGTCCATGTGTGTGTATGTTGCATGTGTGTGTATGTTGTATATGTGTGTATGTTGCATGTGTGTGTATGTTGCATATGTGTGTATGTTGCATATGTGTGTATGTTGCATATGTGTGTATGTTGCATGTGTGTGTATGTTGCATATGTGTGTGTTGGACCAGCTGGCAGGTATTGTCCTAGCCCACTGCAGGCTGGACAATGCATGGACAAAGCTGAAATCATTAGCGCTGTCTGGATGAGGATTGCGGATGATGACAAATCTCTGAGGCTAACACAGTTACACGATCTTGGAGTGAGGTCTGGTGAAGCTCACTGTGCTGTTTTCGAGGTCAAGATAGTGCACATTCTCATGGGAAGTCAGAGATAACTTGGGATGGCTGCTGAATTAGAGGTCTGAGCACCCATGGGAATGCCCAATATGCAGTGATTTCAATTGTGATAACATAGTATATGTGTGTGTGCCGAAATTAGGGTTGGCCTCTACTAACTTATGAAAGCGTGCAATTGGAACATGAACAGTACAGGTATTGAGATGGATTCATGCGAACAGGAGGACAATTGGGAAGAGAATAAGAACATGATACAGGTATTGAGATAGATTCATGAAAACAGGAGGACAATTAGGAAGAGAATAAGATCACGATACAGGTATTGAGATGGATTTATTAAAACAGGAGGATAATTGGGAAGAGAATACGAACATGATACAGGTATTGAGATGGATTTATTAAAACAGGAGGAGAATTGGGAAGAGAGAAAGAACATGATACAGGTATTGAGATGGATTTATTAAAACAGGAGGAGAATTGGGAAGAGAGAAAGAACATGATACAGGTATTGAGATGGATTTATTAAAACAGGAGGAGAATTGGGAAGAGAGAAAGAACATGATACAGGTATTGAGATGGATTTATTAAAACAGGAGGAGAATTGGGAAGAGAGAAAGAACATGATACAGGTATTGAGATGGATTCATGCGACCAGCAGGACAATCGGGAAGAGAAAAAGAACAGAGGTGAAAATGATTGTATCTGGGTTAAGAGCTGAGCGTTTGGTAAGATACGCGTAAGATATATCCAAGAAAACTATGGTCCTAAAATCCGGTGAACTTGCAGTGGAAGAATTTTCTTGACAGGAACTGGTCTTGCTAGTCACAGTCGTCATCATCGCAGTCTTTAATTTCCAAGTTTCCCTGAAGAAGTGTCCAGAAAGATAGGAATGTGCTAATATATATGTGTGTCTTTCTCTATTTCTCATTCATTTACTGATGTAAACAATGCCTATGAATGTAAAACGTGAGCTGCAGTAGCAGAGTGGCCAGATGGTTTAGGTCTTTCTTTCTTTCTTTTTTTTTTTCCATATTGCTGCGGACTTTTTTGCTCTCCATTATTTACCTTGGCTCCGAGGTCGACCGAGCCTAAAATAGGTACCAGGTAATGTCCTGAAAAGGAAAGATGGGCGATTGGTTAATACAAATATGAGTCATAGCTTCACATACCTGATGTGCCACTGGCATAAAAAAGGTCTGTAACTTTTACCTCTATCACTGCGAACTCTTCATGTTTGTTACAGCTTCTACACAACATTGTTTGAGCATCAGTTCAAGCAGTGCATGGAGTTCCTGGCCCAGCACCGCTACAGCATCATCTTTCCCATGATCTGCGGGCATTTTATGAATGCGACACACAGCTTGTGTCCGGAAGAGGTAAGCCTTCTCGAACTATTCATCATCATCATCATTTAGCATTTGCAATCATGCTTCTCTGTGATTCGTGGTCTCTAAAAGATTGTATCAGTTCATGTGGCGCCAAGTTTCCATACAGTGATGAAAATTATAAAGCGTATTCATTCCCACACCATGCTACCAGTACCAGACATGGTCAGTTCAAGACCGGCTGCAGCTGACGGGCCATGCTGCTGACATCACCTAACCGGGCTAACTATACGTTAACACAGCATTTCTCAAACTGCGTGCCAGAAGTGTATGTCAGGGATTCCGCAGCATTAAGCAAGAAATTTGCCTTATCTGCTTGACATTAAATTTGCACTATTTTTTTCTGTTCCTAAGTATTCCAACCGCTTTAAGCTTAGGTAGGTGTGCCGCTAAATTTCTTTTGCCTGACGAATAAAGTTTGAGAAACCCTGTGTTAATGTTTCATTAGCCCGGTTCGGTGACGCCAGAAGCATGGCCCATCAGCTGGAGCCAGTGTTGATCAGTTACAACAAACCAGAAGAGAAAAATTTAATCTTGGAAATGAGATGTCTGAGAAAAGATGCATGACGGACCAGAAGAGATAAAATCAGGAATGAGGTCATAGGAGAAAGGTCAACACAGAACCAATTCTAAATTACGCGCCCCCCAGTGTGGGTTCCGGGGCCCCATTGTGGGGAAAACAAGAATAGACCCACTGCCTCCCTAAAAGCATGTTGTAAGAGTCGACTAATTGGGGAGCTTGCTTTGAAGTCGGAGTGCATCTGCCGGTGAGGCAAGGAACCAACAGTCTGTATTCAAGAGAATGAGACCTGTAAAACTGATGCACACGCAACACTCAGGTTCTGGAGCAGGACTGCAGTTCAGTAGTGGACGAGCAACCAGAACTTTTCGCCAGAGTGTACAGCTGGTGAACGCAAAGAAGAAGAAGAAGAATTACACGCAAAGTCAGCAAATCAAATGGTTTACCTACTTAAAGAGACTGCCTTCTGATGTCATTGTCATACCATAGAAGATATACACTAAAATAGGAGGAGGATGTGGATCGCAGGGTAGACCAAAGCAAGATGGACAGATAACATCAAGGAAACTCTACAAAAGCATGATGTATCTGTGGGAAAGGTGGCCAGAACAGCAAGAAGCAGAACCTTATTTCTCCCTACAAAAGAGGTCAAAGAGGAAGCGAAGACGATGAAAAGTAAAAGACCCTTTCTACACGGTCAAAGCCTTGAGCATAAGATGCCACTCATATATTTATAGACCAATCGGCACTTGGGGAGGGATGTGGTCAACATCAGGCCAGCTGCCTTTATTTCCCAGGATATTACCTGGTACCCTGTTTTAGACTGGGTCAATCTGGGATGCTGATTGAAAACGGGACTTCAGGTGCATAAGTGAGAGTCTCGCCATTATGCTCCTGTGGCTCCCACAGTAATAGAATGTTGAATTAAGGCTCAACATGTCAAATAGATCATTACAGTCTGAGGAGAGTGGCGCTGCGAGGAGTTACCAGGGAGTCTGGCTGAGGCCCAACACTCAAGGGAAGGGCGAGACAGATATACAATCAGACATTTACTGGTGCCATCAGAATTAAAACTTTTTTTGCTGCTGAAGATGGGGACGGAGCACTTATGGGGGTGTTGGGAGTGCTTTGATGTTGATTCTCAATTCAACATTTATTCCGCATTCAACATCACAGCACTTGGGACATTCCTGTAAGTGCCTCATCCCCATCTTCAGCAGCAAGATCAGAGTTACAATATCTAAGGCACTAGTTACAGTCTGATTCTCCTCGGACCATCATGATCTGTTTGTTCTTTCACGTTGTTCACTCACTCCCAAAGGACCCTTACAACATCTAGCTTGTTATGTATCAATTAACCCCCCTCCCCCCCCCCCCCCCCCCCAAGTGGTTCTGAAACAGCCAGTCTGTGATGACGGAAAGTAAAGAACCTTCTCTTGCTGTTCATTCTCTATGTGTCTTCTAACTGTCTTCATCAATCTCCTTTCATGCTGCATTCCTTTATCTCTCTTTCCATAAATTTCCAATTATTACAATGTGTTCCAACTGTTCCCTTCTCAAGTTGTGAGAAAATATCAACTGCCCTTTCTTGATATTTGTAAATAAGCTGTCTTTGTTGTTAGCCTTTTTTAAAACATTTAAATACCGTTTTGACTATCTAAGGGATTAAAACAATTTTGTGTAAGATTGCACTGCATCCTCTTCGGCACACAATGCACCTTTATAGACCAGTTGGGCATGCTCTGTATCTCTGAGACATTGATTACTCTCACACAATAATCAATTTAATTAACTGGTAATTTCACTCAGATTTGCTTTTAAAAAAAAAGTATACAAATAATTATGAGTGCCAGGTTTTTAAAGTGACTAATTCCATGGCAGATGGTGGCCACTTAGGAAGTCATATTTCTGTAGTATGCTGTGACCAAATGTAGAAAGTAAGAGAACACAATGCTGGTGTTGGATAGGACACACGATGAGAAAACCTGAGAACAGTATAATAATAATGTCTTTACATTGGAGCCACAGGGACATAGAAATAAAGGCAGGCCAAATAACACATGGATAAGTTTACTAGAAATTGAAGTTAAAAAGATGGGGATGAGATGGAGTGAACTGCATGTGATAGCAAAGGATAGGACAACGTGGTGTGAGTTGGTTGAGGGTCTTTGTTCCATTTGGAGATAGAATGCAGAAGATGACAGAAGAAAAAGAAGAAGAAAGAGAACTTAGAGCAATTGCTGCTGAAGGAACACGAGTTATTATTGGTTGTGTGACACGAATGATTAATTAAGTAAACAGTTAAAAGATCTGCTTTACAAGTTTAAAGATTGGCTCTAAAAGTTGAAAGAGCTGATTTACAAGATGAAAAATTAGTTTTATAAGTTGAAATTTCAGCTTAACGAGTTGAAAGATCTGCTTTACAAGTTGAAACGTTGGCTTTAAAGGTTAAAATTTCAGCTTTGTAAATTTAAATTCTGGCTTTATTAATTAAAATGCCAGGATAATACAGAAGTACATTGAAGGTTACATGGGTAAGCTGACATCTGGGAGGAGGGCGAGAGGAAGACCAAAAAAGAGATGGATAAACGGTGTAGCTAAAACCTGCAAAAAAGATAAACAAATCCATCACCCAAGCCGCCCGAGAAGCGCAAGACAAATACAGAAAACACAGACACTGGGCTACAACCTGGTATTAGTGGGACAACAAAAGAAAGAAAGAAGATGGAGTTTTTTTTAAAGTATCCAGAAACCATGAGTTGAAAACCCTTTGGCTCAGTACTATGGATATCGCAACCCTTCGGCCTTGATTCCATGATAGATATCGTAAATCTGGGAGAAATGTGGCTTTTCTGCCAACCCCTGGGCGTGAACCCGGGCAACAAGGAGTTCGTCACTTAGTCGCTGCTCAGTCCGGCTTAGCCAATTGCGGTAGCAAGCCGGGCTTAAAGAAGATGGATAAACAAATTCTTCTTTATAGATAAATGATATTTAATGGTCATCATCAGTGAGGTGCTAATTGACATGGATCACACCTCTTTATATCTTCCATTCTCTGTCACTGAGTATTGATTTTTGTTCTGACCTCTTAATGCTTTGTTGCAAATCTATCCTGGATCTGTTTGCTTTGCCTTCCTTTCTCTTTCCCTGTGATTTTTACGGTTACAATATCTTCCATAAAGATGTAAAAGGTGACTAAGGAGAAGTTTGGTGAAATTGGATGTGTTGGGCGAAAAGGTGCAGATATTGCAGCCTAGCTGGTAAACCATTTTGATTGCATCACGGTGCAGAGAACCACGTGACTTCACAGTAGGAGTATAGAGATGGTTGCCCTGCTTGTGGCCAAACTGACATGACAGTGGTTTTTTTCTGGGGTATTTATATAACAAACTAAAACTGTAATTTCAAGTTCCATTACATGTCTGTCTATCTGACTACAAAATGAATTCACTAAACCAAGTCTAGGAAGCTCACTGGGGGGAAGGAAAAATATGCATATGGCTACCAATTTGTGGGATCTGGTGACTATGATTCTTCATATTACTGTGTGATCTGTCAGATTATTCGACAGCCTGTCTACCTGTTTGTAAAATATAATATAGCCATAAATACTGAGATATGCTAATATATAACTTGCAGTATTGGTTCTGTAATTGTCCAGAATCTATGCCTGGGGCTGCTAACTATCATGTATCCATTACTTCCATGATTGATCTCCGTTTGATTGCATCAGCGTGCTTACTTACACATCTGCTTTATCTATATCCACCACTATCACATATATCCTCATCCATCATCACCACCACTACTGCAACCACCACAATCAGCGCCACTCCATCGGCACCACAAGCGTCCAGTATGCCCATTGGTTCCTACGCGAGATGTCGGAGGAAGTCAACCAGGTCATCACGTCTATTTGTGAAGAGCAGTGCATGCTCAACTACAAGGTAACTGTAAACATGGTAACTCTGGCAGCATGGCCGTCTCTACATGGTGCTCAAAGTTAGAATAGACGGTTGAATCAAGGTGAAAGGGTTCAGACCAAAGCTTCGACACCCGACAGCAGTGTTTACCAGCAGCTCAGTAGGACAAATGTTGTCCTTTTGTTTTCTCCAGTTTCCATGTTGTTTTCCTGTTACGTTGTTATATTTTTTATTCAGCATGCACAGTCTATTGGTGGTGGTGGTTGGTTGCACATTGAAGCATCGTATCATGTTAATTGAATGTTTTCTTCATACTTGTTTGAGTCTATATTTATCATCATTATTATCAAATTATTTCCATAGGAATGTACATTGTATTTACATTTGCTAGGAGTTGGTCACATTTCTTGGAAGGTGGAATGGCCTAGGGTGGTGGTAAGAGCCTCAGGTGCAGTTAGGATCAGTGAAAATATGTAAGGCAGCGGTGGAGACAGTGAAGAAGTAGAAGGCGGGAGAATAACATTTTCATTAAGTTTCCCTGGTGAAACCAGGTAGTTAAATCTTGTAGCACAAAAGTAAAAAGTATAGAACCGTGAAGGTTTTTGGCTATATGGTGCTAGTCCTATATATTTTACACTGACTGGCATTCGATAATCTTGTCATCATGACATTCACCTTTACTTCCCAGGAAATTTCCTGGCACCAGTATTTCTGGATAGACCTATATTTTTTTAATAGTTCTTCTTTTGATAGTCTATGCTGTGTCGGGTTGGCAGTCATGTGCATCCGCAGCCTTCTATCTTATGTACTTTCTGTCTGCTCTGACATAGACGATCTCTCAAAGAGTCAGATGGACAAACTAGAGCGCATACAGAACGCGGCTATGCGGGTCATTCTGGGGTGCACCAGAGACACCCCAGTGGTGTGTATGCGATACATCCTTGGTTTGCCGACGGTTGCAGGTAGGCACAAGGTGATGCAGGCGAAGTCATATCTCAGGGTAGCTGCAGACACAGACCACCCTCTGCATGAAGCTCTGGGTGCAGTTAAGGGTCAGCGGCTGATAAGAGGGAGGTCATGGATGGCTCAGGCAGAAGACACAATCAGACAGGTTTGCATCCTTGAGAACATTAGGCGAGGAGAGGAGAATGCAGAGACTGGTCAGCAGGTACCACAGAGGTGGAAATTCAGCAATTAATTCAAGATCATTTACACAGACAGCTCAGTGTCAAGAGGCAAAAGAAGTGCTTGGGGCTTTTTAGCAAAAGTTAATTGTCGACGTTTGGTGCAGGAGAGCCTAGCATATGATACCACAACATCCAGCTTAAGAATGGAGGTGGAGGCGGTCACTGCAGCTTTCCGCTGGCTAGAGAACACGACACACACACACACACATTGTAATTGTAACTGATTCAGAAAGCATGCTGAGGAAGATCAGAACAGGTATGCTTCGTGCAGAGTGGCATGCTTCGCTGCGGAGGACACGAGTGAAGAGTATTGTCTGGATTTTTTCACCTTGTAACGCCGGTGTGTTGGGAAATGAACAGGCGGACAGACTGGCTGGCTCTGCACAACTTGGAGGAATACTGCTACATGATAGGGCAGATGTGGTTAGTGCCTTGTGGGAGAGCGTGTACAATGCGGAGGAGCAGATGGATCACCACAGTTTGGTGAGATTGATGCAGTCGGGGGTGACGAGAGGTTCTGGCAGAAGCTCAAGGCTCAGAGGAAAGGCAAGACGGACGTTTAATCAGAAAGCAACTGGCACCATTGGTATCGGAACTCTTCCCTGGCTGCTGAAGATGGGGACGGAGCGCTTATGAGAATGCCCCGAGTGCTGAAATGTCGGTTCTTGAATCAAATCAGATCAAATCTGGCCAAACTTTCCCAACACAGTTTTCTCCTTCTTGTGACACGACCAAAGAGTGTAGATTGTCTTCTTCTGATGTAGCAATAGTAAAGAATTGGAAAAAAAAGCTGTTGTGGAAGAGGGGGGGGGGGGGGGGGGGGGGGGTTTAGTTCATGGAAGGTAAGAGCACTATGAGGTAAGTTAATTATATATTAATTATCAGTGTCTTTCAGTAAAACATATCATTATTGTTTGCCCTTGCAGGATTTTGTTGTTCTCATTTTATCTGCATGCATATTTTTTTTTTCATAGGCAGTCTGTTTCATATTTCAGTGCTTTTGTAGATCACTCTAGCTTTTGTGATTTCTTTGCATGGCCTTCGCACACCGCTGGTATTCTGGTGGTCATTAAGAATCACTTAAAAAGTCTATAAAGAATTCTTAGGAACCAGTAGTGGTCTGCTTATCACACTTTGAGAAACACTGATCTAGAAGAATATCATTGGTGTTGCTGTAGCTGGAATGCTTTTTTTGTTGATACATTTTTGTGTGCATGTGTTTATTTTGTTTGAACATGTTCATGAATGGTTGGCTTCACTTTTAACTTGAAAAGTGCTTTTTTCTGTGTTACACTCAAACCTCAGTTTTATGGACCATGTTTATTGAACATCAGAAGTAATGCACCAAATCTGGAGCAGCTAATTTAAAAAAAAAAAGTTTTTAGAGTTCAAAACATGTACCCTGGGTGCAGTTGTAGCAACACTTAACAAAAGCAACTGCTCTTTTTATAAGCTTTTATTCAGCTCACTCATGTTAATTGCCATATCAGAACCTTTAAACTATTTTATGATAAGCTGTCAAGCTAAAATTTAGCACACACTTTTTGTTGATGACAATGCTGTGTGATAGAATAATATTTCGTTGAAAAGTACATGCTTTAATTATTTGTGGTATAAAAATGTAGATGAATTATATAAAGAGGATTATTTCATCTCTTGTTTCAAATAAACCGTATACTACATGAAAACAAATCCTTTTACTGCATTAATTATTTAATGCACTTTTTTTTGGTGTTTGTAAAAGCATATTGTTTAAAAATATTTCACGATATAATTGTAGATATTTGCCACTACAGAGGCTATTTCAGTAAATTAGGATAGTTTGCAATATCAGAAAGATCTTGCCACACTTTTGTTCCTGATAACCTTTTGTTATTAATAACCTTTTGTTATTGATAACCTTTTGTTACTGATAACCTTTTGTTATTGATAACCTTTTGTTACTGATAACCTTTTGTTACTGTTCATAATATTGTGTCCATTAAAGTGAGGTGTGAGTGTATAGTCAAAGCCTGGGTTTTTTCTTCATTGTTGCCTGCATCACTTTATGTTGTTACGTGTTGTGTTTACTTCCTGCTCCACTGTAGTCCTTTGCACCTGACTTTGGCCTGGATGTGTGCTTATGTGTCTAACAGTATGCATCTTTGGGCAAGACAAGTGTCAAGTATGCAAACTGGTTCCTCACCGAGTTGTCGACAGAAATTACTCAGGTCATCGCAAACATCGGTGAGGAAACAGTGAAAATGGACAGTAAGGTAGGAGAATATTGAAGGAAAATATTGCAGCATGTGAGAGTTAACTGTGTACTTAAGGAGGGTTAAGAAGACTAATTGATTTAAAGGAGTTCAATAGTACCTATACAATTTTTTTTTTTTTTATTACAAACATAGATGTATTTGAGTTAGAGAATTTCTGTATAATTTTTGAGTTACAAAACAAATATCATTGAGTTAGATAGCTTTTGTATAATACAGAAGAGTTACTTCTTTATTTTCACTGGCTGTAAACTTTTGTGGAAATTTCTGATTGTTCTCCCGCTTCTAGACTTGAGTCTTATTCCAGAACTTGAGTTCTGTGGGCACATCTGTTTTACAGATCTGGCTTATTTGTTTACAGACTGCTGATCCCTAGCCTCTCTGGCAATTGCACTCTGACTCTGAAGGAAACCCCTATACAATCAGCTCTTACAACATACTTGTTAGGGAGGCTTTGAGCTACTCCCCCCACCCCCCAACCACATTGGTGCTCCAGGACCCACACAAAGAATGCATGTCCTAAGGAGATAACTAGCTTTGGGAAAGAACTAAACAAGTTCCAGTGGACTAAGAGGTGAAGGCGGTGGATGGGACACCTGTTGAGAAAACCTGAGAACAATATAACTAGGAAGTCTTTGCACTGGAACCCACAGGGGCATAAAAATAAAAGAAGACCCAAAAAAAACACATGGAGAAGGGAGCTAGAGAGTGAAGTTGAAAAGATGGGGAGGACATGGGGAGAGCTGCATCCAATAGCGAAGGATAGAACAATTTGGCATGAGTCGGTTGAGGGCCTGTGCTCTGTTGGAGGCTAGAAAGGCAGAAGAAGAAGCAGGAAATAACTGGAGATTTAACAAACAACTGATTGTCTCATCCCATGGGAAACTTCTGCCATTTCTTGGCAATAATAAACTTGTTTAAGAGCTCCAGTAGTATAGTAGATAAAGGCTCACCTGCTGACCCTAAGGTCAAGGGTTCAAATCTGCACCAAGGCAGATTTTGCAGATCACAGTTGACCTTGGCTCCCAGGTCGACCCTGCCCAAAATGGGTACCACGTAGTGTCCTGGGAAGGTGACCAGTATGATGTTGACCACATTGAGCGCGGATTGGTCTATAAAAATATAGGTCTAGCACTGTATGTTCAGTGCAATGAAGACGAGAAAAGAGCTCTTTTACTTACGTAAACATGTCAGTAAAGGTCTTGGTTTGGAACAGTTAGTTGAGGGTCAATGCTTCACTGAGAGATACAAAGGAGATGAAAAGATCAAGAAAGCACATGCAAGAATTCTCATATCCTTTAAGAGAAATGATCACAACAATTTTGATCATTTGTATTGATGGCATGCCTTGAAAACTGTCTTTTCCTGGAGGAGCTGCCAAAAGAAAAAAATGTGTGGCCACACAGAGTAGACCTGATAATTAAGCTTTAGAGATAGCTGAGACACTTCCAGCTGGCATCTATAGATCATAGAAACGCTGGGGAAGAAGACGGATTGATGCCAATGTGGCGATTTTTCTTGATATAAACTGAGTAAAAAATTTACTGAATATCTGAACTCTTTCCGCCCCAGACTTATCTTTCTTTTACCCCTAACCTCCTAAGCAGCGGCGTCCGTGGCTAAGGCGTTGCGAGTCCGACTCGTGAGCCAGCATACCGCGATCGAAACCCACTGCAGGCTGCGTGGATTGTTGTCGTGGTATGGGACGTCGCAGGTCGACCCAGCCTAAAATGGGTACCAGGATGGGCTGTCCTGGGAAAGTAAAGACAGCCGGCGTAATGCTGACCACATTACCCACAGAGTGCTGATGGTCTATAAAAATATGGGACGCTCTGCCCATATGTCCGATGCGCCGAAAGGCGTGAAAAGGGATCTTTACTTTTTTTTTTAACCTCTTAAGCAGTAGCTGCTTAAAGTAATTGTTTAGGGGTCTGAAAAGGTTAAGATAATAATCCCAAGGGATAAAATGAACTGAAGTATCACTTGGGATAGAACAAGTTAACTCTACAGCTGGCTAGGATAGAGGGTGCTCAGATAGACAGAACATGTTAAGTAACTCCTGTGAACCCATGACGAGATGCTTGGTACCAGAAAAGTTAATTAATTTTGTAACTCTGTTGTCATATTAACAGAATGCTTATAAAGCTAGTCTCTCCTCTGTATATATCTTGTTTGTGTGTGAACATAACAGTAGTTAGTATTTTTATTCACTTTCTAACAATCGTGAGTATGATTCAACCCACTCCCAAGAATAGAATTTGTGCATTTTTGTTTGATACTTGGGTGATGAAGCTTTGATGCCTATGATTTAGTGTTTGTATTTGATGTTTTAGTGTTGTTTAGACTTTTCCTTTGGAGCATGAGGTTATTTTGTTTGCTGTTGGAATCCTACTGAGCTGCTTGATGGGAAAACAAAAAGTTATCTTTGCCCTAGCTGGTGTCCTTAGATTTGGTTTTTCTGTGTTTACTTTGAGAGGACAGTTATTGCTTATGTTAACTGTGATAAGATGATAGAGCACAGGTTAATATTAAGGGACATTACTGCACAGAACAGTTATGTTTATTGTATAAATTGAATTTAACAGCTGGTTTTAATGTGTATGTAGAATAAGTTAAGATGATTTTAATTTGTAAGTTAACAATTTCAGTTTTATTGTATAAGTTAACTTTGATAAAACATTAATTACCATATTTTTCTGTGTATGACAATATGCTTTCCCAAACTTTTCAAGGTTTATAATTTGGGCTTGTCACATATGTTTAAAATATTTATTTCCTAAGGTTCGGCTTAAAAAATAGGGGTCGTCTTATACATTGGGGCTCTTATGCTTGTAAAAATATAGTAAGTTATAACAACATAGTTGTTTCATTTTTCAATCTTACGTCCAGGATTTCACCCTGTGTGTTTGAAAGTCAGTGACTTAAAGAGACACTTTTTTTTGGATGTAACTCTAACAGGAAAAATCCTAGACATCCTATTCAGGCATGTAAAGCATGTTATACTTGGGCACCATACATACAACCATCTGAAGTAACCTGTTGTATTGAAGTGGGGGGGGGGGGGGGCTATTGCTCTTGTTAACTGAAGGCACAATAGTGAATTATGAGGTGGTATTCTCTCATGAGGAAGCCATCACGGTGAAGTGGCTAGATGCTCCCCTGCAGGCCCGAAGGTTGTGGGTTCTTCTTCTTCCCGTTCACCAGCTATAAACTGTGGTTAAAAGTTCTGGTTGTTCATCCACTTTTGGACTGTAGTCCTGTTCCAGAACCTGAGTGTTGCATGTGCATCCATTTTACAGATCTGACTCATTTGTATGCAGACTGCTAGTTCCTTGCCTCTCAGGCAGATGCACTCCAACTTCGAAGGAAGCTCCCAATTAGTCGACTCTTATGACATGCTTTTGGGTAGCCAGTGGGTCTATTCCCCCCCCCCCCCCCCCAAATAATAGGGCTTCGGAACCCACTGGGAGGGGGGGGGGGTTTAAATCCACACCGAGCCAGATTTTCTTCAAACATGGATTTGGCTCCCAGGTCAACCCAGCCCAAACTAGGTACCATCGACTTTTGTTATTCTTAGTATAATTTTACTTATACTGTCCTGTTTGGTCACTAATTCTTACTTGGTTGTAGTTTTAAAAGGCAAATCAAATAAAAAAATGTTTGACCAACTTTAGCTACCAGTGTCAGACATGAACCTTGGCTACAACTAATGAGCAGAAAATCACAACAACAGATATAAAATGTCTAAGAAGAGCTGAGGAGAAACCAGAAAAGATCAAGTTGAAAATGCAGAAAATGTAAAAATACTAGGACTGAAACCAGACAAATAGTTCATTAAACAACAACAAATGAGATGGTTTTGCCATCCGATAAGATTGCTCTCATACTGACTGCCACAGAGAGCTATGCTGAAGAACTATAATGAATAGGGCAAGTGGAAGACCATGCAGAAGTTGGAACGATGGCATCAAGAACAGCCTTAATGGACAAGATCTACTTATACAATGCATTAACACAGAAGATCCTTTCATCTCCTCCAAACATTTTGATAAAGTAGCTGGAATAAGGAAGAAAATACTTTTTTGGTTAAGTAATTATTCTTATCTAATATAGTTTTTTTTTTAAAGTATGCAAACCTTTTTGTCAGTTATTGTTTTCTAGATAGTTGTATTCATACCTTTTGTCATTTATTCTTTTATACTATAAATGTTATGTAAACTGACATTGTTTAGGTCATTTATTTTTATCTAGTATATTTTTAATTAAATTGACAATAATGTCAATTATTTTTATCTAGCATTACTTATGTTGACCTTTATCTCAATTATTCTCATTAAGCTCTTGCCCAAGCACAGCGCACCAATCATTCTGTCCCAGCGACAGAAGGCCAAAGATAAACGAGACAAAAAGATACAGGAGCCTGAGAAACCTGGCCAAGAAAGTGTCAGAAAGAACCGGGAGAATTTCACAAGGTACTGTTGTGTTTGTTGTATGTAGTGGTGACTGTGGCTCCATTTTCAGAATTGTAGCTGTCGAGTAAACTTAGTTGAATAGCCCTGTTATAGAAGGAGAAAAAAAATAATAAGATATAAAAGTTAAGAGAGAGAGAGGTTGATTTATTTAAAAAACAATTTACATTATTTTATTGTGAACTACTGCTGTTCCCACCAGATGGTACATTGACATGCTTCTGCTTGTTAAAAAATGTTAGCCGCAGTCTGTTTCTTGTGGTGGGGAAACATGTTACCTGTCCACTAGGGGACAATACTCTTGCGGCAGGCATGTCCACTAGGGGGAATTACTCTTGTGGCATGCATGTCCCTAGGGGAAGATTACTCTTGTGTCAAATTTCAGTGCAAATTCCCACATGGTTCAAAACAGTGTTTTCCTATTGTAAATTTGAACTCCCTCTCTGAGTTCCAGAGACCCATTTTGGGGGACAAACGCATTGACCCACTGCCTCCCTAACAATGTTGTGAATGGCGACTAGTTGAGAATTTTCCCTCAAAAGTCAGAATGCATCAGCCCAAGCAGCAAGGAACCAACAGTCTGCATACAAGTAAGCCAGATCTATAAAATGAGTATTCAAGCAAAATTCAAGTTCTGAAACAAGACTAAAGTTCAGAAGTGGACGAACAACCAGAACTTTCTTCTGGAGTAGCATATTGTTAGTAGTATGTACCTAATAAGATACAGGGAAATATCATTGTTATCATATATTGTTAGTGATTGTTATAAATTATTTTTGGTGAACAGCCCATGGGAGATCCTTGGCATGCCAGGTGTCCTTACTTTGCAAGAGAGGTTAATAATTGAATATGAATCAGACTATATACAGGAAAATGTGCCAGACAGTCAGTGTTGCACTCTGTTGTTCATTCTTCTTTGTTCAGAAACACATGATTATCATTTATTGTTAGTGATTGTTATAAATTATTTTTGGTGGACAGCCCTATGAGATCCTTGTCCTTACTTTGCAAGAGAGGTCAATACAGGAAAATATGCCAGACTATATACAGGAAAATATGCCAGACTATATACAGGAAAATATGCCAGACTATATACAGGAAAATATGCCAGACTATATACAGGAAAATATGCCAGACTATATACAGGAAAATATGCCAGACTATATACAGGAAAATATGCCAGACTATATACAGGAAAATATGCCAGACTATATACAGGAAAATATGCCAGACTATATACAGGAAAATATGCCAGACTATATACAGGAAAATATGCCAGACTATATACAGGAAAATATGCCAGACTATATACAGGAAAATATGCCAGACTATATACAGGAAAATATGCCAGACAGTCAATGTTGCACTCTGTTGTTCATTTTTATTTGTTCAGACACACATGATTATCATTTATTGTTAGTGATTTTTATAAATTAATTTCTTTGTTGATTGATGTTTAGAATGGACAAACTGCACATGGCTTTAACAGATTTGTGCTACGCCATCAACTATTGTACGGTCATACAGGTCTGGGACCATGGCTTTGTGCCAAGGGAGTTTTTCTTGCAGCATCTTGAGACCAGATTCAATAAGTAAGTATAATCAATCATATGAAATTCGTGTGGGAAAACCGGGCTCCATTTGGCGAACAAATAAAAGGCTCACAGCTCCCATAACAAGCATGTCATAGGAGGTAAATAATTTGGGTTGTGTCCTTCAGAGTCAGAGTGCATCTGCCGGAGAGGCAAGAAACCAACAGTCTGCATAAAATAAGCCAGATTTGTAAACTGGATGTGTGCACAAAACTCTAGTTTTAGATCAAGGCCAAAGTCCAGGAGTAGGCAAACAACCAGAACTTTCTGCCAAAATTTACAGCCGGAGAACACTAAGAAGTATGCAAAAAAGATGAACAAATCCATCGCCCAAGCCACCCAAGAAGCGCAAGACAAATACAGAAAACCACGACACTGGGCTACAACCTGGTATCAGTGAGACAACAAAGAAGAAGAAAGCTAAGAAGAAGGAATTAAATAAAATCCTGATAATATTTTCTGCATGTCATAAATGGCATATGCTTAGGGGTCTTCTGAAATCAAATATGTTATGTCAAAATGCCCAGATATGATATTGCAGCCTATCTGTAAACCTTAGCACATCAGCCTATTCAGGGTGAATGCAAAAGAAGAAGAAGATTCAAGAATTACATTAGGGGAGACAAATGTGATCAGGGCATCACTAGGCACTGAACCTGGACCAATGTCTTGGTCAGAAATCACACTAATCGTCATTGGACTGTTTAAGTATGCTTTGCACTGATTGGATGCAGTACACAGCTCTGAAGAGATCTTTGTAGACTGAATGAGTTTATTTTATTTTCTTAATTTAGAATTCTTAAAAGCTATATAAATCCTTTATTGATATATAGATGTGAATCATGGACAGTTAGTGAATTAGTAAAAACTTATTTGGAAGCTGCAGAGATGTGGTTTCATAGCCGAAATATGAGAATACCCTAGACAGATAAAAAAAAAAGAGTAATGAAGATGTCTTGAATAAAACACTCACGAAGAGAACTGACTGCCCACATCAGAAAGTGAATCTACATTCTTTGGTCGTATGATGAGAAGGAGAAAACTGGAGTAGATCATGATGGTAGGAAAGTTGGAGGGAAGGAGAGGCAGAGGAAGACTGAGAGAACAGATGCTTTCTCTCAGTCCTTAAGAAACAAAGTAAGGGCTTTTTAGCTAAAATGCTATAGAAATGTTTTGCAGGACCATGAATGATTACATTTACTCCATATAGCATTAGGAGGGGTTTCCTTGTGAAAAATGGCTTTATTTACAGAAAATCTGATGCCATATTTTCCCTATTAATCTAGGGTTACCGGGCAACAGGGTCCCTGGGTCAAGTAGTTATCATGCTATAATTATTGTTCATGGTTCAGAGAGATGTAAGGCAGGTAATTCTCTGCTGCATTCATCTTTATTGATTACTTCCCTTCACCTGTATGATATGTTTAAAAAAAAATATGTATATATTTTGGGGTCCATGTGATTGGCATTGTAACATAAGTAAAATTGTTGTGTCTTTTTTTTCAAAGGAATTACATAAACTTGACAGTTTTTCTAGGTAGCCATTGTGTAAGGGTTAAATACTTTGACTGACTTTGTTTAATAGTAATTCAGTTGATTAGCAGAATTAATCTCCCTCAAACTAGTGCCCTTTTATTTGTAGCCACTTATTCCAGTGTTCTTGCCAATAATGGAAGCCGCTCTGGCAGGCACTTTATATTCCTCAATTCTCCCATCCCTGTGGCATCAATCATTTCAGTCTCATTGAATCAGCGATCTCATAACTTGCCCTTATGACATTGTAATGTAAAAGTGATTTGCAATCTGCCTTGACTTGATTTTTTGTTTGTTTCACAGGGCTCTAGTCGGCATGATGATGTACAACCCAGAAACAAATGAAATTGCTAAGCCCTCCGAGTTGCTGAATGGAGTGAGGGCTTACATGAATGTTCTTCAGAGTATTGAAAATTACAGTGAGTAGTAGGATCTGTGTGTTACTTCAGGTTATTCTTTCTGGAGACTTCGCAGCCACATGTACACAACATCTAAGACTGGCTAATCAGCCATCTGTGTTTGTGGATTGGTGCCTGAGACAAGAGATCACGTCCTCTAAGATTGTTCTATATACAACATATCAAGGCAAAACTTTTGGCCAATAGAAACACCGGTGCATGGCAGACTTTATGGGTTGCTGACAGTGAAGTTCATACTAGAGACAACATTGCAGATATAGATAATATATTTCAGGTGAATGAAAGAAGAAGAAGCAGCAGAACTAGGGGTGGAGTTTACTTAATAGTTCATTCCTTTATATGAGATCAGGCTTTTAAAAAAAATATGCGCAGAAGCCTTTCATGTCTTTCACACTTCTATTAGAATTACATGCCCTCTCTCTCTCTCTCTCTCTCTCTCTCTCTCTCTCTCTCTCTCTCTCTCTCTCTCTCTCTCTCTCTCTCTCTCTCTCTCTCTCTCTCTCTCTCTCTCTCTCTCTCTCTCTCTCTCTCTCTCTCTCTCTCTCTCTCTCTCTCTCTCTGTCTCTCTGTCTCTCTCTCTCTCTCTCTCTCTCTCTCTCTCTCTCTCTCTCTCTCTCTCTCTCTCTCTCTCTCTCTCTCTCTCTCTGCAAATCTGCAAACATGTTCACTTCTTCAGAGCAAAGGTTAAAATTTGAAATAATATGAATTATGGCTGTATGAGTTTTGATTTATGACAGATTACATAAATGAATACTTCAAAAAGAGAACATGAGAGAGAGAGAGAGAGAGAGAGAGAGAGAGAGAGAGAGAGAGAGAGAGAGAGAGAGAGAGAGAGAGAGAGAGAGAGAGAGAGAGAGAGAGAGAGGGGGGGAGAAGAAGATAGCCTCAGCCTAAGAATGTTCAAGGGGCTTAAGTTGCCAGGTTTATGCATCTCTGCTAGCTAACTAGTATGCCACCAGGCTCCAGTTTAGCACATAAAGAATTAGACTAATGACGCTTCTTTTTGCCATTTAAAATCAATGTTATCTCTCTCTACTTTAGTCCATATTGACATTGTTCGAGTGTTTCACAATGTCCTGCCCATGCAGACCCAGCCTACAGATGCTAACGGGGAGAAGACAATCACACACAACTACACACACTGGTAAGTGGTGGGCACCTGAAGTATTTCACTCTTTCCTTGAGTTGTTTCAGTGTGTCTTGTATTTTCTTGTTATGTGTGGGGTTGCATCTGTCACTGAAAATACAGGTTTGGGCAATCTTGTTTTGGTCCGCGGGCCAAATTTCGAATTAACAGCCTGGATAAAGGCGGCGTAGAAAAACTTCCTTTATAAGCATAACACCCGATATATGATATCTTGTGGGATAATTTAAGGTCACAATTCCCACCTCTGTCTCCGACCAGACATACTCACTCACTGAAGCCCTGTATTCCTCAATATGTCTATTCAAGCTGGTTGTTTTGTGAGCACAAGGCCAAATTGTATAGTAATTTTATACCAGCCTCACATTCCATAGTTTACCCACAACTATTTTAAAGTCAGTTGTTGGAGACCCTGGTAGCACATTTGCCTACTGGCTTGGTGATCATGGGTTCGAATTCACATGGAGGCATATTTATAAAAAGGTGACTTGAGCTTCGAGGTCAGCCGAGCCTAAAATTGATGCTAGGAAGTGTTCTGTGGAGTAAAGATGACAGTTCTGAAACTAACCACATTTCCCGTCGATGCTAATTGGTCTATAATAATAATGGGGTTAATGCCATTTCCATGGGTACTAATCATGAACCTACCCACAGTGAGAGTTCTTTCCCCTCCCATTCATGCCGCGGCCAGTCCCGCAGCTGTTCTATGTTGTGGGAGTGTCATGTATGCTTTTTTTTTCAACGGTTTAGCCGTTCTCTCTTTTCTCATATTACCACCGCTCACTTGCTTGATTTTGTCCATGTTGTGCTACTTGCCTGACAGTTTGTGAGTATTGAAACTGGGATGTTTTTTTTTTTGTATTTCTACCTTCCTTGTCAGTTGCTTCTTTTTTTTTTTTTTTCTGGGGGGGGGGGGGGGGGGGGGGGGGGCACCACCAAGGAACATAGAAATACAAAACATCTCAGTTTCAACATCCATGAACAGTGGCACCTTTGGCGCTTCCTCCTGCAGTACTTCTTACTTGTACACAGGCGCCCTAGAGAGACTCAAAACAACACAACCTCCCACTAAACTTATATACAGCCAGCGTATATGGCATGTGAACGCCAAACAAATCTATCTCATAACACCCCTACAACATAGGACAGGCCGTCGGGCCAATGACTGCATGAATGGAAGGGCAAGGAAACTCACTGTGCAGGCAAGTTCGAGATAAGTTCCTTTGCCTGATATGCAAGGTGAATAAAAAGTCCTTTATGTTTTTAGTTTTGTTTCAAGTGTAAATTTCTAATCATCATCTTCATCGATTGGCCGGTCCTTGACAGAATGTCACCCTCATCATGACACACCTGAAAGCCTCTCTTTCTCAAGCCCATTCCCGGCCTCATGTGCTTTCATATTCAGTGCGTCTCCGATGTCTTGTATCCACATTCATTTTTATCTGTTCTCTCGAGGCCACATGACATTTAACGTCCAAAACATCTCAACTTTCAGGATAGGATGCTGTTTATGAGCCAATTCTCCATGTTCAGATGTAGGATGTTGATGTTTTTCGTCCTCTTGGTCCATGGTATTTTAAGGATCTTTCTGTAGCATTTCACTTCAAAATTCTGATTTTTTTTCCTTCTCTGACTGAGAAAAGGTCCATAACTCACATCCACAAGTGAGGCAGAATAAGAAGGTTTGGTATTTTGTTGTTGCTAATTTATTTTGTTTTTGTATAAATTGCCAGTTAAGTAAGTTGTACTATCTCCAGGTATCTTGAGGTGTTGTTGATGCGTGTGGCATGCAACCCTGGCCAGATCGTGTTCTCCCCCAGTAGAAAGGCATTTGTCAGTGTATTGCAGGGAGATGGTCCATTCGTGGCAGCAGAGGAGTATGCAGACCTGACCGGTAAGTTCATGTCTTTGTCTGTTTCCTGTTTCCTGTGTAATGTCTGCATATCTGTTGTCTTTGTCTGTTTCCAGTGTAAGGTTACCATATCTGTTGTCTTTGTCTGTTTGTTGTGTAATGTGTAATATTTGTTGTTTTGGTATTTATTATCATCTTGTTCATATTTAAAAACAATCTAGAAAATGAATTGTGCTAGAAAATTGCTTAGCTAGCTATTACATTTGGAAAGTTAACAAAAAAGGCTTGGATCAACACTCAAATAACACTATGTAGAATTCATCTGAACTGCCAAGCATGTATTTTCACTGTTTAATTTTGATATAGACAGCTTTTAAAAGACAGTATAGAAGACAGCAGTGGCTTCTGAAGAAGAATGAAGTGGCAGAACAAAATAACACTTCAGAGCATTTTTCATGGCAGCACTCAGCGTTACAAGACTGGTGGCTGGAACAGTGAATGAATTAGAGATTACAGATTAATAACAAGAGAGGAAAAGGATAAAAACCTCAGCCACATACAGATAGATAATATGAAAATCAAACTTCAACTGCTGTAGAAAACTAAGAGAGGACATGAGTCTAAAATTCGGTATGGAAATCAAGTATACTGTGCCCTAAAACATCTGCTGAAATCACATGCTGTATATTTAAAACTCTGATAAAACCACTCGTATTATATGGCTCTCAAACCCGAAGTACAATTTAAAAAAAGATGAAGCTTTATTACAAACTCTTGGGAACACTGTCTTATGACATATCTTTTGACCCATCAAAGATGGAAGCACTGGAGATTGGAGAGTAAGATGTAACAACAAAATTTATAATCTTTTTATAAGTAAAGGTCCCTTTTCCATGTCCTTAGTCATATAGGGCATATAGGGCTAGACCTATATTTTTACAGACCAATCGGCACAAGATGGGAGATGTGGTCAGCATCACGCGGCCACCTTTACTTCCCGGGACTGCACCTGGTACCCACTCAAGGCTGGGTCGACTAGGGAGTCATGATCAGTTTAAAAAAAAGTCAGGCTCCACCAGGAAGTAAACCCATGACCTTCCAATTTGCACGCGAACGTCTATCTGCTACGCCATGGCGACTCCCATAATCTTTAAATCACACTAATAATCAACGGCCTTATGAGGGCTGGTAGACTGCAATAGTTAGGGCATGTAGAGAATGACAGGAAACAGAGAGAGAGAAAAAAGGCACATAAAAGAGTTGAATGGAAGTATATCACCAGGCAAACCAAGAAGACAGTGATTTTATACAGTCAGACCTTCAAACACTTGGAGTCTTTAGAATCACCAGTTGGAAACAAGACCAATCAGAGAACGAACGAACAAACTTTATTTTCAAAGGGTTACAAATTGGGCACGCAGGCCCGTCTGACATTCGGTCATTCAAAGCACTCATTTTTCAGAGTACGAATGCCTATTATAAAAAATGCATGTTGTGGATGTAATAAAGAATATACATTATTAATATATAGAGAGTTACTAGGAGGCAGGTGATATCTGCAGCAATTGACATCAAAGGCTCAGAATACTGAAGAAGAGACTTATGTTTCTTCTGTCCAAAAAAAAAAATCAATGCAATGCAGAATCAGCAGCTTAGATCCCTTGGACCTGTGAACTATAGTATGATACTTACTGTCAGTATAAAGTTTCTTCCTCAGTAAAGTTGAATAAGGCCATGTTGTTGCTCCAGTGAAGCTGTTAGTCACATTCAACTGTTGTATTCAATTTATTATGCTCTTTTCTCAGAGTTGCGTGCCTTGGCGGAACTGATTGGTCCCTACGGTATGAAATACATGGGAGAAAGACTGATGCTAAATATTGCCAGCCAAGTCGATGAGATCAAGGTCAGCTAGTTTTTTTTATTGTTTTTTTTTAATCATTTTAATCTCATTTTATTATAACTGTTAAAAGCTTTTTGTCAGTATTGACATAAATGATTAAATATCTATGAACTATAGGGGAGATAGAATATACAAGCAGACCTAGTCACCAACTGGAAAGAGAAGGCAGTCACAGAGATAAATAGAAGGAGGCATTATCTGAAGCAGTGAACCACAAGGGTTCAGATGAGCAGGACCTCCTGGACAAAGTTGTGGTGGTCAGAGATTGCGGTCACCCACAATACTGAGTGCCAGTAACCTGGGTCCATAGTTCATCAGTTTTGCCTTGATGATAGTTGCTGTTGTATTGGCAAACCAGGAGTCAGTAAAGAATAGGAATTTCTTCGATCCATAGAGAGATTAATTTGTCCTGTTGAATTCATTCCTTTATGTCTTTACCTGTATTGTACTGATTACATCGTGAATTGTTTTTAAAAAAAAAAAAAGAAGAAGAATGTGTGAACTACGGATTTTAATGGGATAGGGAAACAAAAGAAGTTGATCAAAAGTTAGAGAACAGTGAGTGGTTGAATGCCATGGCTGCACTAGCAGTGACCTAGCATAGGAAGCTTTCTACACATTTGATCAAAGGTTTAAATCCCTGTTGAGGTGGACTTTAAACCCTTTCGCCCCGGTGACCAGAGGAAAAACAAAGCCAAGTAACTTCGATTCCCCCTAACATTTCTGTTTTACACAAAATCAGTTTATCATCCAAACCATGAACAAATACTGTACAGAACAAGGGGAGTAATTGAAAAAAACGAATGCAATGCAGAATCAGCAGCTTAGATCCCTTGGGCCTGTGAATTGTAGTATGATACTTACTCATTCCTGTACCTGGTTGCCCAGTACCCACTTTGGCCAGTGAGGAAAAATATGACGTTGAATAAATTTAGTCATTCCCTGTCACGCTAAACATTTGAGCAGATGCATTGAATTCTTTTAGCTAGATGATGTCTCGTAACATGTCTTTATAGCAAGTCAGGAAAGCGGCTGATTGGGGGGGGGGGCGCCAACCAAAAGTATCTGTTTTGCAGCTTCTCAGGCCAAAAGGATTTAAATTAACCAAGGCTTCCAGGTCAGTTATCATCATCTGTCAGCAGGCTCTTTACAGAATGTCGCTGTCGTCAAGGCACTCCTGAAAGTCTATATATCTAGCCAGCTCTCCAACCCTATGTGCTTTTATAGATAATGCATCTTTAGTGTCTTATATCCACTGTAGGGAAGGCCGGCCTCAGCCTCATTTTCTGGTAACTACACAACTCTCCCCCCCCCCCCCCAATCCTAAGGTCACCATGACATTTAAAAAGGCAAACATACCTAAGCTTTCGGGACAGAATGCTGTTTATGAGCCAGTTCTACTGGATGTTCAAATCATGTAGGTTGTTGTTGTTTTTCCTCTTCTTGATTTAGTGCCAGAATTTGTTACAGGAAGTAAAGGAGGCTGGCATAGTATTGTTTTTATTATCAGGGGAGTCTAAATTGGTCAGTAAAACTGAGGTTGGCACACTATACCCAAGATGCCTCTAGTCCTTTGCTTTTTTTAAAAAAATTAAATAAATGCCAATCCAAACAAGAAGTAGAACTAGTCGGCTTCACAATACCACAATCACGATCGATGAAGTAAATATTTGGGGCGAAAAAGCCTTTTTCAGCATAGGACAATCTAACAGAGATACATTTACAAACAAGAAAACACATATTCTCTTAGCTTTATGGTGAGTGTGACGTGACGCGGTGGATTAAATGTTTATAAAGTTGAGTAGGGATTTTCCTTTCAACACATTCCCTCCACCAGATTAACCGAACTAAAATCTGAGCTATGTTGCTCTCAGACAAAGTCCTGGATACCCAAGAAAACAGCCATATTGGCTCGTTAAGTACATTAACATTAGCTGAACTTGGTACCCACAAGAGAAGGAAAGGAATTTTAGATGTCTATCATTATATTTAATGAATTATTAGACAGGGCAAATGATTCCTCCGTCTTCTACCTTCTCCCGGTGTTATTATGAATAATTAAAGAATTATTATCATATTATTTGAGCCCCCACCAAATGGTATTCTATCTTAACAGTTTAATTAAACATGTAAGAACAGACATTTGGAATTACAAAAACTGATGCAGGATAAAACTTGACATACAGCTTTATTTACTAACAATGAACTTCCTAGTTTGTTGATTTACACAAACAGTGACTGGTTAAGGTGATGATGGTGATAGCTTTAGCGAGAAAACAGCTCCAGGGTTTAGAGTGGTGTGATGATGGTGATATGTTAACTTAAAAGATGTTAACTTAACTAATAAGCCTCTGACAGCCGTGAGGAACTGTCAAGCTTGTCCAACTCTTCCTTGCCTGTTTTCTGCCTGTTTCAGCTTATTCTCCACTTCATTCCCACCTCGTTCTCCACATCGTTCTCCGCCTCGTTCTTCACCTCTTTCCCAGCTGGCCGAGTCCAGCACAATGTAGTCTCCTTCATGGACTGATCGTCACATGGGCGCTGTAATCATGGAAACAAACTCATACGAGTAGTATCTTGACTTACACTAAGAATACATGTATCAATTAATATAACATATAATAACAAAATATATCCATCACTCCTCCTCATATTCAACATTCTCTCCAGTCTAGTCTGAAGGTCTTTTGTCTTACATGGACGTCACATATCCTGCCTTCCCTCTCATCTCTGTCATGATAGTTGACTTTCTAAGTCTGTTGTCCGTCATCACTCAGACTTCCCAACATTGTTTTTACATGAACACGTGAAGCAGGTTATGTGCTGAAACCTCCAACCATGTTATATGTGCATGGAGTCTGGAATATTGTCTTTCCAGTGAGCCCATGGTGAGCTTTTAAAACTCTGCGCATCTCGGCATGATTTCCCACAGTCCCAGCACCTGTTTTGGGTTGATCATGGCAACAATATAATTACATTTCATTATCGCAAATGTCATTGTTCACATCTTATTTTATACACATGAAAACATACACTGAAAAACATGTGACACAAACCTACAAGAAATAGGAATAGTTTAGCAGTTCCCTAACTTGAGGTACTGAATACTCACAAAGAACTATTTCAAGCAGAATGTGCAGACAAATTAGGAAAAGGTAGTATAGACTAAGCTTAACTCCCTAACCTATGTATACACGATTAAAATTAATATTTACCTGGGAACTTTCCATCAATCACCAAACCAGAATCCGACCATAAAATTACCTTTACGTCGACCTGTGTTTGTTGCTTGCTAGCTGCGATTAATGACGGAACTTCCAAAGGCTCGAAGTATACTATCTATCTGTCTCAAAGGTTAAACTCCTTTCTTTACACGGTTCTACCCAACCCTCAAGGAGATGACCTAAGCCACGCCTCTGAGGTACCTAGCAGATCAATCTAGCTATCAAGTGGCCTGTCACTCAAGGACAACTTAATTGGCAGACACCTGTTCTCCCGAGAATTACACTGACGAGTTAAACTTCAACCTCTCGTCGCCACAATGTCTGGAGTCCACTCAGTCTGTGTTAGGTAACCTTTATGACACTACAGTCGGGTTCAGGGGAGCTAATCTCAGGTGTGCTAATTAGTTCTCCTTTCGCTGGCCTCTACAGTCTGTGGTCAGGAGATAACATTCTGACACTGGCATGAGAATCAAACAGAACATCCTCTAGTCTGAACCAGCAGGCTGTATTAGGTAGTTTTATGTAATTTTAAACCAAGCGCAGTGGTTTTGTCTCGGAGAAGGCCTCAGCCTCATTTTCTGGGAACTACACAACTCCTTCTCCTCCTCCCCCCCCCCCCCCCCCCCCCCGACCCCCCAATCGTAAGGTCACCATGACATTTAACAAGGCAAAAATACCTAAGCTTTCGGGACAGAATGCTGTTAATGAGCCAGTTCTACTGGATGTTCAAATCATGTAGGTTGTTGTTGTTTTTCCTCTTCTTGATTTAATACCAGAATTTGTTACAGGAAGTAAAGGAGGCTGGCATAGAATTGTTTTTATTATCAGGGGAGTCTAAATTGGTCAGTAAAACTGAGGTTGGCACACTATACCCGATGCCTCTAGTCCTTTGCTGTTTTTTTTTAAATTAAATAAATGCCAATCCAAACAAGAAGTAGAACTAGTCGGCACCACAATCACGATCGATGAAGTAAATATTTGGGGCGAAAAAGCCTTTTTCAGCATAGGACAATCTAACAGAGATACATTTACAAACAAGAAAACACATGTTCTCTTAGCTTTATGGTGAGGCCTGTCACAAAATCTTCCATCTACCTGAAACAGTAGATTTGTATGTCACTGCGGGAGTCAACTACTGGACAGGAAGTGACTCTGACAGATGGGGTTGTTAGGTGGGGGTGAGCAGATACAGCAAGGGATGTAACTCTAATAATTTTTAGATAAAATTACGCTGTTGGACATAAGGACTATGGGATACAGAACTGAATAGTCAGATAAGATCATTCTCAAGAGACTTGGGGATACTTACACACTTTAAAAATTTTTTTTGCCATATAACCAGTAAGCTTCAAGTTGTTTGTATGTCTTTAGTTTTTGTTTGGCTCACTAACATTGTGTTTTACTGTTATTATTTCATTGTTATCATGCATAACCCTGTCTCTTTCATCTCATTCTCTATGCCTTTTTGTGTGTGCCTGTATAGAAACTAGTTGTTGCAAACAAAGACACACTGATTCAACTGCGGAGCAGCTTTGACAAGCCAGATGTCATGAGAGAGCTGACTCGGAAATTAATGAGTAAGTTACGTGCAGTATAAAGATTTAGGTTTACTATTTGTATCAAATCATAAAAAATTAGTAGTGTCCCAAGGAACACATCAAGTTCAGTTTATAACTGTTTTAAGTGTCCTCTCATACCTAAAGGGTTAATAATAAAATAATATTGAATCGTTCTGTTTAAAGTTTGTTGCTTTAGTCAACGTGATGAGTTAACAAAGTCATTTTCTGATGAGTTTTATGACTTCATCTTTCCGGGCCTTTTTTCGTAATTATGATCTTTGCATTCTTTCTTACTATAACACATAGTATTATCTCTTGTCACTATTTTATCCATTTTATCTGTTATCATAACATTTATTTATGTTATCCTTACCTTCTTTGTTACCAAAGCATTTTCTTTTATCATAATTTGTATTCTCCTCTTTTTATTGAGCAAAGTTACTTAGAGCACTACTAAGGTAAATTTATTTTGGAGGATATACTTTCATAAACTAATTGTTTATTCAATTTGATTGTTTCACTTTAATGCTTCAAAGTTTTGAATGTCTAGTATACTCGACCTCATTAAAATTATTATTTAGTAAAAAATCTAGCCTTCTTAGTTACAGCATAATTGATACTAAAAGGATATTTGAATTCCCTGCCTAGTTCTTTACAGTGTTATTGATCCCAACAAACAAACTTTATTTTTAAAGGGTCACAAATTGGGCACCCGGGCCCATTCACATTCTACTCTTTAACGCATAACATCCAGCAATCTTTTATTATTAATGCTGTTAGGTTTAGCGATATTTGAAAAAAAAAGCCTTACAACTACATCAAACCATATATTTTTTTTTTATTTGAAAATTTAGTTTGCTCAGTTAGTCAGTAAGTAGTACAAGAGACATGATGGCAAATGCCACATGGCATGGATAGAGGCAGTAAGTAGTACAAGAGACATGCTGGCAAATGCGCCATGGCATCGGTAGAGTCAATAAGTAGAACAAGAGACATGATGGCAAATGCCACATGGCATGGGTAGAGTCAGTAAGTAGTACAAGAGACATGATGGCAAATGCCACATGGCATAGGTAGAGTCAGTAAGTAGTACAAGAGACATGCTGACAAATGCCACATGGCATAGGTAGAATCAGTAAGTATTACAAGAAACATAATGGAAAATGCCACATGGCATAGGTAGAGTCAGTAAGTAGTACAAAAGACATGATGGCAAATGCCACATGGCATGGATAGAGTGAGTAAGTAGTACAAGAGATATGATGGCAAATGCCACATGGCATGAATAGAGGCAGTAAGTAGTACAAGAGACATGCTGGCAAATGCCACATGGCATGGGTAGAGTCAATAAGTAGTACAAGAAACATTATGGCAAATGCCACATGGCATAGGTAGAGTCAGTAAGTATTACAAGAAACATAATGGCAAATGCCACATGGCATGGGTACAGTCAATAAGTAGTACAAGAGACATGCTGGCAAATGCCACATGGCATATGTAGAGTCAGTAAGTGGCACAAGAGACATGATGGCAAATGTCACATGGCATAGGTAGAGTCAGTAAGTAGTACAAGAGATATGACAGCAAATGTCACATGGCATCAGTGTGGATTGGTCTGTTAAAGAGTGAGACAGCACTGTATTCCAGTATGTGCCCTTAAAACATTTATAATTTTATAATTATAATAACAATGCCAAGAGAAACATCGGTGCAAGTCAAACTTCACAGTTCGCTGAGTAAATTGCAAAAGACAGTAAAGTTCGTACTAAAGACAACATTGCAGATATAGATAATTTATTTGAAGCAAATGAAAGAAGAAGAAGATAATAACAATTTCTAGTACATCACACCTTCATAAAAATCAATGTTTATTTTTAATGCCTTTAATATATTTTATGTACGTATATTCTGAACAATCACAGAGCTTATATCATAGCCACATTTCAGGCTATTGAAGTACATCACACCTTCATAAATCAATGTTCATTTTTAATGCCTTTAATATATTTTATGTACGTATATTCGGAACAATCACAGAGCTTATATCATAGCCACATTTCAGGCTATTGAAGTACATCACACCTTCATAAATCAATGTTCATTTTTAATGCCTTTAATATATTTTATGTACGTATATTCGGAACAATTGCAGAGCTTATATTGTAGCCACATTTAAGACCAAGACTATTGAAATGTTTTTCTTGCATAATTGATTGATTGCATCTGGCAAGATGTTCCTGGTAGCTAAGAAGCCTTTTGCTTAGCTCTAACCATTGTCCTTGTTTTGTTTTTGTCACCCTGAAGCCCCTTACAAGAATGCTCCATGTGGTAAGTTTGATTCCATCCATTGCAGCGGTTGGTGGTTCGTCATGCCTCTAGGTTTGGTGTTGCTGTTAGAAAACTTCAGCCTGCTCTCTGCTCAGTGTGCATGAAATCTGTGCTGAAAGCTCTGCTGCCTAGCTTATATGCTTATGCAAATAATTTTCTGTTTACTATTAGTAATCTGTAACATATATGTTCATCATCATCATCATGTGCCTTGCCACCTGGCATAGGCGCTCATGCGTCTCCACAGAATACGATCCCTGGTTGCCTGGAACAGTTCTCTTGATGATATCCCTCCATGTCATTGTTTCAGCCCATCCAGCATCATCTCTCTTGGTCTGCTTCTACCCCTTTTTCCACTGATGTTTTCAGTTGCCACGATGTTCTCCAATGTCTCTCTTCTCATTATGTGGCCATAACATATATGTTGAGGTTAGCATTTGGACGGTATTAATAAGAAATAGTGCAGTTAGAAATTATTTTAAGACAGGCCCAGCAGGCCATTAGACGATTTAATTGCTCAAACCCTTATGCTCAAGATAAGAGAAGGAGCAAATATTAACACAGGCTGCGCAACTAGCAAAAGACAAGAAAATATATGTAACTCCTTTCTGCAGTGCTTTACGGCATAAGCAGTAGGACAAAAGAAGAAGATTAATGAGAAATAAGTGGCTCTGATGATGCTGGTAGCAATAGTTTAGAACATAAAAATGGAAACATCAAGAGGAAGAGGAAGACCAAGAAGAAAATAGATAGAAACAGTACTAAGTTATCATACACTTACTCATCAAGCAGAAGACAGAGAAAGATGGCGGCTTTTATGTGCTAGTTCTTCCATCAAAACACCCACGACCCTAATGGGTCAAGGGTTATGTTATGTTATGTTATGTTATAGATAGACAAAAATCACTGATAGCCTTTGACTTCACAGCATAGCAAGCAGTTGAGCATTTAGTGGCCCGGCTGGTAAACTACCAGGCCTAATGGGACAAAAAAGATAAGACAAAAGAATAGAAAAAGTAGAATAGAAAATTCAGTTCATCAGTGTCAAGACCTAGTGAAGGTGAAGAACTTCTTCTAACAATCAACTCTGTTGCCCTGAGAAAACCAGTTTTCCCACCTTTTTGGTTAAAAAAAAAAGTTGTCTTTGGGCTGTGGCCACTCTATGCCTGTATAACAGCTTTGGTACTGGTTGCAACTGCATAGTGTTTTTTTTTTTTAGACCTAAGGGGTATGATTATATTTACACATGTTTGTTGTTGTTGATAAATCCTTTGGGGTGAAAAAAAAAGGGTTTAGTTTGTCATTTTGACTTCATAATAAACTTATAATAACATCAATTTGCTGTCTGTGGCTGTGTGCGCAAAACCCCTTATTTTTTTTAGTTAAAGGGAAGAAAGCATTTATTATTTCTTTGCTTTATTTGTATTTAGTGATTACTTCCCCTCGTATAAAGGGGGAAAAAAAAAACCTTGCGCAAAATAATTACTCTAAATATGAGAGATCCATTTTTTTTATTATTTGATGGCATCAATGATGCAATAACTAGCAGGCTTTCCTGTCTGCTTGGTGGTCTGAATTTTTATAAAAACTGATATACTTGTAGAACTGACTTCTATTAACACTCCAGATTTCTCCTGCTTCTTTTTCCTCCAGTTTCTTAGGGTAGAGTTTCAGAGGATTTTCACAACATATCTTTTTTCGTCCTTCTTAGGACGTTATTTTTTGTTGTTTGAAGCCCCACTCTGGCTTTTGCCAGGGGCCGCAATATAGGCAGGTCATCATTATGGCCAAGTGTCTGAACGCGGTTTCTGGGACCTCTCCACGGTGATCCTTATCCGCATGGTGGCACTTTGTGTCATCGGGTGTTTATCGCTTGTGTGATGTCCTGGTAGGGTAAAAAATCCAATCCAGAGGATTTTTTCGGTGCATTTCTTTTTAACAAAAATTAGTAGAAAGGTCATTTTTGAAGATTTGTGTATCGTGAAAAGGTTAAAGACAAAGAACATAATATCCACAAAGTAATATTGAAAGTAAACATTTATTATGAACATTGAAGAAATTCGTCTTCTTGGGCATTTGTCCTGGGAAAAAGGGGGAGAAGGAGAGCCTGCATGATTAGGCAGACATTTTTGGCGGCCCACCTGGACTTTTCCAAGGCTCACCAGTGTGCTGCAGCCCACCGGTTGAACAACACTGGATTAAAGGATTAGTAATTGTTCATAGTTGGCGTCTGTTGCTTAGACATTGTGAACAAACTTCATAATGTCAGGGTGCCAGGTTCAAACCCAGCTGCAGGCGGTTTGTCTTGCGTTGTTTTGACAGTGGTACAGAGAGCTGACCGTTTAAAATGCAGTGGCAAACTACTGAAAAACCTAGAAAAACCACAACTGCCAAAAAAAATGCTGGGGGTTGGTTGTGCAACATCCTGTAAAGGATATGCAACTAACTTGTGATTGTTCCTTGTGAATTTTACTTCCCATAAAGTAATAAGTGCTGCATAATGAAAAGATCCTTGTCAGGGCATTTTTAAAAACTCTGTACTTATTTATTGTTCAAGAGCAGAGTGGCAAGCTTCACTGGGAAGGTCACGGGTAGTGAGCATACTTTGGATCTTTTCTCCAGGCTATGTCGGCGTAGTGGGTAATGAACGGGCAGACAGATTGGCTAGATCTGCATCACTGGGTGGTGAATTTATACAGGACAAGGCAGATGTGGTCAAGGCCCTGTGGGAAAAAGCAACGGAATCAGTCGAGAAAGAAAATTATTATGGCCTGAAGAGAATGAGGCACTGGGTGTAACCATAAGGTCTGACCGGCTCACTACACTCAGAGAAACGGCAAGACGGACAATTAACCAGATTGTGACTGGTGCCATCAGAATTCGAATTCTGCGCTGGCTTCTGAAGATAAGGACGGAGCACAAATAGGAATGCCCTGAGTGCTGTGATGTCAATTCTTGACTCAAAGTAACTCAGCTCAAGAATTAATATTGCTCGACTTTATAAATAGTTAATTATGTCTATGTGTCTATCATTGGCCAACTTGATGATGATTACATAACACACCAAGTGCTGATTGGTTGAAATATAGGTCCAGCCCTAAATATCATCCAATGTGTCTGAAGGTGTGGATAAGGTCCTTCACTTGCCTTTCTTTTCACTTACGTGTCTATCATACATGGGGCTTCAAGCACCATTTGCAATGTTTTGCATGCAGTAAGTTTTTATTATTATTATTGTGTGTGCGCAAAACTGCTGCTTTGTTGTGAAATGAGCATTAGATTTCCATCATGCTGTTATTACACATTTGACAGTGCCTCTTGTTCCTTTGTTATTAAATGAACATGCCTGGTTCTGTTATAATTTGCTTTTTGTTTGTCTTCTTCTTCTTCTTCTGCCTGACTAAGCCCTAATGGAGCATAGGCCCTCAACTAACACATGCCAAGTCGTTCTGTCCTTCGCTATCACATGCAGCTGTCCCCATGTCCTCCCCATCTTTTTAATTTCACTCTCTAGCTCCCTTCTCCGTGTGTTTTTGTGTGTGTGTGTGTGTGTGTGGGGGGGGGGGGGGATGTTCTTCCTTTATTTCTATTCCCTGTGGGCGTTCAGTGCAAAGACATTCTAGTTATGTTGTTTTCAGGTTTTCTCAGCATGACATCCCTGTTGCTCACTTGTTTTTATTCTAAATGAATTTTGTTAGCTTTCCCTCATGAAAAACTCAGAATTACATGTCTTTGTATGTTGCCTTTACTAAGTTAATAATTTTTGGTGGGATTCTGAGGTGCCCCATTAATTTCCAGTGAGATTCCCTATCAATGCTGTGAAAAGTTTTTCATAGTCTGTGAATCCAATGTAAAGTGGTGAATTCATTTCAAACCTTTGCTCTATTTATATACGTATTGTGTCTATCTGGTCTGTACAGAATCTGTTTGGCTGGAAACCTGCCTGTCATGTTGTTGTCATTCATTTCACTTTACTGTTTGATTTTCCTATAGCACAGTGCCAACAAAATAACATTGTTATGGGGATTGGTGGAAAATCTACTGGGTGGCAAGAAGAGAAATAACATGAAAATAATAAATTGTAAAATAAATCTTTGTCATAAATACAGTTTTTGTGTGAGTTGAGAGTCATGAGTTGGGTTATACTCATGGCACTCCAGACATGCTCCATAGGTGTTGTATATTTTGTTTCCTGTATCTTAATGCTATTATTAATTTGCTCTATTTGTTCCATTGCTGTGCTTTATTTTTTTTTTAATTAGTCTTACTGTTGCAGTGCATTTGTTTAGGTTTTCATTAGTTTCAGTGTTATAATATTTTTCCTGAATGCAGTGTCACAGTATGTTTATGCTTTGATACGGCTTTTAACTCTTTAATCCTCTTTTAGCTGCTTTTGTTGAAAGGCTAGCTTTGCGCACTAAATATTGACTTATTGACTGAAAAATGCATTAACTTTTGTGTTTTTAATCAGCTTTTTTTAACAGCCATTTATGTGCATTTAGAAATTGAGAACTTGGTGGTCTGACAGGCAGTACACCCTTTTCACAATGAAAAAAAACAAAGGTTTTAATCCCTAGTATCAAGAAGAACATGCTAGCTGTTGTTATATCGACACCGCCCCCACTTGCAAAAGGTATCCTGTTCCAAACCAGTATGGGACACATCATCATTGTCCTGTTGTGCCATTGTGTGTCACATAGGGCTGACGGTCTATGTCCCCATTCCGTTCTCTCCTGTACAGTTTCTTCGATCTCATGGATATATACCCACACACACACAAAAAAGGCTTTTGTGTAGACATTACTATAAAAACAGTGCAAAGAAGGTAAACATGGGGAAAGCAAGGGATTTTATCTGTAGACAAGTGACCATACAAATCAGATATCAGTCTCCAACAGGTTTTAATCCCTGAGGAGAACAAAGTATTTGTTTGTTGAATAGAAGACACAGGAAGTAAGCTGTCATTTTCATTTTAAAACAAGTTTAAGTCCTATGGAAACAGGGTTGTTTACCAGTAGACAGAAATTGGTTTTTATTTCTGGGAAAATGTGTTATGTGTAAACTGGGTGGCCAAGCAAGCAGGATACCAGTTTTTCATAGAAGAAACAGGTATTGGGAAAACGCAATTTTATGTATCAACATGAAAAGAAATTAAAACACCTTTAAAAAAAAGTGTGCCATTCATTTTTTAAATGAAAGAATTTAGATGTAATTTCAGCTTGAGGCTGCAGTTACGCAGACTTAGATTAGGCAAATTGCTCTAATCCTTTGGGAGGGGGGGGGGGGGGGGGGGGGATTTAAAAATAAACATGGTGATGTCCTTACATGGTTTTATTGTAACACATCACTACAACACACACTGGTTTCCTGTGTGGGTTCCAGGGCCCACTTTTGGGGAAAACACAGAAAGCATATCATATGAATTGATTATTTAACTATTGGCACATTGTATGTTGGTTTACATCGGTGATATCAGCACCCTTTGGACCAGTGCAACCAGATCAACACACCTTTAATGAGTCGTCTTTAAGAGCAAAGGAACAAGCAAGGGAATCAGTAAAAACAGATTATTATGGCCTGGAGAGAAGGAGGCACCTGGGTGTAACCAGAGGGTCTGGCGGCTCACTCTACTCAGAGAAAGGGAAGACGGACATATAACCAGATTGTGACCAGTACCATCAGTTTTGGAACTCTGCGCCTGCTGCTGCAGATGAGGACGGAGCATGCAGGGGAATGCCCAGAGTGCTGTGATGTCAACTCTTGACTCAACTCAACTCACCCCAGTTCTTCTTCTTCTGGGTCCACTACATTGTGTATCGGTTTATAACTAGGCTGCAAAATATTTGGTTTAACATATTCATGTCCAGCAGCAGACTCTTAATTAGTCACCTTTTACTGCTTGTTAAGGGGCAGTTAATCTAGCACCCCACCCACACTGGGCCCCGGGAACTCATACGGGGGAAGTCTCTTCTTCTTCATGTTCACTGCCTGCCGCCCATGAATTCCAGAGGAAACTTTTAGTTGTTTGTCCATTTCTGGACTTTGTAATCTTGTTTGAGAACTTGAGTCTGTTTTACAAATCTGGCTTATTTATATGCAGACTTATGGTTCCTCGTCTCTCAGGCAGATGTACTCGAACTTTGAAGGAAACTTCCCAGATTAGTCGCTTTGTACGACATGCTTGTTGAGGAGGCAGTGGGTCTATTCTCCCGCCACCCCCCCAACTGGGCCACAGAACCTGTACTAGGGAAAACTGTCAGATTGAAACTTGCACTGGACATATGTCTCACTTGATATTGGAGAACTATCTTTACTTTTAAGCAAATTTGGGTACAGTAAGTTTAAAGCCTTTTTTTTTCCATGCACGCCTTAGTTATGAAGACCCAACACGGTACATCCATATAGCAATATCTGCCACACAGTGATTTTATTCATGTTGCATGACTAAAATATATGCCATGATGTGGTGTTTTTGTTTTTTTAGGACACTTAGTCAATAAAACAGTGGCCAAGGGTTCAGTTCTTTGTACTGGCAATATCTGTGACCAATACGAGTACAGCTGCAAATACAGACCATATTACCCAACATTTGCCAGTCAGTCATGGAATAGAAAAGTCTTATAAAGCAATCTGTGGCTTAGGCATTGCGAACTCGCTTCATAATGCCGGGATGCCAGGTTTGATCCCAGCCGCGGATGGTTAGTCTTGCCTTGGTTTTGACAGAGAGCTGATTGTGCAGAAAACAATGGCAAACTACTGAACATAAAAATTTCTCTAGAAAAACCACAACAGCCAAAAAAATGCTGCGGTTTGTTCTGCATCGTCCTGTAAAGGATACACAACTAACAATTGTTAGTTTCTGCTGGTTTCCCAGCAGTCATATTTGACATGCCTTACTGTTTATTATTACTGTAATGCGCGAATAATTTACAGGATGTCTGTTAATGATTCTCAGAGGTTATTTCCTGAATTAATGTTCTGTATATTAATGTTGCATATACATAATAAAAAGAAGCAGCTGGTCGAGTGGGTACAGCATTGAGCTTTCATGCAGGAGACCCCGGTTTGACCCCCGGTAAGGTGATGGAGTTTTTCTGTTAGGGCAGACTTAAACATACTAACCTGTACAGTCAGTAGTGACAGCACTAGCCATGCGGCCCTAAATCCTCAGGCTCATGACCCACTGGTCTACACCGCCCTAGAAAGGGGTAGGTACAGACGGTAGTGACAGTTTTGTGTGAGTGCAATTATACATAATTAAGGAAAAACTTTTATAAAATTCTTTATGGTCCTTTTTTCCCAGATGCTGATGTACTGTTGCTGCGGATGACTAGGATCGGTGTGCTGCTGGCTTTTAGGTCTTTAGCACAAGAAGCCCTGAATGACGTAAGTAAATTTATTAACCCTTTCACCCGGAGAACTCTTAAGAAAAATAGGTCATGGCTCCATTAGGATTCCTGGAAAAATCCATAAAAAAAACAACTAGAATGTTTACACAAGTAACTAATAAATTTGTTTAAAATTCATTTGTAAATTTTTTAGAATTATTTTGTGAAATATATAAAGATATATGAAAGGGGTAATTAATAAACGCAAACAAGGTGAAGCATTAAGTTGAGCACATCCTCTTAGGCCTTAAAACACACACGTATCATGTGACTAATGCTGTGATCTCGTGACCTTTACCATTAAGGCTTATGAGAAAATCTGAGGTCATCTTGGCTTTATAAAAGATTTTCCACCGACTTTTGCTAAGAATCAAGTCTGTGAAGGCACGAATTCAGCCAGTTGTATTATTTAATCATCTCGTAAACAGGTCACGATAGAGAAGTTAGAAAGTTGACTTTACCGGCAAACTGGTCCCAAATAGACGTGTCTGTTTTCGGCTTCTCTGGATGAAAGGTTAAAAGCATTAGTGGTGGATGTTTATCCTGTGGCTGCGTTTATTCCATGAGTGAAGCAAAGACCCTCCTTCACCTCATAGCTGCTTTTTATCCATGAGTAAAGCAGAGACCCTCCTTCACCTTATAGCTGCTTTTTATCCTTGAGTAAAGCAGACCCTCCTTCACCTCATAGCTGCTTTTTATCCATGAGTAAAGCAAAGACCCTCCTTCACCTTATAGCTGCTTTTTATCTTTGAGTAAAGCAGACCCTCCTTCACCTTATAGCTGCTTTTTATCTTTGAGTAAAGTAGAGACCCTCCTTCACCTTATAGCTGCTTTTTATCCATGAGTAAAGCAAAGACCCTCCTTCACCTCATAGCTGCTTTTTATCCATGAGTAAAGCAGAGACCCTCCTTCACCTCATAGCTGCTTTTTATCTTTGAGTAAAGTAGAGACCCTCCTTCACCTTATAGCTGCTTTTTATCCATGAGTAAAGCAAAGACCCTCCTTCACCTCATAGCTGCTTTTTATCTTTGAGTAGAGACCCTCCTTCACCTTATAGCTGCTTTTTATCTTTGAGTAAAGTAGAGACCCTCCTTCACCTTATAGCTGCTTTTTATCCATGAGTAAAGCAAAGACCCTCCTTCACCTCATAGCTGCTTTTTATCCATGAGTAAAGCAAAGACCCTCCTTCACCTCATAGCTGCTTTTTATCTTTGAGTAAAGTAGAGACCCTCCTTCACCTTATAGCTGCTTTTTATCTTTGAGTAAAGTAGAGACCCTCCTTCACCTTATAGCTGCTTTTTATCCATGAGTGAAGCAGAGACCCTCCTTCACCTTATAGCTGCTTTTTATCCATGAGTGAAGCAGAGACCCTCCTTCACCTTATAGCTGCTTTTTATCCATGAGTAAAGCAAAGACCCTCCTTCACCTTATAGCTGCTTTTTATCCATGAGTAAAGCAAAGACCCTCCTTCACCTCATAGCTGCTTTTTATCCATGAGTAAAGCAAAGACCCTCCTTCACCTCATAGCTGCTTTTTATCCATGAGTGAAGCAGAGACCCTCCTTCACCTTATAGCTGCTTTTTATCCATGAGTAAAGCAAAGACCCTCCTTCACCTCATAGCTGCTTTTTATCCATGAGTGAAGCAGAGACCCTCCTTCACCTTATAGCTGCTTTTTATCCATGAGTAAAGCAAAGACCCTCCTTCACCTCATAGCTGCTTTTTATCCATGAATAAAGCAGACCCTCCTTCACCTTATAGGTGCTTTTTATCCATGAGTAAAGCAAAGACCCTCCTTCACCTTATAGCTGCTTTTAATCCATGAGTAAAGCAAAGACCCTCCTTCACCTCATAGCTGCTTTTTATCCATGAGTAAAGCAAAGACCCTCCTTCACCTCATAGCTGCTTTTTATCCATGAGTGAAGCAGAGACCCTCCTTCACCTTATAGCTGCTTTTTATCCATGAGTAAAGCAGAGACCCTCCTTCACCTTATTGCTGCTTTTTATCCATGAGTAAAGCAAAGACCCTCCTTCACCTTATAGCTGCTTTTTATCCATGAGTAAAGCAGAGACCCTCCTTCACCTTATTGCTGCTTTTTATCCATGAGTGAAGCAAAGACCCTCCTTCACCTCATAGCTGCTTTTCATCCATGAGTGAAGCAGAGACCCTCCTTCACCTCATAGCTGCTTTTTATCCATGAGTGAAGCAGAGACCCTCCTTCACCTCATAGCTGCTTTTTATCCATGAGTAAAGCAGACCCTCCTTCACCTCATAGCTGCTTTTTATCCATAAGTAAAGCAAAGACCCTCCTTCACCTCATAGCTGCTTTTTATCCATGAGTAAAGCAAAGACCCTCCTTCACCTCATAGCTGCTTTTTATCCATGAGTAAAGCAGACCCTCCTTCACCTCATAGCTGCTTTTTATCCATGAGTGAAGCAGACCCTCCTTCACCTCATAGCTGCTTTTTATCCATGAGTGAAGCAGACCCTCCTTCACCTTATAGCTGCTTTTTATCCATGAGTAAAGCAGACCCTCCTTCACCTCATAGCTGCTTTTTATCCATGAGTGAAGCAGAGACCCTCCTTCACCTTATAGCTGCTTTTTATCCATGAGTGAAGCAGAGACCCTTGTTCACCTCATAGCTGCTTTTTATCCATGAGTGAAGCAGAGACCCTCCTTCACCTTATTGCTGCTTTTTATCCATGAGTAAAGCAAAGACCCTCCTTCATCTCATAGCTGCTTTTTATCCATGAGTGAAGCAGAGACCCTTGTTCACCTCATAGCTGCTTTTTATCCATGAGTAAAGCAGACCCTCCTTCATCTCATAGCTGCTTTTTATCCATGAGTGAAGCAGAGACCCTTGTTCACCTCATAGCTGCTTTTTATCCATGAGTAAAGCAGACCCTCCTTCATCTCATAGCTGCTTTTTATCCTTGAGTAAAGCAGAGACCCTCCTTCATCTCATAACAATATCTCCTGTGGGATCCAGCGCCCTATTGTGGGGAAAAACAAGAATAGACCTGGTGCCTCCCCAACAAGCATGTCGTAAGAGTTGACCAAATGGCGGTGTTTTTCGAAGTCGGAGTACATTTGCCTGAGAGGCAAGGACCAAGTCTGCATGCAAATAAGCCAGATGCATGAAAAGGATGTCATGTAACATTCAGGTTGTGGTACGTGAAGAAGAAGAACATGAATCTCATAAAAATGGGTCTAGCCTCAAAGGCCTTGAGATGCTAAAAAAGAAGAAGAAAAACCAGATTATTTTTTTTTTTTACTTTTGCACTTTCTACAATCAGGTAGCAAATTTGCATAATTGATACTACTTTTGGCCATTTCTGTGACAACATTTTACAATTAGGGTTACTTTGATAGATAACCAAACATGGTAGTCTACTGTGAGAACAAAATAAACAAGACAGTCTTCCTTGAGACAGTTGATTAGAGAAATTAGATAATGGCAGTCCCTGTTTTTCAGACATGTTATGAGATTGATTCTGGTGATTGTTTGAGATGGCGAAACGGGACAGCCTGCACTTATCAGCAGGGCACATGATGTTGATGATGATTATTTCATGAATATAAATATTTTATAATAACTTGTCTTGTTCATGGAGTGGCAGTACTTTGTAAACATAATTTAGATGGGTGATCTGGCGTAAACTGGTAGAGGGCTTATATGCTGCAGTGGGCGATAAAGAGCAGAAAAGAATTATATTTGCAGTTTGCTGGTTGCTATAGCAATATTTATTTCTGGTTCTCTTTCAGATTCTGGATCAAAGAATTCCTTTCCTGATTGGATCAATTCGAGATATCCATCATCATGTGCCAAACAATAAGGATTCTATGGCAAGTATTACATTCCTTGTAGCCAAATAAAAATCACACCATATTGAAAACTGAAGAATTAGCTGAAACTTCTTTGGTAACCAAAGAACTGAAAATGTGTTGTAGATAAATCACTGAAAATTTTTTGTAGATAAATTACTGAAAATTATTTGCTGACCAAGTCACTGAACATTCTTTTTTGTAGATGGCTTGTCCACTCACATTAGAAGCCTTGCACCAATAATTACACACAGCATTACTTTGCTTAGCAATTTTCTTCTTTAAATAGGCCTTTTCATTTGCCACTTTTTGAAAATCTTCAAGCCATTTCTATTTTGTCATATCTAGATTCACTACCTTTTTTTTGTTAGTCTGTGACTTTGCAGCAAACTTTCTAGCCTAAATTTTGGTTTTTTATTATTTGCTTGTTTTAATATTTTCAAAGGCTATTAAAGATCTTGTGTTTTATTTTGTTTTCAAACATTCAGTTATAAGATTTACAAGAGTGTGTTTTCTAAAGGCAACTGAAAAATCCAGCCCAATCTGGTAACATAATAATGTGCCTCTACGCAGATGGGAAGTCCCAGTACTGGTCTTGCACATATTATTTGTCTCTGATTTTGAAGAGAGAGAGGGAAGCTCAGCAACATAGTTCCCTCGTGGAGACAGTACTTTAGTACCAGACTGGGAGAGACGTCTCTATACCAAGCTTACTCTGAAAATGCAAGACTTTTCCAGGATCCAAATGATGTGAATGTAAATTCTTTGAACTTAAATCAGTAGAATTCACAACCAGTCTTTCTTTCTTTCTTTCTTTCTTTCTTTCTTTCTTTCTTTATTTCTTTCTTTCTTTCTTTCTTTCTTTCTTTCTTTCATTCTTTCTTTCTTTCTTTCTTTCTTTCTTTCTTTCTTTCTTTCTTTCTTTCTTTCTTTCTTTCTTTCTTTCTTTCTTTCTTTCTTTCTTTCTTTCTTTCTTTCTTTCTTTCTTTCCTTTCTTTCTTTCCTTCTTTCTTTCTTTCTTTCTTTCTTTCTTTCTTTCTTTCTTTTCTTTCTTTCTTTCTTTCTTTCTTTCTTTCTTTTTCTTTCTTTCTTTTCTTTCTTTCTTTCTTTCTTTCTTTCTTTCTTTCTTTCTCTCTTTATTTTTTTCCTTTCTTTCTTTCTTTCTTTCTCTCTTTATTTTTTTCTTTCTTTCTTTCTTTCTTTCTTTCTTTCTTTCTTTCTTTCTTTCTTTCTTTCTTTCTTTCTTTCTTTCTTTCTTTCTTTCTTTCTTTCTTTCTTTCTTTCTTTCTTTCTTGCTTGCTTGCTTGCTTTCTTTCTTTCTTTCTTTCTTTCTTTCTTTCTTTCTTTCTTTCTTTCTTTCTCTCTCTCTTTCTTTTTTTCTTTTTTTCCCTTTCTTTCTTCTTGCTTATTTGTTTGTGTGAAATTTTGATCTTTAAATCATTACTTCTCATTTGATCACAGTGCAGATATATGACCTTCCTATATAATGATTCTTTTCTCGTTTGATAATGTTATTAATATTGTTGTATTCAACAGCAGTTTGTAAGTTGTTTTGAACCTCTCATTTCTTTTATTCTTTGTTTTCCAGCTTTGAAACATATTAATCACTAAGCTTCTGTACACTGAAATATATTGCTACGCTGAAAATCAGTTTCATTATATAAATGTATTTTTCTTTTTTGTAATTTTCTTTTCCTAAACTGTAGTGTTTTTCTTTGAAAGTAGCACATCGGCATGCCATACTAGACTCATATCTTTATAGACCAATCGACTCTTGCGGGGCGATGTGGTCAGCATCATGCCGGCCACCTTTACTTCCCAAAGTACCTGTTACCTGTTTTAGACTGGGTCACCCTCGGAGCCCTCCTGATGAGGATTCAAACACAATACCTTCTGGTCGGCAGGTGGAGCACCTAAGGGCTATACCACCGCTGCCCCCGTCTTTCTTTGAAGCTGAACGAACCTAAAGCACTTGTGTAAATTCCCTTTCATATTGGTTACTTTTGAAAGTTTTATAGTAACTTATTGGCTAGTACACATCTGCTAAAACTAGCCCTCGGTCAGTGCAGAATATTCTTCATGATCACATGACTGTAATCAGCCCAGTCTCATAAATACTATACTTCTGTATGTTTGGCCTTAGAATTAATTCTTATGTCAGTTAGCACAGTAAATAAAGAAAGTAAAGGACCCTTTTCCATGCCTTAAGGTGTATTCGGCATATAGGGCTAGACCTATATTTTATAGAGTAATCGGCATTTGGTGGGTGATGTGATCAGCATCAGGCTGGCCGCCTTTACTTCCCAGGACTTATACATGGTATCTGCTGGGTTGACCTTTGAATGACAAAAGTCTGGCTCAGTCAGGACTTGATCCCATGACCTTCTGATCCACAGGCAAGCATCAAGCCACTATACCACGGTGGCTTACAATAAGCACAGTGCTAAAGAAAAAATAATCTTTTTCTGAATTAAAAAAAAATATAAAAAAATAAAGACATTCTCAACACTGAATACAGCACTCAAACCACATATCAAAATTGATAACAAAGATAATCAAAAATGTCGCAGATATTTAATATTCAGGCTCAGTGATGAACAGCAAAGGCGACTGCACAAAAGATGTCAGAAAAAGAAGGAAAAGGAAGTCATGTCATTAAGTTCTGTTTGGTGAGGGAGACATGCTTCATCCCCAGTATGCTTTAAAGTTTCATTGGACTGGGTTTTATATCAAATAGTTCAGTCTCTCACCTGTTTAGTTGCAGGCCGATAACGTCATGGAAAAGCACAGACTCTGTGACTCCAGCCTGGGGGTCTCTGTACATATTTTTCTTGTGGATTAAACGCCGCTGCAGTTCAAGAAATAAACCTATGATCTGAAGAGTGCAAGGCTATTAGCTTGACCACTGAGCCATGAAGAGCCATATCCTATGATAGCATAAAAATGTGCTTCTATGTCTTTCCTTCTAGGGCAGTGAATCTTAACATTCCTAATGCTTGCGACACTTTAATACAGTTTCTCATGTTGTGGTGACTCCCAGACAAAAAATTATTTTCGGTAATGCTTCATAACTTCAGGGACCGCGTTAGGGCAGTCGATAAGAGGCTCGCTTTCAAATCCAGCTGCCACTCGCTGCAGCAAACGGTTGGTGTTCAAAACCCGGCGATTCCCGGGGTTCACCCAGCCTCTAGGAAATGGGTACCAGAGTTGATACTCTGGGGTAAATGAAGGAATGTCGCTGTAGCTACAGAGTTACATGCGAACGGCAACACTGGCGGACAATTCTTATCAGCTGTCCGTACTGGTGGTAGAGTACTTCTGGTTTATAACCGTGTGCAGTGACGCTTGTTCACATCTCACGACTTTACCTTTTTTTCATACCTAGGCGACCCCTATGAAGGGGTCGTTCGACCCGAAATGGGGTCACAACCACAGGTTGAGAACTACTGTTCTAGGGTGCATTTTTAACATTAAATAAACATTCTCTAATGCTTCTAACACCTTGACCAGTGTGTTGTTACACACAGGGCCTAACACTGGTTGATATTAACTAATACAATTTTCATAAACTTATTCATACTTTCATATCTGTATAAAAACTGTCTTTGTAATTACTTAGTATTGTTTTGTGTGTTTGTGTGTTTAATATTTGTAACGTTCATCCATATTGTTTTCATGTGTAGATGAGTATCATTTTTCTAGATTGTCCGTATATTGTTTTCTCAACTTCATTGCCTGTATTGTGAATGTGAATCAGTGCTTACATATATGTTTAGTTAATTCTAGTAACACCAAAAGCAACAACAGAAAATTAATCAAAATTATTTTTCTTTATTTTGTTATTCATATATTGAATGAACAAATAAGAAAGGGCGAACCAACAAAAAGAGAAAGTTTAAATATTCAGCTTTGCAAAAACACAATAACGAACAGCAGAATAAATATTGCAGTTAGGCAGTCTTCATCAGCATATACAAACATGAGTAGCAGATAAGTTTATTTTGATGCAACAAAGATGCCATAAAGACTAAACTTTTCACCATAAAATTTTATATTTCTTTTTTGTATATGTGAGAGAGAGAGAGAGAGAGAGAGAGAGAGAGAGAGTGTGTGTGCGTGCGTATATATATATATCATACCCACCACCATGCTCCTTGTGTGGGTTCCAGGGCCCCATTATGGGGAATAGACCCACTGCCTCCCCGACAAGCATGTTGTAGGAGTCAACTAATTGAGCGCATCCTTCGATGTCAGAGTGCATCTGCCCCTCCAGCAAGGAACAAACTGCACACAAATAAGCCAGTAAAACGGATGTACACTAAACATGCGCTAGCACAAAGCCAAAGTCAAGATGGATGAACAGCCAGGACTTTACACCTAGAGCCTACCGCAGGTCAACAAAGAAGATGATGCCTGCCTTGCAGTTATAACCAACACTAAAGCTGTTAAATAGCTCTAGTGACCACTGTCCAAACACGTCATGCCGTAAAAAAACCTGACAAGCCTAAATATTCAACATTTACGGGGTGAAACGTTTAATGTGTGTATCCGTTTAAGAATGAGCTCTCTTTCTCCCACATAGATTTTTAATTATCTCTTTGTGCTCTTTAATAAGCATATCATAAATGGTGACTAATTAAGGATTTGCTGTATTCAGATCTGTTAGCCTAAAAGACACAGATATTGCAGCCTAACTGTGAAAGCACAACATAATGTGCCACTGCTTTTTCAAAGGAAAACAGAAGCAAAAGAAGTCTTCATGTCATCATGACATTAAGCACCATAATCACCACCACCACTTCATCATTATCCATAATAACATTGTCATCATCAAAAACATAAGTGTAATGAATCTTATTTTATCGTTGTTACTATCATCATAGTATAGCTATAATCCGGATTACCCCACCCACACATTTACTGAAATCATACGTACTCGTGTTGATCCCAGCATTTGCTCTCTTTTTTCTCTGCTATGCCAGCCAATCTCCCTCAAACAGCAGGTGTGTAGCCAGCAGTAGCACATGTGATGTTTATCTCCTCACACGTGACCTGATTTTTCTGCATTTCACAACCAAATCTTGTTTGTTTGTGTTAGACTTTTATAATTGTTTGCATTTTTCATAGCGATGAATTTCTACTTACAGTTAGTTTATTTGTTTTCTTTATCTGTTTGATGTTATAAAGTAGTTGTTTATATCAGTGATGCACTTAATTGTAAACATTTTAATTATTGTATACAATTATAAGCATTCTTAAACGACCCTTTTTCATTGGGTATTGGGTATATATGGCTATATTTTATAAACCACTCAGCACTCTGTGGGCGATTTGGTCAACAAAACTAGGCCGCCCTTACTTCCCAGGACTTTGCCTGGTGCCCATTTAAGGCTAGGTCGACCTGGAAGCCAAGGTCACTTTGTTGTTAAAAAGTCTGGCTCGGTTCGGAATCGGACCCATGTCCTTTGGATCCTTGGGTGAGCATCTAGCTGCTGCGCCATGACGGCTTCCATAAGCATTCACAGTTATTTAATTAATAGAGAAAGATAATTACTAACATATAATATATATCACTAAAGGTACGCATATTTTTTTTTACTTAAAAAGGTTATACTTTATATAACTTTTCATCATATATGTTTCATTATTAAAGTAAATTTACAGGTAATAAATGAAATAAATCTATAAATTTAAGACACAAAATATTATTGCAGATTATTTGCCAGGAACTTTTTACGGTAACACTTCTTCCCGTGCGAATTCAGGGCCCCATTGTGGGGGGGGGGGGGGGGGGAACAGAATAGACTTTCTACCCCCTCCCCCACCCTAGCAAGTATGTCGTAAAATCTGACTAATTAGGGGTGTTTTCTTCAAAGCTAGAGTGCATCTGCCTGAGAGGCAAGGAGCCAACAGTCTGCATACAAAATAAGTCAGAGCTGTAAAACAGATATGCAAGCAAAACTCAAGTTCTGGGATAAGACTAAAGTCTTGAAGTGGACGAACAACTAGAACCTTCTGCCGGAGTTTACGGCTAGTGATTGCAAAGAAGAAAATTATGCAAGCTTTAAAATATATAAAAAAGCACTAAAAAAAACTAATCCTCTCAATTGAAATCACACATGAACTTTGTAGCTTTAGACCTCAGAGATCTCTGAAACACTCACACTCATGAACAGAACTGCAGAGTTCAAAAATGGACACTTCAAATATGGAAAACAACCAGATCACTTTGCTGTGATGACCTCTGTATTTTCTCTCTAGTTTTGACGTTTAAATTTATTCTACAGATTTATTTTTAGATTTGTGTTTTCTCCGTGTGTAGTTTTGTTATGAAAATGTGCTCTTTAGATCATTTTTCAGACCTGTTTTTGTTATCCTTTGAGCTTAACAGATACTTTACGAGATGTGACACTATCTGTTTTTGTTTTTTGTTTTTGTTCTCTACAACATCATATCATTGGCACTCTATCAAGTCCCCTAAGTGGAGTTTTGGCGATTTCCACTTGGGTGTATTTTTAGAGGTGCTGTTTGTTACATTACAATATTTCATAGGCACACGTGAATTTCTACTCCAGATAGGTCAGAATGAAATATTACTTTTCAGTTTTAAATAGATTTCAAAGTTTAAAAGTAATTTTCTCGAAACAAGGATTTAGCACTGAGATGACTTCATGTAGTGCCAATGAAATAAGATATCTTTTCTCTGTTTGCCGTTTTTAAAAATATTTTTCATTAAAATCTTTGCAGCATCTAATTTTATAAGGTAGATTTGCTCTGCGGAAATATCTTCTGTGTAATTTGGATGTCTCCATTATTGTATTAGGCAGAATTTTTAGGGGGAAATGTATATATGCTGTATACAAAATAAGGTAGGTAAGTTGTACCCCACCAGGACATCATACAAGCGATAAACACCTGGTGACACAAAGTGCCATCATGCGGATAAGAATCACCCGTAGAGGTCTCGGAAACCCCGTTCAGTGGTTAGGCCCGGCTATATTTGGGGCCCCCGGCAAAAGCCAGGGTGGGGCTTTAAAATAACTAAAAATTGAATCCCACATGGGGACATATACAAAATCTAATACAAAAGTTTTCCTACATTAAGTATTAGATAAGAAAATTGTATTCAGCAAATTTAGTCTATAAATAATTCTGTAAAGTGTTTTTGATCTGTAGAATGATTAGTTTATACAATAAATTTGCTTAAACAGGTTAACTTTGAAGAAACATTTGTATTAGCTGTTTCTTTGGTAGAGCATTAAAAAGTTAAACTTGCTCTATATAACATTCCTTAACTCTTTGAGTCCCAGGGGGTTTAACATCAGAGGCCCAAGGGTAGTCAAGAGAGACGTGAAATCAGTACATCTTGCGTTCATTGGGCCTCTAGGTGGGAACTTATGAATGTATAATGCATTCATTGGGACTCAGTGAGCTAAGATAGATTATTTCTGTTAAAAATTCTAGAAGAAAAATCTGCTCTATAGAAATTTTATAACAAATTTTAAAATGTGTCACCAAACAATTTGATTATTACCAATGGAAAGGAGAGACAAGCAATGAACATCACAGTAAACGTGGAGTTATTAGAATAAGCTACACATTTCATTTATCTTGGACTTTTACTTTGCCTGTCTAGTTGTTTATCTTTCCAATGGTTTACGTGTCTGTGTTTTCTTGTGCTTATGTCATCTCACAAAGTTTAAATTGCCAGCTTTCATAATATATGTAGCATTCTGTTTTACCCTTTCATCCTACTAAATTCCCCCCCCCCCCAATACATAAATAACTTTGTAACTAGATGCATAAAAAGAAAAGCATCCTGCTTTCAGAAACTAGAGAAAAAGAAGAGAAGAACTTGAGTCTCATGTGTGCACCTGTTTTACATATTATACATATCTGGCTTATTGTATGCAGACTGTTGGTTCCTCACCACACAAGGCAGATGCACTGACTTCAAAGGAAATATCCAATATCCCTTTTACGACGTGCTTATCAGGGGGCAGGACCTATTCTAGTCGAATATCTAAATCATGTATACCAGGGCTATTCAGCTAGAGGTACTCAGGGGCTAAACTTTCGAAAATGAGAAATAACAGCCATAAAAAAATTACACAGCTGCTTGTCGCCATTTTGAAAATTAAAGCATCACTTTCCTAGAATGAATTATAAATGACAAAAGAAAGCATAAGTTTAGTAAAGTACATACTTTATTGCGTATGTTCATTTCTGGCTGTTTTGTGACTTTTTAATGAAGGCCTTAAATTTCTACCAATGTTTTGTTGTCTATTCTGTGATTGCACCTGTATTCCACTTGTTTCTTGTATCTGTAAGTGTCCATTCAAAATATAACTCCATGTTTGTTGTAAATTTGTATTTTTGTATTTTTAAATATTGTTTTAAATATGAAGTTTCGTTTTCTAGTTTTTACTGTTTAAAAAATCTAAGCTTGTTTCATTTATGATAGCTTTTAAAGCCAGTATTTTAAATGGTTTTGTTAAGTATCAGTGTATGAAACATACACATATTTTATTTCATCAGTTGTAGTCTTCTTCTTCTTCATTCACCGGCTGTGAATTTGGGCGGAAGGTCCCGGTTAATTGTCTGCTTGGACTTTTAGCTTTTACCTGGACCTGAATTGTGCATGTACAACCATTTTACTGGCTTTTGCCGCTCCCTGCCTCACGGGCAGATGTACTCCCACTTCAAGGGAAATCACTTGTAGTAAAAAGGACACTTTTTCCGCACCTTAGGCTTATTGAGTGTATAGGCCTAGACCTCTGTTTTTCGGCACTCGGTGGGTGATGTGGTCAACATCACGCCAGCCGCCTTTACTTCCCAGGACTTTACCTGGTACCTATTTTAGCCTGATTCGACCTAGGAATCAAGGTCATTTTTAGAAGAAAAAAATCCAACTCTGTGTGGATTTTAACCCATGACCTTCTGACAGTTGTAGAATAGCAAAGAGATTTTTCAACAGTTAACCAAAATAATTTGTCATTTTGTAAAATCAGAAAACTCAAAAACTTATGTGTAGAAAATGTAAAAGGAAATAATAATACATTATATAGGAACTAGTAAAGTAATATTAAACAAAGGGGTAACAATATTTATATATTTATGTTCATGATTGAGAAAACTGGAGAACAATATAACTAGAATGTCAATGTCATGGCTAATATATTTAATCCATTAGAACGTAATATTTGATTTCCCCTGGGAGCCCTATAGGCTGTACATATAGGTCATAGGAAGTTTCATTCTTTGTTTAATGTCATGGCTAATATATTTAACCCATTAGAACGTAATTTTTTATTTTCCGTGGGAGCCCTATAGGCTGTACATATAGGTCATAGGAAGAACATTATTTGTTTAATGTCATGGCTAATATATTTAACCCATTAGAACGTAATATTTGATTTCCCCTGGGAGCCCTATAGGCTGTACATATAGGTCATAGGAAGAACATTATTTGTTTAATGTCATGGCTATTGTATTTAATGAGCTTTGGAAGAAAATTAAACTAATTCCACTCATCAAGAAGTGAAGAAGAGATGCTGGCATTCAGTAGGACACAGGCTGAGAAAACCCTTTTAAAACATTTTATTTAAGATGGGAGCCCTATAACCTGTTTAGATCAAAGCAAGAACATTCTTTGTTTAAAAACTTAGCTAATATATTTATTTAATTAGAACGTTGACATTTTATTTCACTATTATAACCTCAACACACAAAAGAATCATTGTATCTGGTATCCTGACTTTAAGGAAAAATTATTTTACAGTTATGAAGTTCATTTTTCTGGGTATCTTCATTTGTACTAGAGATATTTATCTTTATACTACAAATGTTATAATTTGGTTTGTGTATTTACATCCTAACTGTTTTAGGTTGTCAATGAGCTTGCCTCGTCTGCAGGAGAAAAATGCAGCATTGACCCAACTCTTTGTAATGCCTTGAGAACCCTCAAGAGCGGTGAGTCCTTTGTGTTAATACAGTTATTGTAGTTATAGTTCAAACTGTGGTACAAACAACAAAATCAGCTTAGGTGGCAAAGGACAAGGAAGGTGGCAAAGCACAAGAAAGGTGGCAAAGCACAAGGAAGGTAGCAAAGGACAAGGAAGGTGGCAAAGAACAAGGAAGGGGGCAAAGGACAAGAAAGGTGGCAAAGCGCAAGAGAGGTGGCAAAGCGCAAGAGAGGTGGCAAAGCACAAGGAAGGTGGCAAAGGACAAGGAAGGTGGCAAAGAACAAGGAAGGTGGCATAATTATGGGCACTTCCTGAGGAGAATTAGGCAGACAATAAGGCACTGAAATGGGAAACAACTGGATTGAAGACATCGGCAAGTTCAAGAGAAACCTTATGAAAAAGCATCAGTGCTAGACTGGATGAACCTGTCAGGTCAGCATGGTATGTTGGAGACTGTCAGGTCACCATGATATGTTAGAGACTGTCAAGTCACCATGATATGTTAGAGACTGTCAAGTCACTATGATATGTTAGAGGCTGTCAAGTCACCATGATATGTTAGAGACTGTCAAGTCACCATGATATGTTAGAGACTGTCAAGTCACCATGATATGTTAGAGACTGTCAAGTCACCATGATATGTTAGAGACTGTCAAGTCACCATGATATGTTAGAGACTGTCAAGTCACTATGATATGTTAGAGGCTGTCAAGTCACCATGATATGTTAGAGACTGTCAAGTCACTATGATATGTTAGAGACTGTCAAGTCACCATGATATGTTAGAGACTGTCAAGTCACCATGATATGTTAGAGACTGTCAAGTCACCATGATATGTTAGAGACTGTCAAGTCGACATGATATGTTAGAGACTGTCAAGTCACCATGATATGTTAGAGACTGTCAAGTCACTATGATATGTTAGAGACTGTCAAGTCACTATGATATGTTAGAGGCTGTCAGGTCAACATGATATGTTAGAGACTGTCAAGTCACCATGATATGTTAGAGACTGTCAAGTCGATATGATATGTTAGAGACTGTCAAGTCACTATGATATGTTGAAGACTGTCAAGTCGACATGATATGTTAGAGACTGTCAAGTCGACATGATATGTTAGAGACTGTCAAGTCGATATGATATGTTAGAGACTGTCAAGTCACTATGATATGTTGGAGACTGTCAAGTCACTATGATATGTTAGAGACTGTCAAGTCACCATGATATGTTAGAGACTGTCAAGTCACTATGATATGTTAGAGACTGTCAAGTCACCATGATATGTTAGAGACTGTCAAGTCGACATGATATGTTGGAGACTGTCAAGTCACCATGATATGTTAGAGACTGTCAAGTCACTATGATATGTTAGAGACTGTCAAGTCACCATGATATGTTAGAGACTGTCAAGTCACCATGATATGTTAGAGACTGTCAAGTCGATATGATATGTTAGAGACTGTCAAGTCGACATGATATGTTGGAGACTGTCAAGTCACCGTGATATGTTGAAGACTGTCAAGTCACCATGATATGTTAGAGACTGTCAAGTCGACATGATATGTTGGAGACTGTCAAGTCACCGTGATATGTTGGAGACTGTCAAGTCACCGTGATATGTTAGAGACTGTCAAGTCGACATGATATGTTGGAGACTGTCAAGTCACCGTGATATATTAGAGACTGTCAAGTCACCGTGATATGTTGGAGACTGTCAAGTCACCGTGATATGTTGGAGACTGTCAAGTCACCGTGATATGTTGAAGACTGTCAAGTCGACATGGTATGTTAGAAACTGTCAAGTCAACATGATATGTTGGAGACTGTCAGGTCAAAATGGTATGTTAGAGACTGTCAAGTCACCATGATATGTTAGAGACTTCCATGTCGATATGGTATGTTAGGGGATGTCAAGTCAACAAGGTTTGTTTGAGATTGTCAGGTCAGCATGATATGTTGGAGAGTCTTGTCAGCATGGTTTTTTGGAGACTGTCAAGTCAACAGGGTATGTTAGAGATTGTCAAGTCAACATAGTATGTTAGAGACTGTCAGGTCAGCATGGTTTGTTAGAGACTGTCAGGTCAACATGATATGTTGGAGACTGTCAGGTCAACTTGATATGTTAGAGACTGTCAAGTCGACATGATATGTTAGAGACTGTCAAGTCAACATGATATTTTGGAGACTGTCAAGTCACCATGATATGTTAGAGACTGTCAAGTCGACATGATATGTTAGAGACTGTCAAGTCAACATGATATTTTGGAGACTGTCAAGTCAACATGATATTTTGGAGACTGTCAGGTCAACATGATAATGTTGAAGACTGTCAAGTCGACATAATATGTTAGAGACTGTCAAGTCGACATGATATGTTAGAGACTGTCAAGTCAACATGATATTTTGGAGACTGTCAAGTCACCATGATATGTTAGAGACTGTCAAGTCAACATGATATGTTAGAGACTGTCAAGTCAGACAAGTCAACATGTTTAGAGACTGTCAAGTCAACATGTCAAGTCAACATGATATGTTAGAGACTGTCAAGTCAACATGATATGTTAGAGACTGTCAAGTCAACATGATATGTTAGAGACTGTCAAGTCATGGTATGTATGTCAGAGACTGTCAGAGTCAGTCATGGTATATGTTAGAGACTGTCAAGTCAACATGATATGTTAGAGACTGTCAAGTCAACATGATATGTTAGAGACTGTCAAGTCACCATGATATGTTAGAGACTGTCAAGTCAACATGATATGTTAGAGACTGTCAAGTCAACATGATATGTTAGAGACTGTCAAGTCAACATGATATGTTAGAGACTGTCAAGTCAACATAGTATGTTAGAGACTGTCAGGTCAGCATGGTATGTTAGGGGATGTCAAGTCAACATGGTTTGTTAGAGACTGTCAAGTCAGAATATGTTGGAGACTGTCAAGTCAACATGATATGTTAGAGACTGTCAAGTCACCATGATATGTTAGAGACTGTCAAGTCACCATGATATGTTAGAGACTGTCAAGTCATGATATGTTAGAGACTGTCAAGTCACTATGATATGTTAGAGACTGTCAAGTCACCATGATATGTTAGAGACTGTCAAGTCACCATGATATGTTAGAGACTGTCAAGTCACCATGATATGTTAGAGACTGTCAAGTCACCATGATATGTTAGAGACTGTCAAGTCACCATGATATGTTAGAGACTGTCAAGTCACTATGATATGTTAGAGGCTGTCAAGTCACCATGATATGTTAGAGATTGTCAAGTCACTATGATATGTTAAGACTGATATATGTTAGAGACTGTCAAGTCAACATGATATGTTAGAGACTGTCAAGTCACCATGATATGTTAGAGACTGTCAAGTCGACATGATATGTTAGAGACTGTCAAGTCACCATGATATGTTAGAGACTGTCAAGTCACCATGATATGTTAGAGACTGTCAAGTCGACATGATATGTTAGAGACTGTCAAGTCACCATGATATGTTAGAGACTGTCAAGTCACCATGATATGTTAGAGACTGTCAAGTCACACACCATGATGTTAGAGACTGTCAAGTCAGATATGTTAGAGACTGTCAGTCACCATGATATGTTATGTCACCATGATATGACTGTCAAGTCGACATGATATGTTAGAGACTGTCAAGTCACCATGGTATATTAGAGACTGTCAAGTCACTATGATATGTTAGAGACTGTCAAGTCACCATGATATGTTAGAGACTGTCAAGTCACTGTCAAGACTGTCAAGTCATGATATGTTAGAGACTGTCAAGTCGACATGATATTTTGGAGACTGTCAAGTCACCATGATATGTTAGAGACTGTCAAGTCACCATGATATGTTAGAGACTGTCAAGTCGACATGATATGTTGGAGACTGTCAAGTCACCATGATATGTTAGAGACTGTCAAGTCGACATGATATGTTAGAGACTGTCAAGTCGACATGATATGTTAGAGACTGTCAAGTCACCATGGTATGTTAGAGACTGTCAAGTCAACATGATATTTTGGAGACTGTCAAGTCACCATGATATGTTAGAGACTGTCAAGTCGACATGGTATATTAGAGACTGTCAAGTCAACATGGTATGTTGGAGACTGTCAAGTCAACATGGTATGTTAGAGACTGACTGTCAAGTCAACATGGTATGTTAGAGACTGTCTAGTCGACATGGTATGTTAGGGGATGTCAAGTCAACATGGTTTGTTGGAGATTGTCAAGTCAGCATGGTATGTTTGAGAGTCTTGTCAGCATGGTTTTTTGGAGACTGTCAAGTCAACAGGGTATGTTAGAGATTGTCAAGTCAACATAGTATGTTAGAGACTTTCAAGTTAACATGGTATGTTAGAGACTTTCAAGTCAACATGGTATGCTAGAGACTATTAAGTCAACACAGTATGTTGGAGGCTGTCAGGTCAGCATGGTATATTTAAGATTGTCAAGTCAACATGATATGTCAGATCTAGATGGTACCACTGGTACAATTTTTACACAGTGCAAATCTCACACTGCTGTCTGAAAATCATGATAGCAGCTTTTTTTTTTTAACATATCGAACCTTAGTACTCGAGGATCATGAAATTGTTAAGCGCGTTCACTAAACTATAAGATGCAAAACCGCACAGCCTTTCTTCAAGGCAGCAGGATTGTTAAGGTTAATGATGTTAAAGCAGATTCTCATCAACTAGTTTTTTACCCCTTGACCTGTCTGACATATGCGACCAAACCAGAAGCCAAGCTGGTGTCGGCCTAGTTCTTGAAGTCTTTGGAAGACATAAGCTCCTCTACCATTGCAAGGTGGAGACTCAACAGGTGGGATATTGACAACCACTGCTACAGAACTTTCTCAAATGCAAAAGAGATAAAAATGTGAGAAAGATAGCAGCACTCCCCAATAACAAGATGTCATTAACCGTTGCCATTATAAACAAAAAAAATAATTAATAATTACTTTCACACAGAGCATGCTGAAGATGAGTAC